TCCATTCCCGGCCCCTCCAGTCTCATAAAAATTGCTTTGATACAACTCAAAACGGCTTCAAACTGACTCTAAAGGGAATGAGACAGTAAAGAACACAATAAAAAACACAAGGTGAGTCATTTTTGTTTCGAATCTTCTCAAAAAGCGGAATTTAGAACGTATTTTGTCTATTACCACACGTTCTCTTATAAAATCCAACAAAACTGGAGTGCCTGTGGTCCTGGGTGACGCTCCTGGTGACGTCATGAGTTGGCGCCAAAAGTTTTCATGCGCGACAACTGGGTTCGGTTTTACTTTGGGTAAGTTTACGACTAAGTTTACGACCGGTTTTACCCGAATGAGCGTGAGGAGAAGAAGAATGGATTAGTGGTACAACTCGCAGATCAGAAAAGGTAGGTTTGTGTCAAAGGTTAACACTTCATATAGCGAGTTGGTGAGCTTACGTTCAAGTCAATTTGGTACAAATAGTTAGAGTTGTTCTTAATTAGATAAAAATGGCAAAACGTGTCTGGCATCAAACTTTAGCTTAGATATGATGAAGATGTAGATTTAAACTGTTTTGCCATCGGCCCAGTACACCAGATCGGAGTTGCACATGTATGAAAATTCTGCGTTTTCTTTCCTAAACAAAGTTAGACCCCAAATCAGACAAGTCTGAGTTCAGTTAAATTACCACACAGAACAGGCCATTTGCACTAAGAGGTCATGTGACATCGTTTTTAAGAAAATGAAAGTTACATGATTTTGGCTTGGAAAAACGATCAGTGGGTCATATCTGAAACAAAATAATAGTGATTTGGTTTTTCAAACCAGCACCATTTTCTTAAAATGAGCAAGTTCGTAGCTGGTCACGTGACCAGAATGCAATATTCAAAATCATGAATTACCTCTTTCTGAACACAAATTTTGCACTTAAACTTCAAGGAAAATGTTGAAAAGATGGTGTGGTAACATTTGCAGCACATCTGAGCTTAACTATCAAACATTTAACAAGATACAAGCAGAAAGTAGTTTTGGCCGCCATGTTGGAGGGCAGGAGTATGCCCTCCAACATGGCGGCAAATACAAATCATACTACTTTGTTGAAATATTAAAGTACCATAAAATGTCTCCCTTAAATGTGATTCCTCTCAAATTTTGGGTGTAAGATAATTTTTACATACTCTGTCAATTTTTGTCATCAGCAAGATTCCAACTCATTGTTTAAAGGATCATTGGTTATGTGACCTGTTAGTGCAAGTGGCCAGCCATCACACAAGTCTAATGCCCCATTTACACCAAAACTTGACCTTGTTTAAAAGCTGTTTAGTTTTAAACATTGCTTTAAAATTGTTTCCTCCATAAAAGCTGCCCCCTGACGTTTCTCAACTAGAAATTTGGAAGAAAAGGAGCACAAGTCAACATTTTCTTGAACTCTGTGTGTCGGGGGGGGGGGGGGAGGACTGTGGTGGGGAATAATTGGGCATTTTGCATATCACATCTAAAATTAAAAAAATGTTGATGCCCCATTGGTCATCGCATACAGTTCCCCAGTGACCATCAGAATATTTCCACTCATCCTTCACTTTCCCTCGCTCTGTCTGCCAGTCATACCATTTAATCTTAGAAATATTGCACCTTAACATTTCGTTATTTCAATGCTATGATCTAGAAGGACAGCTACCGGTGTGTCAGTTCAAATCTTTAAACTTCTTTGAGGACAATTCCACGGGGGGAGCAGTGGGGAGTGGGTTCTGGGTACTCAGGATTTCAAGTGAGCAGGCTGATCGAATGGAGGCAAAAATCAAACTCCCCAAAACCCTTGGGCTTCCAACAAAACCCACCAAAAAAGCAAAAAATAAACCCCAAGAAAATTCCATGTTGAAACTCTGAGCCTTAACCCTTTAAGCCCCAATATCCACATACAAATTCTCCAAACTGATCTTTATACGTTTTCTTAAGGAACAAGTTGAGAGAATTTGATGAAAGATCAAAGCATTTTCTCTTAAGGTGATTCCCTGGTTTTGCACTGCGCATCTCTTACTGCGCATAACAAGATGGCCTCTGTAAAAAGGAGCATGTGAAGTAACATTATTAAAATGAAGTTGACCGAAGAGAAACGCTATTGCAATTTTTGCTTGCGGTTGTTTCTTGCCGAGGTGAGACTCAATGTGGTGGGAATGTGCATAACGTAAGCAGTACGCGTGTTGCTGAGTTCGACTTCCTCACGGAGAACCTTGATAGTGGATGTTTAATTTGTGCTTATTCAATTTGATTTTCATTTAAATGCTTTCTTTGTCACATTGTGTCCTAAATGTGATATCTCGATGTAAATTCTGTAAAAACGGATTTTTTAGTACTTTCTTCCCCCTTTTGCATACATTCTATTTTTGAAACTCGCCCCAGTCCTCTCTCAAAAATCAAGGAAAATGCATTTGGTGCCCACTTTCTGCAGCTCTACCGCAAAAATGAGTACGGTGACCCCCATTTTTATATCATGATTTTAGTAAGGACAATGCTTCCTTTCGGTGAGAAAAAAATTGGCACAAATCTATGTTCAGTTTTTTGGCAATTTTACTAAATTGTACGGATTGAGCTATCACGTGTCCCGAATAGCGCGTGTCCAATCTAATTCTACTTTGGAGCGTAAAGTAAAAACAAGGGCATTAAGAGGCATATTTTTCTGGTACGTAAGTGGATAAACAATACATTAAAGTCAAATTCTGTGCGATACCACATGGATCATTGAAAAAATCTTTTCTTTTTGTCTAGTTTTGGGCTGCGCGTGGTTTTTGTCAAAGGGTCCAAAATAGCCTTATTTGTCAGCATTGTGACGTCAAAACGAGCACAGTGACCCCCACTTTTTATTACCTTTTTATCATCTTCTTGACTTGTTACATCAGTGTACCAAGTTTCATCTACAATCTATGTTAGGTTCTTTTACCAGGGAATCACGTTAAGTGATCAATTTATTAATTCTCATAACCAAATCTCTTGACAATCAATGGATATGGTTAGGAGAAAATTGATGTTGGACACCATTGCGACTTGAAGGGTTAAACATTTCCAGAATTTGAATGAAAATTGAATGTTTGTGTTTGTATATTCATCATAACATGTGAAGTTATCTTTTCTGCAGCTGGTAGCACGGTTCTTGTGTCAATCTGCTGGGGATTGCATGTGGTCAATATTGCACTCCAACTTCATGCTATTTTACTTGGAAACATTGCTGATTGGTCTTTTCATATCATGGGGAGTTAAGATGTTTTCCAGTGTCAAAATACATAAAATACAGCACATGCACAGGGTGCATATCACTGTGCATTTATATTGTTTGATAACATGTGATATCAAATGTTTTCTCAATGTCCCGAAAATATCTCATATTTCCCGAAACACTTCCCAGGTTTCCCGATTCCCAGCAAAATCTCCAGATTCCCAGAATAAATTTGTTTTTCTCCCGAAACAGTCCTTGTTAGAGCTATCACCCCCCCCCCCCATTAAAATTGTTCGATCATCCCCTTCACATGAAATCCAGAGTACCCCCCTGGGATAAAAGCCAGTCATTTACTTTTCTTTTACTGATTTTCATTTGATGAAATTGGTTTAACTGCACATTTTTTTGTTGGTGTGAGTAAGGCCTAAGTTCACTTTGCGACATTTTCATTTTCCAGAAATGCTAATCAGCTCTAATTTGCTCAGAATAAATTTTGTATGAAAGACGGCTCTACATGTATTAAATTTTATAGATATAGCCTAAAATTCTAATTCTATGTTCAAATAATTGTTGGCCTATATTCCTCCCCTACCCTCTATAGAACAATGCTGTGGGTTTCTAAGAACAAACCAAATTTTCCCCAGTCCTCCTGGCTCTATTTTCCCTGTTATTTGCTGTAATATATAATTATGCATTTTTGACCAAGGTCAGGATGGCAGGGTATTGGCCAAGTTTGAACTCTTTTGTGGACTGAGACGAAGTCAACTTCAATAAAAGTACAGAAAAGAACCAGCTCAATATCCATGCAGCAATCTTGACCAAACAACTTTGGTTAATAAGGGATCTATTACCATATATGGCCAAAACCAGAACTTTTTCTAGTGGGACAAATGCTGGAAATCCTGAGCGCCCCATCTTACCCACTCAGGGAGGAGGCGGGGCTAGTCTCCCCTCGTTTTTTTTTCTTCGTGAATTTTTCTCCCGCGTTCTACTATCTGAACGCAAAGAACAGGCTATACTAAAGGTCATAAAAAAAAATTGAGCAATGAAAGTATACCCTTTACCATTCAAACAACAACGCTCAGATGATGCTTTACAATGCTCAGATGACCACGTAAAATGGTAGTTTAATCTCTAGAAGGAGACCTAAACAAATAGTGTCCCCAATTAGTACATACTTGCTAAAACACTCAAGTAGAGTCTTCTTTTTTTAAAATCCTATTGGAGACCCTTGTCATAGGCTCTTTAACACACACTGGGAAAAAAAGGGCTAAAAATCAGCCACAAAGGTGTTCACAGTATTCTTTACAATATGCATGGAATGTTGGCAATATAAACAAATTCGCAATCTTTGAAAATTTAAATCCGCTAAAGTTAAGTGCCTAACTCTGTATCTTGTAATTACCGTCCTCTTATCTTTTTATTTGGCAGTGGTTTGACCACAGGAACCCCAACAATGCAGCAGGATTCAAGGTATGTAGTCCATTCATAGTGTTGAGAATTTTGGGGCGCTTGCTCCATGGTATTAAAAAATTTAAATAATTATCTATATAAAGGAACAAGTTTGTGCTCCGTTCTACTTGTCAGGAAATTGTCAAAACAGCTGGAAGTTCAAGCACTTGTGCGCATTCACAAATGGTAATTTATTTTTTCAAGGTTAATTTATGTTGGAAATGTGAGAAGGGAAGGCAAGAAAAATAAAAACGATAAGAAAGAAAGCACATAGTATTATTCAGGTGGTTATTGCTTTTTCTGATGTGGTGGCTCCTAAAAGAGCCGTTTGTTTGAAAAGAAGTGTCGCGCTTTACTTCTTCTTAGCTGGAGATTTTTTGGCGGCAGATTTCTTGGCGGACTTTTTAGCGGCAGGTTTCTTTGCGGGTGTCTTCTTCGCAGGTTTCTTGGCCGCTGGTTTCTTTGCTGCCGGCTTTTTCGCTGCCGATTTCTTGGGTTTTTTACTTGGTGTCTTCTTCGCTGGCTTCTTTTTAGCCGCTGCTTTCTTTGCTACCGGTTTTTTAGCCGCTGGTTTCTTTGCTACCTTCTTGGCGGCGGGCTTCTTTGGCTTCGCTGGTTTCTTCTCCTTCTTTTCCGCCTTGGCGACCTTGAAGGAGCCAGATGCGCCAACACCTTTGGTGTGTATCAACTTTCCACTCGCAGCACCTCTCTTGAGAGCCATCTTCAAGTGTGAGCCGACCTCACCAACCTTGTAGTTGGCTTTGATGTACTTCTCGATGGCTTGGCGAGAAGAACCATTTCGCTCTTTTAGAGCGACAATGGCAGCCTTGATCATATCAATGTATGGTGGATGCTCAGCTGGCTTTTTAGGCGCAGCTGGCTTCTTTTTAGCTGGTGACTTTGGTGGTTCAACCATGTTGCAAGACTGAAGGATACCCTCGTAACAAGGATTTCAAAATGTGAATTTTAAGCGAGATGATCGAGATTTAATAACACAATGCGGACCACCGTGGAAACAGCAAATCAAGATGGCGTGTGTACTTCTGTGTTAGTTTCCTCAAAGTTTTGTGACATGAAATGAGTAATTCATTCAATACTTTCGCGTAAACTGTAAAATTTAGCTTTTAAGTGATTCAAGCATTAGGTCTAAAAAGATATTTCGATAAACGCGATTGTGCAGTGAGATATGCAACGTTTTATCCCTGAGTGTCCAAGGGTCGAAGAACTATTTTAACTTAAATAGGCGATATACTTTCTGTCGAAACGACTTTACTTCGTAAATCGGCATTCAGACTATAGAAGAACGCCAGTACTTCGAATTTTTACCTAGATTTTTGACATTTAACTACATTTTATACATTTTAACTTCTTTTCTTTGAAAGCAACTAGGACAACATCTATGCACCATGAGCAGCCTATCAGTGCAGTGGAAGCTCTCGTAAGCGGGAACCCTCGGGTCGCGAAAATGGTGTCCATAACTTGGGCTGGCCGCTTACGAGAATGTAAAAATACAGAGTTTGTATGGGAATTGAGAAAAACGAGCTTTTGTGAAGGCGGCCTTAAGTACAGCTGTTTCCCGCTTACGTGTCAGGGGCACCCAACGAGAATATAGTTCAAAACCACATAAACATAGGACACATAGCATTGTTGAACGTACTTTAGTATTTAAACGGTAGATAAAGGCTTAGTTTTTTCCCTAAAAATTTTTCATCTGTTCGGATTTCCTAGCTGAAAGTATAGCGATCCAAAAATTATAGGGATCAAAATTTACCTTTTCGAAAATTTCAGCCAGAAAAAAGGCTCCCGAAAATTCTAGGTGACCTTTTTGGGGTAAAAATCCGTTAAAATGGGCAATGATACGATTTTTTTGAAGTTCGAAAATCCTAGGAGAGTCAGGCAAGCAAGCAATTTTTCAGAAAATGATCCGAAAATTCTAGACCTCAAATCGTCTTCCGAACAGGTAATTTTCCGAAAATTGTCGTTGGGTGCCCCTGACGTGTACCGACTGTATTCAAAAGAGCTTACTGCGAAAGCTGGTGCCTTCGGCGCCTTTTGTTTTTTTGCCTTTTCAATTTTAAGCACCTCAAGAGAAGATTTACGGCCTGACAGGTAGAGTGAGAAAAATTTTTAAGACAGAAGTCGTTTATTTAAGCCAAACATCTTAAAACAAACTCAATAATGTCTTAACTTTACCGTATACACATCTTAAAACTGAGCCTCCTTGCAGTCCACCTTTTCTCTTAAAATCCGTCCTGTTCTTATCCCAGCCAGCGCGATCCGAAACAACCGGCATACAAGGACGTTACAGTAGTCTACAGACAGAACAAAAGAGTCAGCAGCCTCCTATTTTTTTTCTTCTCTGGCTTACGCCCTCATTTATTGCTACTCGTGGCTTCACCTTTCACCGTTCGCCTGCATAGCTTACGCTTCGCGTGGAGTAAGACAAATAAGACTGAAGAGACTGCTCGCAATTTACCGAAAAGCACTTGTTGTATGCTTCATCTTTTAAAGCAATAGACATTATCTACAAAAATTAAAGTGAAATGTTTGTCATCATACGCTGAAATGCACATTTAAAGTTATACAAAGTTACTTCACTTGTGAATTTGTTGTAAAATCTGAATATTTTGTTCAACTCCAAGGTGCCGTTTAGATTTGCATAATTTTTGCGCCAAATTTATTAACCCCGCGATTTCGCTTATAGTTTAGTCAGTTTCTATCAATTGTTCTTGCTTTATCTTATATTTTGTAAAATCGGGCTTTTGTTAGAGTAAGGTCCGGTAAATTTTAAAATCGACTGTTTTCCCAGCTAACCTACACAATGGAAGTCGGGACATGTATGTTCCAACCCAAGCTGTTATTTTTTCTGGTGGTGGGAAATCAAACAGTGTCGAGCGGCAAAGAACGGCGTGTTACCGTCGCGGCTGCAACTAGAAGAACTAAGAAAGAAAAGAAGAGAGGAAAAACCTTCACATTTGCGCTGCTTCTCAGTTCTCTCGAAACCCTTCCCGAAAAAGAAAAAATAAGATACTTGAGAGGCGAATAATCTTTGATTTCCAATTGATACTCAATTGTTGGTTATTGCTTTTATTGATGTGGTGGCTCCTAAAAGAGCCGTTTGTTTTGTAGTGCAAGCAAATCACTTATGCTCGCTCTCCGCGGATTCGGCGGGCCAACTGAATGTCCTTAGGCATGATGGTGACGCGCTTGGCATGGATGGCGCACAAGTTGGTGTCTTCAAAGAGACCAACGAGGTAAGCCTCGCTAGCTTCTTGAAGAGCCATGACAGCAGAGCTCTGGAAACGCAGATCGGTCTTGAAGTCTTGAGCGATCTCTCGCACAAGACGCTGGAAGGGCAGCTTGCGAATGAGCAGCTCGGTCGATTTCTGGTAACGACGGATCTCACGAAGAGCGACTGTACCAGGCCTGTAACGATGAGGTTTCTTGACTCCACCAGTGGCGGGCGCGCTCTTACGAGCTGCCTTTGTGGCGAGCTGTTTTCGTGGAGCTTTTCCACCAGTTGATTTACGAGCAGTTTGCTTTGTACGTGCCATCTTCGAGATTCGATGCAACAGTAACTCGGGGTTAACGGATAATAACGCACAAGTTTTGCAATATAATTTATACATGGCGGGCTACTCCATGATTGGACAAAAACTAAGCGATTTCATTGGATAAGAAAGTAGTGCGCTTCTCTGATTTGAAGATGTTCGATCCGAAGTTACTTTTAGGCCAGTTTTAGTATGAATTTACGTTATCTGTGATTCCTTTCCTTTAAGATAAAAATAGACACGAAAAAGATGTTTGACTGGAGATTGTTTATGAAGTATTTTTTGTGGTTGTGAATATTTATTTATTTACTAAACATGTTCTCGCAAGAGCTAAGAAAGAGGAACACGTATAAAATATGGTAATCAATAACTTGACCCTTGTCACTTTTATCGTAACTAACCAATAGAGAGCAAGCAGCGTGTCTTGTTTTCGGAGAGGTCATTCTTTGCCATATAAAAGCCCAGACATCGTGAATTTGAGTTATTTTTCAGTATTACCGTGTACATATCAGTATGTCTGGTCGAGGCAAAGGAGGCAAAGGTCTAGGAAAAGGAGGCGCCAAGCGTCACCGAAAGATCCTTCGTGACAACATCCAAGGCATCACCAAGCCAGCTATCCGTCGTCTTGCTCGCCGTGGCGGTGTCAAGCGAATCTCTGGCCTGATCTACGAAGAGACTCGTGGTGTTCTCAAAGTTTTCCTTGAGAATGTGATCCGTGATGCTGTGACCTACACCGAGCACGCCAAGCGCAAGACTGTGACCGCCATGGATGTGGTGTACGCACTCAAACGCCAGGGACGTACTCTATACGGATTTGGCGGTTAGATCTTCACGCTACACACTCAAACCAACGGCTCTTTTAGGAGCCACCACATCTTTAAAAGTCATTGCCAATAAAGTTTGCTCTGTTCCTTGTGGACCCATATTTTAGCGCTTTGTACAACCCTAGTATAGTATAATGTAAGCACAGGCTTAGGAGCGTCTTCCCAAAAGAGCAAGATCCATTGTTATTGTTCATTATTGCATAGCCTATAGTTTCAATTGGTCCGGTGCTCCAACCGTGCGTCTTGAAACGTTTGGAGTAAAATCGTTAACTTCTGGGGGAAGCTATTTTGCGGCCAATGGCCCGAGTGCTTTCGGAAGGGCCAAATTTTTTCTGCGAGCGAGCTTCTTAGGCCGCGAAGTGGCTGAACGAGCGACTTAGTCGCGACAAGCGTCCTGCGTCATTAGGATCATCGGACGCCATTAGGCGACAGGGTTCTCTGCACAAAGAGTGGAAACGCGCGATATTCGAATAAACAGAATGGGCTGTTTTGGCAGGTTCGCCGGGTAAATGCGGGCAGGAGTTATGTTCTAGTTGTGGAATACTGACAATATGGTAAGGGGAAAAGGACCATCTTTTGGTCTTCCTTTGCACAAAAATAAATTCATTGCGTATGCCACCTATATAAGCATCATTTTATTCTTTTCAATCTAAAATATTTTATGCGCAGCGTGTGCAGCATCACGATGTATGTAGCTCACTGATGCGTTAACCGCCAGAGTAACGCCGTTAATATGTAAACGAAATTGTAGCCTCAAACAGATCGATCTTCCTAAATTTAAATTGTATTCAATGAGTGATTTAATAAATCGGCTTCGCCTTCTTTAATTCAATGAATATGCTCATTACAGACTAGGAAGAAACTTCCATCACAGAACAACTGAGTGGTCGTGACTTTTATATTATGTGGTGGCTCCTAAAAGAGCCGTTTGGTTTTTTTGACGCCGGGAGGAGCTGTTTAAGCTTTTGGCTTCTTCTCGGTCTTCTTGGGCAGAAGAACAGCCTGGATGTTGGGAAGAACACCTCCTTGAGCGATGGTGACGCCGGCGAGCAGTTTGTTCAACTCTTCATCGTTGCGGACAGCAAGCTGAAGGTGACGGGGAATGATTCTGGTCTTCTTGTTGTCGCGAGCAGCGTTGCCCGCCAACTCCAGGATCTCAGCGCTCAAATACTCGAGCACTGCAGCCAAGTAGACTGGAGCACCAGCGCCAACACGCTCAGCATAGTTGCCTTTGCGAAGAAGACGGTGGATTCGACCGACAGGGAACTGAAGCCCTGCTCGGGATGATCGGCTCTTGGACTTGGTGCCCTTTGCCTTTCCTTTACCGCGACCAGACATGTTAACGAAGCTAGATAGAGAGATGTATCTCAAGGACTTGTTCGTTTCAAAGTTACTTGGTAATCAAGAGATGTCAGAGTTTATACGGCGGGCAAGATTTGGCTAGGATCGAAACGCACCAATCAGATCTAATGATATTTGATATTTCTAAACATGGAAGCAGATGGCGACCTTTGAAATTACCTAGAGCAAACTAACCAATGAAAAATGAAAGAATTCGATCCGTATGTTAATTGATCCCCTGTTGGTTTTGTTATAAATGCAATATTCAGCATGTGCGACTCATTCTCATCCATTCTGATTAACAGATATGGCACCTAAAGTAGCTGGAAAGAAAGGCGAGAAGAGAGCTGGAAAGGCTAAGGCTCCATCTGATGGAAAGAAGAAGAGAAGGGGAAAGAGAAAGGAAAGCTATGCAATCTACATCTACAAGGTGTTGAAGCAAGTTCATCCTGACACCGGTATCTCCAGCAAAGCCATGGGCATCATGAACTCGTTTGTCAACGACATCTTCGAGCGCATCGCTACTGAAGCTTCCCGCCTTGCTCACTACAACAAGAAATCAACCATCAGTTCTCGCGAGATCCAGACAGCCATCAGGCTTCTTCTGCCCGGTGAACTGGCCAAACACGCTGTCAGTGAAGGAACCAAAGCTGTGACCAAGTACACCAGCAGCAAGTAAACTCACTTAGTGGGTTTACCGCCAAAACAAACGGCTCTTTTAGGAGCCACCAAATGTTATTAAAGTCATGACCAATTCGTGCAATGCATACTGCCGTCTCTCAAACTTTCAGGTTATTTCGGTCTGAATTTCATTCTGTGCTGTATAATATTGCTAAATATTGTCAGTTTTCGCTTTAAACTCGATTTTTTACGACTTATCACATAGCCATGTGAAAATTTGTTTGCCAAACTTTAACCTGCGAGCAAGCTCTCTTATTTGGGCGAGTGAAGCGAGTCTCGCGACATCCTCGGAGACCCAGGGGCAGATAGTGGGGACGAGGGAAAGTCCAAACGGGCGGAAAAATATGGCGCGAAGAAAAGTAAAGATCGCCGTTCTTTACTTTTCTTCGCGCCATATTTTTCCGCCCGTTTGGACTTTCCCTCGTCCCCACTATCTGCCCCTGGGTCTCCGAGGATGGTCTCGCGAGAACGCGCGGCAAAAATGTTTTTACCGTTACGGTTCCACTTTGCTCGAACGCGTGTCAACACATGAACTTGGCAAGTTTCTATACAATTTTCGCGGTAAAAAACCTGTAACCGATTTGCGTGTCTTTGTTTTAAAAGTGCAAGCAAGGTCGCCCCGTCTTTTTCACTGTTTGGCTCTCATTTCATTTTTCGCCAAAACCGAAAATCCCGTTCCTCGTCGTTCGGTCTTTCTTTGCCCCGAAACCACACGGAAACGCTAGCGCTCGCGTGACTCTTGCGACTTCTTCAGGGAGGGTTTCCTCGCGGGCTAGAAGCATTTGAATTTGTAACAGAAATTGTCAGGACCAGTGTAAACGAGGTCGAGTGGCTCTGAGGAAAGAAAACGATCACAAGCGTTCTAGCTCGCGGTCTGGCGAAATTCGCAAGAGCGCGACGTGAGCCACAGGTAACCCAAGCTCAATATGAGAGTACGTGGGGTTGAAGCCTGTCTGAACAGGCTGTCTATCGTAATTTTCAAAATGGCCGTCATTATAACGGATTTGTATGGGAATTCAGGTAATAGATTCGAGAAGATAAATACTCGCATGAATTTTCTATAAACTCGGGATAAATGGAATCGCCTAAATCGGGAAAATAACCACACAGGAATTACACCAAGTAACTTAGGCAAAGCGTATTTTATTGAGAATTCCTGCGAGTACCTGAGTTCTCATGCAAACTTTTTATAATGACGGCCATTTTGAAAATTACGTAACCGCAGGAGCCTATTAATCGGCTCCTGGCAACCGTAAGTACTCTCATATTGAGCTTTTGCCGCCTGTGCTTCTCTTCCTCCGAAACGTTTTTCTCGGCAGGTGAAACTAGAAACCAGAAACGAAAAAATCGGATATTCTCGCAGGCTAGATGAGAGGGAGAGAGGAATATATGTCTAAAAGTTCCGTGCGTACCGTATTTTTCCGAGATTTCCTTTTCAGTTGACAGACCACGCGACATGCAGGACATCAAAGACGTGAAACCACAGGTAGACCACCCTCTGTTTGGGTTGCAGAAGAAATTCAGATGAACATTACAGACCAAAATACGGATTTGAACCTAGTAAATATGTCAGTAAAAGCTTAAGCGAAATGTTAACTTGTCATTTGCCGTGTTTTGTTTTTTTTTTCGCCGTTCCCCGAGCTCAGGGTCTGGAACTTGAAGTCCTGATCCGGCATTCCCGCTGCTGTTTTACTAAAATCTCGCATCCTGCCCGTTTTTCGTCGCTTTCCGAATCCCTTCTTTTGTTTCCTCATAACAATATTTTTAATATTTTTTTCCATTATAGCATGCCATTTTTTCAGCGATTTTTGAGGCGAAAAAAAGAGTTAACTATTTTTATTGATTTAAAAATCACTGAGGTGGGCTCATTTCCCGACGGAAGAGCGCCTGGTAATCGAGCCTACGCCTGGTGTTCTGACGCGGCAACTGTGCAATTTTAAATTTTTCTGTGTTTAGTCTAAATACTGTATTGAATTTTTAATGTAAACGTCACCAAGGTGACAGGCACAGCTATGTTAAGAGAGATGTATATTGTCAATAAATAGGTAGTTTCGTTTTAAAGATGTTGGCTGTTTTTGTTGCTGTCTAATACTCCCAGTGGCTAAGCAAGCCTTTAGACTACTTTATTATCGCTACAAACCCCTACCCTTTATCAGATCCTGTTCTGCACTAGACACCATCTTAGAGTCAGATCAAATCCTACCGTACTCCAGATTACCGTTTTTTTTTTTAATCTCCTGGCTCCTAACTATCGCTTCTTTAAAAGGAGTTGGATGAGAAGGGCAAGCGCCTTTCAAGTTATTATTAAAGTGACTGGAAGTTTTTTCTATTACACACATTTTATAGAAACTTTCGATCCCGCCCCTCCAGTCTCATAAACATTTATTTGATACAATTCAAAACGGCTTCAAACTGACGCTGAAGAAGAAGAAGAAGAAGAAACTTGATTAATTTATACCGCTCAGGGTAGCCCCTTCAGACGCAAAAGCTTTCTGTTATCAATGGGAGCCCTGAGCAACAACGCACAAAAACCACACTAAACATATAAACACTACACTAATACAGGTAATAATATAAATAGAAAACTATTTTCAATTAAAAGATTAAAAGATGTAAAACACGAAATATCATCAAGATAATTCGTTAAAAAGAGGGCAACCATAATAATAGAAGGATCTTTTTGCAGGGACCGCGCAGCAAGTTTTCGAGTGGGGGGGCTGAAGAAGAATGCGTGAAGGAAAATTTTTTGGGGGGGGGGGGCATGCTTGTGGATTTCTATTCAATTTCTCTAAAGTGACGGAGAATGCGAATAACGATAAAACTATTGATTTTTTTCCACATCTTTAGTGATGTTGCTATCGGGGCTGAAAATTCACCACCACTAAATTGAAATATCATAGATTGTTATGTTATACTACTGATATCAACCTTTAATTACTATAAATAAGCCAGAAATCCAACGATTTTGCTTGAGCTGCCTTGAACTCAAGGCTGTATAATTACTGAGCAATTATTGCACGAGGCTGAGTATGATATGAAGTGTTATGCAGATCGAGAGGGTTATCCGCCAAAGCCGAAGGCTTGAGCCCGGTGGATAACACCCTCCAAGATCTGTATACAGCTAATTCGAGAAAGGTTGTCGGAAAAAATGTGCACGCGACAATCCTGAAAGGTAATATGGGATATGATCAATACACTGTTCCTGACACTGTAGCTGTTGAATCTTATCTATTGTTGCTTTCCTTTAGCATTTGCAAGCATACGTCCATTTTCTCTCATGCTATTCTTTCAAATTTCTTTGAAGAACAAAGAACTCAAAACTACCCACAATACCTTTCGGGATTGTCGCGTGCGCTTTTTCCGACAACCATTCTCGAAATAGCTGTATCTTCATATCATACGAAAGCCGAGTTCAATAATTGTTTAATTATTCATTCAAAATATTTACACGGCAAATCAAAACGGTAACTGAAAATAATTTAGTGAATCAAAATTCAATTATAGAACAGATTCAGAAAAACGTAGCAAAAATTATGCAGAGTTTACTCACCAGATAAAGAAGGTTTTCCATTTTGTTTGGAAAAGTAATCAGAAATTTTAAGAGATCTCTTCTTTGCATTACTAGTGGTATGTGAAGTCTCGTCGTTTATGTTGCCGTGTACCATGTGCACTTCTTTGTTCGTAATAACCGCCGGATTGAATGTTCCTTGATGACCAGAGCTATACACAATTCTGCGGTTTAAGTACTTTCGATGACAAAATGTTTTTATAAACAGACCGCGTTCAACAAAACTTGCAATTGGAATGCTCAACGAGCCGTGAAGCCTGACATCAAAAGAAGGACTTCGCGCTGATGGAGCTAAAATCAGGACGCACAATAACAAGAGAAACAATAACTTCATGATCTTCCAAAAATCAAGGTTGAAACTAATAAACAACTTGTTTGAGAATCGCCTTATAAACTAAACCCAGTTATTACTTTGGATCGAAATTGACCAATTGTAACGACTAATGCTTCATTCTGTCTATTTATCTGCGCGTTTGTCTTTGCCAGTAACTCTGGTCACTTTCGAATTAACGATTTTTTGCTATTTTTCCGTCCGTTACTTTTGTTAAATTATTTTCTGTTTAATTTATTTTATTCTTGCAAAAAAGTGGGGGGGCTAAAGCCCCCCCAGCCCCTCCCTCTGCGCGGTCCCTGTTTTGCAATTTCAGTTCTCACAGCAGGCGGATGTAAGAGGTTGCTTTGTCTAGTAGCGCGCGCCTGGATTGTATTATTACGTTTAAAATATTGTTTAAAATACTGGGGACATTGAAGGGAAAGAGACAGTAAAGAACACAATAAAAAACACAAGGTGAGTCATTTTTGTTTCGAATCTTTTCAAAAAGCGGAATTTAGAACGTATTTTGTCTATCACCACACGTTTCTCATGATAACATCCAAGAAAACTGGAGTACCTGTGGTCCTGGGTGACGCTCCTGGTGACGTAATGAGTTGGCGCCAAAAGTTTTCATTCGCGACAACTGGGTTCGGTTTTACTTTGGTTTTACCCGAATGAAATGAGCGTGGGGAGAAGAAGAATGAACTTTAGTGGTACAACTCGCAGATCAGAAAAGGTAGGTTTGTGTCAAAGGTTAACACTTCATATAGCGAGTTGGTGAGCTTACGATCAAGTCAATTTGGTACAAATAGTTAGAGTTGTTCTTTATAATTAGATAAAAATGGCAAAACGTGTCTGGCATCAAACTTTAGCTTAGATATGATGAAGATGTAGATTTAAACTGTTTTGCCATCGGCCCAGTACACCAGATCGGAGTTGCACTTGTATGAAAATTCTGAGTTTTCTTTGCTAAACAGAGTTACACACCATATCAGACAAGTCTGAGTTCAGTTAAATTGCCACATAGAACAGGCCATTTGCACTAAGAGGTCCTGTGACATCATTTTTAAGAAAATGAAAGTTACATGATTTTGCCTTGGAAAAACGATTAGTGGGTCATATCTGAAACAAAATAATAGCGAATTGGTTTTTAAAACCAGCACCATTTTCTTAAAATGAGCAAGTTCGTAGCTGCTCACGTGACCAGAATGCAATATTTAAAATCATGAATTACCTCTTTCTGAACACAAATTTTGCACTTGAACTGCAAGGAAAATGTTGAAAAGATGATGTGGTAACATTTGCAGCACATCTGAGCTTAACTATCAAATTAATGTTTAACAAGATACAACCAGAAAGTAGTTTTGGCCACCATGTTGGAGGGCAGGAGTATGCCCTCCAACATGGCGGCCAATACAAATCATACTACTTTGTTGAAATATTAAAGTGCCATAAATTGCCTCCCTTAAATGCATTTCCTCTCAAATTTTGGGTGTAAGATAATTTTTACATACTCTGTCAATTTTTGTCATCAGAAAGATTCCAACTCATTGTTTAAAGGATCATTGATTATGTGACCTGTTAGTGCAAGTGGCCAGCCATCACACAAGTCTAATGCCCCATTTACACCAAAACTTGGACATGTTTAAAAGCTGTTTAGTTTTAAACATTGTTTGAAAATTGTTTCCTCCATAAAAGCTGCCTCCAGACGTTTCTCAACTACAAATTTGGAAGAAAAGGAGCACCACTGTGTGTGTCGGGAGGAGGGGAGGGAGTGTGGTAGGGAATAATTGGGCATTTTGCATATCACATCTAAAATAAAAAAATTGTTGATTCCCCATTGGTCATCGCATACAGTTCACCAGTGACCATCAAAGAATACTTCCACTCTTCCTTAACTTTCCCTTGCTCTGTCTGCCAGTCATACCATTTAATCTTAGAAATATTGCACCTTAACATTTCGTTATTTCAATGCTATGATCTAGAAAGACAGCTGCCGGTGTGTCAGTTCAAATCTGTAAACTTCTGTGAGGATCGACAATTCCAAGGGGGGAGCAGCTGGGATGGGTTCTGGGTACTCAGGATTTCAAGTGAGCAGGCTGATCGAATGGAGGCAAACTCAAACTCAAAAAAACCCTGGGGTTTCCAACAAAACCCACCAAAAAAGCAATAAAATAAACCGCAAGAAAATTCCATGTTGAAACTCTCAGCCTTAAACATTTCCAGAAATCATTAAATGATATAATGCGAAAAACAAAAACATTAGAAATTGAATGTTTGTGTTTGTATATTCATCATAACATGTGAAGTTATCTTCTCTGCAGCTGGTAGTCCTTGTAACAACACTCAAAAAACCCAAAAACATCTTTAGATTGTTTTGATTAACCAAATAAATCCCTTCTTAATCAAGGTATCCAAAAAATACTTGTCAAATTTTCCTACCTAAAAAAATCCAGAATTGAAAATTACAAACGTAAAATTATGGGGGGTGACAACTCTAACAAAGGCTGTTTGGGCAGTCCTATTGATAACTTTATGTCCTCCCGGAAATTTGGACGACCCTTCCGAATTTTTCGGTGGCATTCCCCATGTTAAATGTTTAACTTCCCAAAATTGTTTTAACAATTAAGATTAAAATTAGAGTTTTTTGTAGCTTCTTGTTTATTATGTAACTCGTTAATTACCTAACCTTAGTTATTTTTTCTTTTAGAGGAGTTGAACACTGAGGGTATCACGTTAACACAGAAAGAGTGTCTAAAACTAAAATCGTTGTTTTTTTGAATCACCGGCGAATCAGGCGAGCACTGAAGGGGCAAGGCACTAGTGGTGTCTGGGGCCATGCTCCCCCAGAATATTTTGAAATCTTGGTGCTCTGAAACGCCATTCCCAGTGTTCTGAGATAAAAAATTTTAAAAGCGTGACTTCGAGTAGAAGTAGTCGATTTTATTTTTATTTTATGCAGTTTTTGAAATTGCTCTGGAACCGATATCACTATGTGCCATGCACCAGCACGGTTCTTGTGTTAATCTGCTGGGGATATGCACGCAGTCAATCGCACTCCAACTTCCTGCTATGTTAGTTGGAAACATTGCTGATTGGTCTTTTCATATCATGGGGAGTTAAGCTGTTTTCAAGTGTCAAAATACATAAAATACAGCACATACACAGGGTGCATATCACTGTGCATATATATTGTTTGATAACATGTTCAATTTCCCGAAAATATCTCATATTTCCCGAAAAACTTCCCAGGTTTCCCGATTCCCGGCAAAATCTCCAGATTCCCGGAATAAATTTGTTTTTCTCCCAAAACAGCCCTTGTTAGAGTTGTCAGCCCCCATTAAAAATGTTCGATCCTCCCCTTCACATGAAATCCAGAGTACCCGCCCTGGGATAAAAGCCAGTCATTTAGTTTTCATTTACTGATTTTCATTTGATGAAATTGGTTTAACTGCACAATTTTTTGTTGGTGTGAATAAGGCTTAAGTTAACTTTGCAACATTTTCATTTTCGAGAAAAAATGCTAATCACCTCTGATTTACTAAGAATAAATTTGGTGCGAAAGATGACTCTACATATATTAAATTTTATAGATATAGCCTAAAATTCTAATTCTATGTTCAAATAATTGTTTGGCTATATTCCTCCCCTACCCTCTATAGAACAATGCTGTGGGTTACTAGGAAGAAACAAAACTTTCCCCCAGTCCTCCTGGCTCTAATGTCCCTGTTATTATTTTGCTGTAATATATATGCATTATCGACCAAGGTTAGGATGGCAGGGTATTGGCCAAGTTTGAACTCTTTTGTGGACTGAGACGAAGTCGACTTCAATAACAGCACAGAAAAGAACCAGCTCAATATCCATGCAGCAATCTTGACCAAACAACTTTGGTTAATAAGGGATCTATTACCATATATGGCCAAAACCAGAACTTTTTCTAGTGGGACAAATGGTGGAAATTCCTGAGCGCTCCATCTTACCCACTCAGCGAGGAGGCGGGGCTAGTCTCCCCTGGTTTTTTTTTTCTTCGTGAATTTTTGTCCCGCGCTCTACTATCTGAACGCGTGGAACAGGCTATACTAAAGGTCATAAAAAAAATTGAGCAATGAAAGTATATCCTTTACCATTCAAACAACAACATTCAGATGATGCTTTACAATGCTCAGATGACCTCGTAAAATGGTAGTTTAATCTCTAGAAAGAGACCTAAACAAATAGTGTCCCCAGTTAGTACATACTTGCTAAAAAACTCAAGTAGAGTCTTTTTTAAAAATAAAAAAAAAACAACCTTTTGGAGACCCTTGTCATAGGCTCTTTCACACAAACTAGGAAAAAAAGGGCTAAAAATCAGCCACAAAGTTGTTCACAGTATTCTTTACAATGTGCATGGAATGTTGGCAATATAAAGAAATTCGCAATCTTTGAAAATTTTAATCTGCTAAAGATAAGTGCCCAACTCTGTATCTTGTAATTACCGTCCTCTTATCTTTTTATTTGGCAGTGGTTTGACCACAGAAAGCCCAACAATGCAGCAGGATTCAAGGTATGTAGTCCATTCATAGTGTTGAGAATTTTGGGGCGCTTGCTCCATGGTATTAAAAAATTTAAATAATTATATACATAAAGGAACAAGTTTGTGCTCCGCTCTACTTGTCAGGAAATTGTCAAAACAGCTGGAAGTTCAAGCACTTGTGCGCATTCACGATGGTAATTTATTTTTTCATGGTTAATTTATGTTGGAAATGTGAGAAGGGAAGGCAAGAAAAATAAAAACGATAAGAAAGAAAGCACATAGTATTATTCAGGTGGTTATTGCTTTTTCTGATGTGGTGGCTCCTAAAAGAGCCGTTTGTTTGAAAAGAAGTGTCACGCTTTACTTCTTCTTAGCTGGAGATTTTTTGGCGGCAGATTTCTTAGCGGACTTTTTGGCGGCAGGTTTCTTTGCGGGTGTCTTCTTCGCAGGTTTCTTGGCCGCTGGTTTCTTGGCTGCCGGCTTTTTCGCTGCCGATTTCTTGGGTTTTTTACTTGGTGTCTTCTTCGCTGGCTTCTTTTTAGCCGCTGCTTTCTTTGCTGTCGGTTTTTTAGCCGCCGGTTTCTTTGCTACCTTCTTGGCGGCGGGCTTCTTTGGCTTCGCTGGTTTCTTCTCCTTCTTTTCCGCCTTGGCGACCTTGAAGGAGCCAGATGCGCCAACACCTTTGGTGTGTATCAACTTTCCACTCGCAGCACCTCTCTTGAGAGCCATCTTCAAGTGTGAGCCGACCTCACCAACCTTGTAGTTGGCTTTGATGTACTTCTCAATGGCTTGGCGAGAAGAACCATTTCGCTCTTTTAGAGCGACAATGGCAGCCTTGATCATATCAATGTATGGTGGGTGCTCAGCTGGCTTTTTAGGCGCAGCTGGCTTCTTTTTAGCTGGTGACTTTGGTGGTTCAACCATGTTGCAAGACTGAAGGATACCCTCGTAACAAGGATTTCAAAATGTGAATTTTAAGCGAGATGATCGACGTTTATTAACACAATGCGGACCACCGTGGAAACAGCAAATCAAGATGGCGTGTGTACTTCTGTGTTAGTTTCCTCAAGGTTTTGTGATATGAAATGAGTAATTCATTCAATACTCTCGCGTAAACTGTAAAATTTAGCTGTTAAGTGATTCAAGCATTAGGTCTAAAAAGATATTTCGATAAACGCGATTGTGCGGTGGGATATTCAACGTTTTATCCCTGAGTGTCCAAGGGTTGAAGAACTATTTTAGCTTAAATAGGCGATATACTTTCTGTCGAAACGACTTTACTTCGTAAATCGGCATTCAGACTATAGAAGAACTCCAGTACTTCGAATTTTTACCTAGATTTTTGACATTTAACTACATTTTGTATATCTTAGCTTCTTTTCTTTGAAAGCAACTAGGACAACATCTATGCACCATGAGCAGCCTATCAGTGCAGTGGAAGCTCCCGTAAGCGGGAACCCTCGGGTCGCGAAAATGGTGCCCATAACTTGGGCTGGCCGCTTACGAGAATGTAAAAATACAGAGTTTGTATGGGAATTGAGAAAAACGAGCTTTTGTGAAGGCGGCCTTAAGTACAGCTGTTTCCCGCTTACGTGTACCGACTGTATTCAAAAGAGCTTACTGCGAAAGCTGGTGCCTTCGGCGCCTTTTTGTTTTTTTTGCCTTTTTAATTTTAAGCACCTCAAGAGAAGATTTACGGCCTGACAGGTAGAGTGAGAAAAATTTTTAAGACAGAAGTCGTTTATTTAAGCCAAACATCTTAAAACAAACTCAATAATGTCTTAACTTTACCGTATACACATCTTAAAACTGAGCCTCCTTGGAGTCCACCTTTTCTCCTAAAATCCGTCCTGTTCTTATCCCAGCCAGCGCGATCCCAAAAAACCGGCAAACAAGGACGTTACAGTAGTCTACAAACAGAACAAAAGAGTCAGCAGCCTCCTATTTTTTTTTCTTCTCGGGCTTACACCCTCGATTATTGCTACTCGTGGCTTCACCTTTCATCGTTCGCCTGCATAACTTACGCTTTGCGTGGAGTAAGACAAATAAGACTGAAGAGACTGCTCGCAATTTACCGAAAAGCACTTGTTGTACGCTTCATCTTTTAAGCAACAGACATTATCTACAAAAATTGAAATGAAATGTTTGACATCATACGCTGAAGTGCACATTTAAAGTTATACAAAGTTACTTCATTTGTAAGTCTGTTGTAAATTCTGCATGTTTTGTTCAACTCCAAGGTGCCGTTTAGATTTGCATAATTTTTGCGCCAAATTTCCTAACCGATTTCGCTTATAGTTTAGGCAGTTTCTATCAACTGTTCTTGCTTTATCTTATATTTTGTAAAATCAGGCTTTTGTTAGAGTAACGTCCGGTAAATTTTAAAACCGACTGTTTTCCCAGCCAACCTACACAATGGAAGTCGGGACATGTATGTTCCAACCAAATCTGTTATTTTTTCTGGTGGTGGGAAATCAAACAGAGTCGAGCGACAAAGGACGGCGTGTTGACGTCGCGGCGGCAACTAGAAGAACTAAGAAAGAAAAGAAGAGAGGAAAAACCTTCACATTTTCACTCCTTCTCAGTTCTCATTTCTCTCGAAACCCTTCCCGAAAAAGAAAAAAAAAGATACTTGAGAGGCGAATAATCTTTGATTTCCAATTTTATCGTGCTCAGCCGACACTACTTTGTGTTTGATGGTTATATCGGGGTGGTTATGCATCTAATGCCCGGTTCAGACGCCGTGCTTCTCCTGAGTCGAAAAACATACTACACTGCTAGCCCGGCCAGAAACTGATTTGGACTTTAGAGCGACTTTGGTTTGTGTTTTCTTCAGGCCGAGTTACTAACTTGACATGTCTTCTGTCTAGTTGGTCGTTTTCAGACTGAGATAAAATAGTTTATTTTTCACGAATTTTCCACTCTATATGTTTTACCGGAATCCAAATACCGCTAACTCGGTCGATTGAAATTACAAATGCGCGCCACATTGAAAAATGGTAGGAGACGAAGCTCCCCTTTTCTCTAAAATGGAAAAAAAGTTGATGACTTAAGATACTCAATTGTTGGTTATTGCTTTTATTGATGTGGTGGCTCCTAAAAGAGCCGTTTGTTTTGTGGTGCAAGCAAATCACTTATGCTCGCTCTCCGCGGATTCGGCGGGCCAACTGAATGTCCTTGGGCATGATGGTGACGCGCTTGGCATGGATGGCGCACAAGTTGGTGTCTTCAAAAAGACCAACGAGGTAAGCCTCGCTAGCTTCTTGAAGAGCCATGACAGCAGAGCTCTGGAAACGCAGATCGGTCTTGAAGTCTTGAGCGATCTCTCGCACAAGACGCTGGAAGGGCAGCTTGCGAATGAGCAGCTCGGTCGATTTCTGGTAACGACGGATCTCACGAAGAGCGACTGTACCAGGCCTGTAACGATGAGGTTTCTTGACTCCACCAGTGGCGGGCGCGCTCTTACGAGCTGCCTTTGTGGCGAGCTGTTTTCGTGGAGCTTTTCCACCAGTTGATTTACGAGCAGTTTGCTTTGTACGTGCCATCTTCGAGATTCGATGCAACAGTAACTCGGGGTTAACGGATAATAACGCACAAGTTTTGCAATATAATTTATACATGGCGGGCTACTCCATGATTGGACAAAAACTAAGCGATTTCATTGGATAAGAAAGTAGTGCGCTTCTCTGATTTGAAGATGTTCGATCCGAAGTTACTTTTAGGCCAGTTTTAGTATGAATTTACGTTATCTGTGATTCCTTTCCTTTAAGATAAAAATAGACACGAAAAAGAGTTTGACTGGAGATTGTTTATGAAGTATTTTTTGTGGTTGTGAATATTTATTTATTTACTAAACATGTTCTCGCAAGAACTATGAAAGAGGAACATGTATAAAATATGGTAATTAATAACTTGACCCTTGTCTCTGTTATCGTAACTAACCAATAGAGAGCAAGCAGCGTGTCTTGTTTTCGGAGAGGTCATTCTTTGCCATATAAAAGCCCAGACATCGTGAATTTGAGTTATTTTTCAGTATTACCGTGTACATATCAGTATGTCTGGTCGAGGCAAAGGAGGCAAAGGTCTAGGAAAAGGAGGCGCCAAGCGTCACCGAAAGATCCTTCGTGACAACATCCAAGGCATCACCAAGCCAGCCATCCGTCGTCTTGCTCGCCGTGGCGGTGTTAAGCGAATCTCTGGCCTGATCTACGAAGAGACTCGTGGTGTTCTCAAAGTTTTCCTTGAGAATGTGATCCGTGATGCTGTGACCTACACCGAGCACGCCAAGCGCAAGACTGTGACCGCCATGGATGTGGTGTACGCTCTCAAACGTCAGGGACGTACTCTATACGGATTTGGCGGTTAGATCTTCACGCTACACTCTCAAACCAACGGCTCTTTTAGGAGCCACCACATCTTTAAAAGTCATTGCCAATAAAGTTTGCTCTTGACTTATATTGTACCGCTTTGTGCCCTAGTATAGTGTAATGTAAGCACGGGCCTATGAGCGTCTTCCCAAAAGAGCAAGATCCATTCTTATTGTTCATTAAAGCATAGCCTATAGTTTCAATTGTTCGGTGCTCCAACCGTGTCTCTTTAAACGTTTGGAGTCATTAGGCTGTAATTTATAGTTGTTAGTCCAAGACCTGTATTGCTTTAGTTGTTGAACTGTAAATGGGATTCTCTGCACAGAGCGTGGAAACGCGCGATATTCGAATAAACAGAGAATTTGCTGTTTTCGGTTTTCGCAAGTTCGCTGAAAATGCGAGGAGGAGTTATGTTCAAGTTTTAGAATACTGACGATATGGTAAGGGGAAAAGGACCGTCTTTTGGTCTTCAATTGCACAAAAATAAATTCATTGTGTATGCTACTTATCTTAGCATCATTTTATTCTTTTCAATCGAAAATATTTCATGCGCAGCAAGCACGATGTATGTAGCCCATTGATGCGTTAACCGCCAAGAGTAACGCAATTATATCTAAAAGACATGGTAGGAACGGACTCTACGCCTTCTTTAACTCAGAGAATATGTTCCTTACAGGCTAGGAAGAAACTTCCATCATAGAACAACTGAGTGGTCGTGACTTTTAAATTATGTGGTGGCTCCTAAAAGAGCCGTTTTGTTTGTAAGGCCAGAACAGACTGATCAAGCTTTTGGCTTCTTCTCGGTCTTCTTGGGTAGAAGAACAGCCTGGATGTTGGGAAGAACACCTCCTTGAGCGATGGTGACGCCGGCGAGCAGTTTGTTCAACTCTTCATCGTTGCGAACAAGTCAAGTCAAGTCAAGTCAATCTTTATTTAAACACGGTAAAATCCATCAGGAATTTAAAAAATTAAAAATAACCTAACTATCCTAAACAAAATTCAAAAGTTTGTTAACATTAAATATGAACATTAACTTCTTTTAAATTGACGTTGACAGGGAACAGAGAAGCTATAAGTAAAGCTGAAGGTGACGGGGAATGATTCTGGTCTTCTTGTTGTCACGAGCAGCGTTGCGCGCCAACTCGAGGATCTCAGCGCTCAAATACTCGAGCACTGCAGCCAAGTAGACCGGAGCTCCAGCGCCAACACGCTCGGCATAGTTGCCTTCGCGAAGAAGACGGTGGATCCGACCTACAGGGAACTGAAGCCCAGCTCGGGATGATCGGCTCTTGGACTTGGTGCCTTTAGCCTTTCCTTTGCCGCGACCAGACATCTCAACGAAATTAGTGAAGACAGAGAGATGTATATCAAGAATTTGTTCGTTTCTAAAGTACTTGGCAGTCAAGACATGTCAGAGTTTATACGCGTGGCAAGATTTGGCTAGGATCGAAACGCACCAATCAGATCTAACGATATTTAATATTTCTAAACAAAATATGATGCATGGAAGCAGATGGTGACCTTTGAAATTACCTAGAGCGAACCAACCAATGAAAAATGAAAGATTTCGATCCGTATGTTAATTGATCCCCTGTTGGTTTTGTTATAAATACAGTATTCAGCAAATGCGGCCTATTCTCATCCATTCTGATCAACAGATATGGCACCCAAAGTTGCAGGAAAGAAAGGCGAGAAGAGAGCTGGAAAGGCTAAGGCTCCATCTGACGGAAAGAAGAAGAGGAGGGGAAAGAGAAAGGAAAGCTATGCTATCTACATCTACAAGGTGTTGAAGCAAGTTCATCCTGACACCGGTATCTCCAGCAAAGCCATGGGCATCATGAACTCGTTCGTTAACGACATCTTCGAGCGCATCGCTACTGAAGCTTCCCGCCTTGCTCACTACAATAAGAAATCAACCATCAGTTCTCGCGAGATCCAGACAGCCATCAGGCTTCTTCTGCCCGGTGAACTGGCCAAACACGCTGTCAGTGAAGGAACCAAGGCTGTGACCAAGTACACCAGCAGCAAGTAAACTCACTTAGTGGGTTTACCGCCAAAACAAACGGCTCTCTTAGGAGCCACCAAATGTTATTAAAGTCATGACCAATTCGTGCAATGCATACTGCCCTATCTAAAACTTTTAGGTTATTTCGTTCTGAATTTCATTGTGCTGTATAATATTGCTAGATGTGGTCAGTTTTTGCTTTAAACTCGATTTTTTATTACTTATCATACGCCATGTGAAAATTTGTATGCCAGACTACTCGTTCGAGCCACTACTTGATCGGATCCCCCTCTATATATCCTTATCGATGCCGTGTAAAAGATTATAAAATAGTACGAGGGGAAACTTATTTTCCTTAGGGGTAGTTGTGCGAGCCAAATTATACGATCTGTTTATTCTTTATTTTACGTTTTGACACCATGTTCACACGGGTCAGGACAAAATTCTTAACGAAGACTTGTAGAGACAGTCTATTGCTCGTTTCGTATACACGGTATCTTCCAAACCGCGCATCTTAATCTGCGTCGAGCAAATATAATTTTTGCACGGCAAAAATGTTTTTACCTTATGATTCCACTTTGCTTGAACGCGTGTCAACACATGGCTTGGCACGTTTCTGCACAAGTTGCGCGAACCGATTCGCGTGCCTTTGTTTTCAAAGTGCAAGCAAGGTCTCCCCGCCTCTTTCACTGTTTGGCTCTCATTTCATTTCCCTCCTAGCAGAGGTCTCTCACGACGAGGCAAAAATGAGAGACCTCTGCTAGCAAGGAATCATTTCATTTTTCGCCAAAACCGAAAATCGCGTTCCTCGTCGTTCGGTCTTTTCTTTACCTCGAAACCAAACGGAAACGCTGGCGCTCGCTTGACTCTTTCGACTTTGCTCGCGGGCTAGTAGCCTTGGAATTTGTAACAGAAATTGTCTGGACCTGTGTAAGCCTGTGTGTAAACGAGGTCGAGCGGCTCTGAGGAAAGAAAACGATCACAAGCGTTCTAGCTCGTAGTCGGCTACACAGCCGTTTTTATAGTCGTGGGGTATGGGGCGCCGTTTGTAAAAAAAATGATTTAGCTTAATTTTGTCATTTTTTTCGTTATTTATTAAATAAAGTTTTCTGATATGATATCATACGCCAATGATTTGATATAATAAATGTTGATTTCAAATCATGCGTTTATGATTTGATATAATAAATTATTATTTAAAATCATGCGCTTATGATTTGATATAATAAATTCTGATTTCAAATCATGCCTTTATGATTTGATATAATAAATATTGATTTCAAATGATAAGTTTATGATTTGATATAATAAATCCTGATTTCAAATCATTCGTTTATGATTTGATATAATAAATCCTGATTTCAAATCATAAGTTTATGATTTCATATAATAAGTTCTGATTTTAAATCATAAGTTTATGATTTGATATAATAAATCCTGATTTCAAATCATAAGTATATGATTTCATATAATAAAAATCATTATTTGATATCAGTAAAACCATGATTTAATTTAATAAGTAATAAGTAACCGCGTGACTTGGCACGTGGGTTACTAGCGCGGGAATAATCGCAAACATGGCGACACAACCAGATCAGCTATCGAGGTCAATCGCTTCTAGGGTCTCTAGAGCCGTAGAAAGGGCGGTTGACCAAGCTTTGGCATCCCTTCCGAGCCTTCCTGGCAATTCAGGTTTTGCTGCTGCGACACAAGAGGTATGTAACATTGATGTATCGGGGTGGGGGTACTCTCATACATTACCTTTACGGGTATATGTGCCGCCCAACGGGGTCGTGATTTTGAAACTCCTGATTTAGAACGGGGTATCCATTTCAGAGGCGTTTTCTAGAACGGGGTATTAAAAAATTGTGGATCATGGCTTTATCTTCTGCTTAAAATTGTTGCTGATTATGAAGAAGCATCTATTTGATGTATAAGTCGAACAAATAAAGAAATATCTTTTAAAAAAACAGGGCTATTTCAATTTACGAACTTTCTAGAACGGAGTATAGAAAATCGGCCCATTTCTAGAACGGGGTATCAGTTTTAAGGCGAATTCTAGAACGGGATATAAAAAATTGGCCCATATCTAGAACGGGGTATCAATTTTGGGGATATTTTTTTTTAGAACGGGGTGCCTATTTGGAGTCCTGGCGGCACATACCCTCCCCCCGAGGATGTATCACTGCTGAAAGCTATGACCATATTTACGAGGAAAGAGGACTTTTGGACCTTTCGCTTGTCTGGCGCATTGCGTGACACGCGCGGCTTACTTTTAGATGTGTTTGCTTCCTTTGTTATGTCCTTTTAGTAGCCATACTAAAATAACATACAGCTAATGATTCTTTCTATTTCACAAAGTGAGGCGACAAGACAGTTCGTCATAGAACAAGAGATCGAGACAAACAAAGGGCTATTTACACCTCAACACCGGGAGGAGAAATTATTAGTTAGTGACATCGATCCAAGCGTCCTTGGCGAACAAAAATCATTGTACAGGCGTAACATTGAGACTCTGGTTTGGCGACAAATCGCAGTAGCATATATATGTTCGGAGGGGATGCCAAAGCTTGGTCAACCGCCCTTTCTACGGCTCTAGAGACCCTAGAAGCGATTGACCTCGATAGCTGATTTGGTTGTGTCGCCATCTTTGCGATTATTCCCGCGCTAGTAACCCACGTGCCAAGTCACGCGGTTACTTATTACTTATTAAATTAAATCATGGTTTTACTGATATCAAATAATGATTTTTATTATATGAAATCATAATACTTATGATTTGAAATCAGGATTTATTATATCAAATCATAAACTTATGATTTAAAATGAGAACTTATTATATGAAATCATAAACTTATGATTTGAAATCAGGATTTATTATATCAAATCATAAACGAATGATTTGAAATCAGGATTTATTATATCAAATCATAAACTTATGATTTGAAATCAATATTTATTATATCAAATCATAAAGGCAGGATTTGAAAAAATAATTTATTATATCAAATCATAAACGCATGATTTTAAATAATAATTTATTATATCAAATCATAAACGCATGATTTGAAATCAACATTTATTATATCAAATCATTGACGTATGATATCATATCAGAAAACTTTATTTAATAAATAACGAAAAAAATGACAAAATTAAGCTATATCATTTTTTTTACAAACGGCGCCCCATAATTTCTAGAACGGGGTATCAGTTTTAAGGCGAATTCTAGAACGGGATATAAAAAAATTGGCCCATATCTAGAACGGGGTATCAATTTTAGGGGATATTTTTTTTAGAACGGGGTGCCCGGGCGCCACATACCCCTCCCTCCCCCTTTTTGATTAACAAAAAAATCATTATTGATGTCTTCCAAGCGCCTCATCTATTTCTTACATGTTGCACTGCATCATTAGTTAAGGGGATTGCGTGTTAATCGGAAAGCTATGACTATATTTACGAGGGAAAGAGGACTTTTGGACCTTTCGCTTGTCTGGCGCATTGCGTGACACGCGCGGCCTAGTTTTAGATGTGTTTGCTTCCTTTGTTATGTCCTTTTAGTAGCCATACTAAAATAACATACAGCTAATGATTGTTTCTATTTCACAAAGTGAGGCGACAAGACAGTTCGTCAGGGAACAAGAGATCGAGACAAACAAAGGGCTATTTACACCTCAACACCGGGAGGAGAAATTATTAGTTAGTGACATCGATCCAAGCGTCCTTGGTGAACAAAAATCATTGTACAGGCGTAACATTGAGACTCTGGTTTGGCGACAAATCGCAGTAGCATATATATGTTCGGAAGGGATGCCAAAGCTTGGTCAACCGCCCTTTCTACGGCTCTAGAGACCCTAGAAGCGATTGACCTCGATAGCTGATCTGGTTGTGTCGCCATCTTTGCGATTATTCCCGCGCTAGTAACCCACGTGCCAAGTCATGCGGTTACTTATTACTTATTAAATTAAATCATGGTTTTACTGATATCAAATAATGATTTTTATTATATGAAATCATATACTTATGATTTGAAATCAGGATTTATTATATCAAATCATAAACTTATGTTTTAAAATCAGAACTTATTATATGAAATCATAAACTTATGATTTGAAATCAGGATTTATTATATCAAATCATAAACGAATGATTTGAAATCAGGATTTATTATATCAAATCATAAACTTATGATTTGAAATCAATATTTATTATATCAAATCATAAAGGCATGATTTGAAATCAGAATTTATTATATCAAATCATAAACGCATGATTTTAAATAATAATTTATTATATCAAATCATAAACGCATGATTTGAAATCAATATTTATTATATCAAATCATTGACGTATGATATCATATCAGAAAACTTTATTTAATAAATAACGAAAAAAATGACAAAATTAAGCTAAATCATTTTTTTTACAAACGGCGCCCCATAGTGGGGAGGAGCGTTGCGTGACGACACTAAAAACGGCTGTGCAGCAGACTATCTAGATCGCGGTCTGGCGAAATTCGCAAGAGCGCGACGTGAGCCACAGGCCGCCCAAGCTCAATATGAGAGTACTGCGTGGAAACTCGGGATAAAGGAAGCCGCTTAAATCGGGAAAATAACCACACAGGAAGCAAGAAGACACCAAGTAAACAAGGTAAAGCGTATTTTTTTGAAAATTCATGCGAGTATTTATCTTCTCGAATCTATTACTTGAATTCTTAGGCAAATCCTTTAACACTGACAGCCATTTTGAGAGTTACGCAACCGCACGTACTCTCATATTGACTCGCGCTGCCTGAGCTCCTCTTCCTCCGAAACGTTTTTCTCGGGCGGGGGACTCCGCATATGAAAGGGGTGGAGATGCTCGTCGGAAATTTTGAATTCAATTCCGGGGGTTTGGGTGGGGGGGGGAGTAGTGAAAAAAGAGCGTCTAGAAGATTTTAGATTTCCAGAGGCTGGCATCTCTGTACTCAACAGTTACATTTTAATACTAAAGTAGCCTGCGTTGTTAACGTCGAAAGGCGAGGGAAGCGAGAGGGAAAAAGTGCAAAGGTAAACGTGCCTCCCGAGGTTCGCTCTGCTTCAAAATAGTGTGGACAGTTTAAATCTTAACTTATAAACTTCTTAAAACGCGGCGACTTTAAAATCATTTTTTCCGAACCGATCGATCTTTTTTTTTTCCTTATGGTGCTAACAGTTTGGTGATTTTGTAAAGATGAAAAACAGGGTAACCATTAGAGACTCTATCCCTGCCAAATCCCTGCCCCTTGTGGCGTGGGCCTGCAAACACTCAGCAACTTTGCGCCGTCGGAGTATGCTCAATAGTCGATGGCGGAAAAATTTTCCATCAGGTGGGGTAGGGTCTTGGGAAACAACGAAATCGCAGTTAATGAACCTTCAGACTGTTTTGAAATGTTTTGAAACCTCGCAAAGATAAATGTTACATTTCGAGTACAATATCATTCCAAAATCACGTTTTAAAATTGGACTCTGAAGTTCGGGTTCGTCATCATGTTGCATAGGGAAGCTACCTATCAGGGTAGGCTGGGGCTAGGCTGGCGCTTTTCTTTACATGGAATTCTCTCTTATAACTTCCGGTGTTTTTTTTCCAGGAAGATGTTAGAAAGTGGGGGCCTTCCCGACGCTTACAATTTTACGTTGTGACGCTATAGTTGGTATTCTTTTAAATTGAAAGTGATACTCTCAGAATATAAATGTGCAAAGTTTTCATTCAGCGGAAACGGAACCTTCAAACGTAGGAGTGAAGTCCGTGAGGTTTTGAAGTTGACATAAATTTCATTCATCAAACGTCTTCCTGCTTTGTCGACTTCCCGCTTCTGCACGATCAAGCTTTATTTCTCGTCCGACAAGATAACGATTACTTTAAGGTGAGTCTTAAATCTTGATTTCCATCATATTATAAAACTGAGCTAATAAACATGAGCAAGTCTTTTGTTTTTCCTTTATATTCCATGGTCGTTTTAAGCTTATAAGATACAGATAATCTTCGATTCACTTGGTTATAAAGAAATCATGCAAGAATTCTCTACTTCGGGGAATTAAGTTAGGTCATTTTCTTGTTTTTCAGTTTTCTGTTGTGGACTACCTGAAAGTCGAAAATGAAGAGAGAATTAACTGAAACCGTAGTCGTTTAAACATTGTTAGTTTACATGCTTTTCAGAGGCATATAGTTGACTCTCAGAAGTTCAGGATGTATTTTGCATGTGGCTAAAATGGTAGATCTTTATTTATGACACTTAATTAAGCCAGCTGGAAAATACTTGATTAATAGGATATAATTTTTAATATTTTAAAAGTGATCCCCTGCAACATAATTTTTACAAAGGTCTATTGACATTACCAAATCTCTATCCTTGTATTAAACTCAGGATATGATCACACCATAGATGAATATCTTTTAGCACTAAAATCATACTGGATAGGTGGAGCTTCTGCTCACACACAAGAACAGTGATTTCAGCACAATTTCTGTGGTAAAGTGACGCTAGCCACGGTGATCTTCACATATTGGATACGAGTTCTGTACTGTACTTTCGTGAAATGTCAGACCTTTCAACTCTCACAGTTTGACTGTGAGACTCCCGGTTTGGGCAGTCAACTCACGGTCTCAGGATTTAGCCTCCAAATCTCACAGTGAATCAGAAACTCTGTCAATTCAATTATGGTAGGAACTGCGTAAATGATATCAAAAAAACCGTCTCCATATTAGACATATTTGTGTTAGTCTAATTTTGGAGGGAAACCTGAGTCCAATTCCAACCTCATTCTGGTAAAACATATATATATAGGTTGAATAAGGTTGGTGAGAAAGCCCTTATACATGTAGCATACTCACTTCTACTCGCAGTCCTATTCGACCTTGATAGTAAAACAGAATCTTCTCATCACTGCGAAAAGAGCAACAAGACAGTACAACAAAGACCCCTAATAGGGTAAAAAATGACAACGAAAAAATAATCTGCCTTTTTGGTTTTATTTGGCACCAACACCAGACTGTCGTGGAAGTGAATAAGAAGGAGTGAAGACTGAGAACCCATTAAGATGAAAGTAAATATTTGGGAGCAAGGACTAGGATTTAGTGCACCAAACCCTCTTTGCCACAAGGTTCATTGTGTGTGTGAACAACTTGCTCCAGGCCTGGGCGGTTGCTGTTCATACTATACTGATGTCTCTTTGTGGCGGCACGAATAGCTATCCAGTATGATGTGAATATCGATTCAGCACAGGGAACCTGAATGCTGTATTAGCCAAAATAATCAGTTGTTTAATTTACCTCAGTCCTGAGTCTTTATGAGTCGTTTTGGAAGTGATTTGAGTCTGATCAGAGGTGGTTTAACATTGCTGGTCTCAAATTCTGTCTGGTGTGGCATAATTAAAAACTTCTGCGAAATCAACACTGAAGAAAAACAATCAAGGTGACAAAGCAATCAGCTAGTGTTCCAATGTATTATTTGTGATGAAATCTGAGCTCAGGAGATGTGTACAAACAGTCAACTATATATTTGTAAACATGACTGCACTGTTTTGATTTGTACACTTCATTATGATCATAACTCAAGTAATCTTATAAATAAAATAATTGGACAGTCCTTGAAGTTTGAGCAAATTTTAAGACAGAGAGAAAATATCAGTTTATCCTATTGTTACTGTTGTTTTTGCTGTTGTTTATATCCTTAGATGTATGTATATGGTTGCTCAGAAACACTGACCAGCCTCATAGTGATACAGTGTGGGTAAAATGCATGAGATTTTTGCGTCTGTATCACCCTAGTTTCCAATGGCTTCCAAACATTGAAGAAGATATTGCGACAACTTCCAAGCTCTTTGAAAGTTCCCGGAGGACTTTTCAGGCTCAGATATGCCCCTCTCCTTTGATAGATACAGTCGTGTACTGGTGAATTATTTCTGTTATTATACATTGTACTGTCTGTCTTCTCATTAGCTGTAAAGAGCCTACAGCTAACTTTAGAAATCAGTTCAACCTACAGATTAGTTATCTGCTAGCAGATTGTAGCGATTACATCATTGATACGCATGACTTAATAATTGACTACCAATGTAACATGACCATTTAAGAATGAGATTACAGTGAATTACATCTGAGAGTGAACACATGTATTGTCTTCCTTCGTCTTACCCAATCATTACATTGGTGACGAGACATTTCCAACCATCACAGCAGCCCCAGTCCTTATTCCGTACCATCCAGAATGCCCAATCCTCATTATCTGTGACGGAAGCCCAGAGGGATTAGGAGGAGGACTGTTTCAGAAGAACGGAAAAGGATTTCAACCAGTACACTAAGTGAGCCGGACCTTAATTGACACAGAGAAGAGATACTCTCAAATTGAGAGAGAAGCACTGGCAGCAGAATTCACAACAACAAGGCTCCAGATGTACCTGCCTAGCACACCAAAACTCCAGTTAGCAACAGACCACAAGCCACTGCTTCCACTATTCAACAACCCAACAGCTAAACTGCCACCACACATTGAAAGACTTGCCCTGAAAATGCAGAACCTCAACTTCGAGGTGATTCATATCCATTGTAAAACCAACATAACTGACTTGTTGTCCAGACATCCACTGCCAGAAACAGGGACCGACCACCTCGAGAAATATGTCATGGCCACTGTCCAATCAGAGCACGCTGTAGTCCTAGACAAAATCAAAGAAGAAACCGCAAAAGGCAGAGAGCTTACAATTAAGTTTGCTGAAGGCATGCAAACAGATAAATGGATCAAGACTGACCAAAACCTCAAGCCATACTTCGACCTGAGAGCAGAGCTATACATGGCAGACGGACTGATCCTAAGAATTGACAGAATCATTCCCTCTGAATCACTGAGAGACAAGATTATCCAGATAGCCCACAGGCACGGACACCTGGGTATCAGCAAGACCAAAGAAATGCTACACCGAAAGTATTGGTTCCCTGCCATGAACTATCGCATTGACACCGTTGTGAGCACTTGCTTTGACTGCCAGATAGCGACAAACACATAGCATACAGAACCAGCCAAAATGACCAATTTGCCAGAGATACCTTGGTAAACCATTGAAATCTATTTCTGTGGACCATTCCCAAGCAAAGAGTATGCACTGGTCATAACCGACCAATACTCAAGATACCCAGAGGTCGAGTTTGTCTTCTCAACAGCCATCAAGCCAGTGTGACAGAAGATGAAAAAATCTTCGTCTCTCAGGGAGTTTAAGACCATCCAATCAGACAATGGACCACCGTTTAACTCTGAAGACGTCAAAGAGTTTGCAGTGGAAATGGGGTTCACACACAAAAAAGTCACACCACGACATCCCAAAGCCCAGGGACAAGTGCAAGGCTTCAACAAGCTCATGAATAAGACAGCCGCTATAGCCCGGACAGAAGGTGTTGATCTTCAGGCAGCAAACTATGACATGCTTCAACCATACAGGGAGACGCCACACCCAGCAACAGGGACTGCGCCATACAAATAACTCATGAACAGAGAAATCCGTACATGACTTGACCACTACCCAACAGAAGAGATCTAACTGGGATGAAGAAATCAGGAAACGAGACAGCAAATACAAAGAGAACGTAAAATCTTACCGTGACCGAAGACACAGAGCCAAAGAGCACAAGTTCAACGTCAGAGAGGCGGTTCTTTTGAAATGCGACAAGAAACACAAAGGAGACACCCCATTTGAACCGTACATCTACATGGCCACAAAGGTAATTGGCTCCACGATCCATGCCTAGAGAGTCAATGATGGGAAAACAGTATGCCAAGATGCATCCAAATTCAAGCCACTCAGAACAACCTACATCCCAGCAAGAGAGAAACAAAGGAAAACACCTACTGCAAGACCAGTAGTACCACCAGCAGCTAAATGCCAAGCAGCACCAGCCACCGCCCAGGAAAACAACACCAGCAGCAGTACCAACAGTTACCCAAGGCATTGTTACCCAACAAGTGCCAATTGAGACAACGCTTACCAATCAAACCCTACCACTGCCACTGTGCAGATCACAACCACCGAGCAAATCCACATTTGATGGTCGTCTGAAGGACTACACCAAATAAACGTTGAATGGACTTTGAACATTGATCAGATGCTATCAACAATGATTATGAACACTGAACACTTGTTTCGTTACTGACATTGACTGTGATTGTTATTTGATTAATATGATCTTACAGTACCAACATTGAATATGTATTACTGATCAGGCCCATGTTAAGTATAACCGAGAATTAGTTTAGACCCCATTGATTTTGAGGAACTGATCTGAAGAAGGAGGAGTGTAGTGATTACATCATTGATACACGTGACTTAATAATTGACTACCAATGTAATAACATGACCATCTAAGAATGAGATTACAGTGAATTACATCTGAGAGTGAACACGTGTATTGTGTTTCTTCGTCTAACCTGCTCCTTACTAAGATAACTGACTGATCTGTACTAAGATTACAAGCTTAATGCATGATTTCTAGTAACAATGTTATATCAATTCAGGTTCCTCGCAATGATGTGTTTGTCATTTTTTTTTTACATTGTATTAAAAAAACAATTATTAGATTCGTTTTTTGTGATATCTTAAGTAATCAAGTGTTATCATGCCAGCCTCAGCCTTTAGCTTGGCTAGTGATAATACTCACCTGTACCTTGATTATTCCGGATACCGCACGCAAAGAAAGTCGTGTCTGATATCCCAGGGCTAGTGGATTTTGCTGTTGGGCTAGTGATTTTTGTTATAACTTGCCCGATGGGCAAGTGATGTTTTTTGGGGAAATTTAAAGTACAGAAGGATTGTAATCAATCCTGCAAATCAAAAAGAGTTTTGGGGCTAGTACATGCTAGCTACAGCTTGCCCTAAAGGCAGGCTGTAAAACTCTTTGCACCCTTGGATATAACAAAAACTTCATCCAATATTGTTTATAATCATAGCTGTAACAAAATTCTCAAATCTGATTGGCTATCAACTGCCCTGATTTCAGCCTTAGTAGGACAATTTAATAGGGCAGTAGGTGCCATCACGTTTGCGCTTGAACGGATTTTAATCACTGCTAGCAAAAAAAATTGGAATTTCTTCTGTGTTGATTTTTAAAAAGAGCCTTGTATATCACAAATTTTGTTAAAGTTCTGATTAATTGGTGACAGAAGTTTGTGTCGTCCAATTCGGTCTTTAATCATAACTATAACAAAATTCTCAAATCTGATTGGTTCTCAACTGCCCTGATTTCAGCCTTAATAGGACAGTTTAATAGGACGGTACGCATCATGCCTAAGTAATTGGACAGTACACGCCATCACGCGCGTGCTTAAAGGGCTTTTTTTTTTCATTGCTAGCAAAAAATTCTTGGAATTTCTTGTGTTTTGATTTAAAAAGAGCCCTATATATCACAAATTTTTTTTAAAGTTATGATTAATTGGTAACAGAACTTCGTGTCGTCCAATTCTGTCTGTAATCATACTCGTGATTAAACAAATCAGACTCCCGCTACGCGGTCGTCCGATTTTGTTAATCACTCGTATGATTACAGACCGAATTGGACTCCACTCAGTCCTGTTACCATTATTTATTTGCTGTTTATAATATACTGACAGCTTGTTTTCTGTTTATAGTTGGATGTATTGAACATGGCATACATGGAACTACAAATAAGAAAGCTCCCTTATGGCATTCTCAAGAAATTAGCAGATCAGCTTGACATGGAGTCGGATGGTCCTCGTGACTGGAGGGCCCTCATCAGTGTGATGCCAAGTACTATGTATTCAAGAGAACAGGTACATAGTATAGTTTAACAAGAGAGCTCTTACAATCGGCATTTAGTCTCGCTTGCTTGGAGACTAGGAAAGAAATGAGCAGGTGATTAATTCTACACAAAACAGGATTTTCTCGTGAAAGGGTTTTTCACTTTCTACTGTAATTTGTCAGTGGTACTTTTTATATCATATTCAACAATTTGTTTCTGAATTGATTAAGTACATGTGTTAGCAACAATCGGAAACGCATCTGCAGTCGCAGGCTATACGCCTGCATAATTACACAAAAATTCAAGGGCCTTGATTCGAGAGAAATTACATCATTGCCAGAGATAAAAAACGTGATGAGAACTGAGTGATAATGCATCATTTCAAACATAGCCAAAAGACTCATTTGCATACAATTATGAAAGTTTACAACACTCACGATTGAAGTTTTGCTAATTCTTCTTTTTTTTTCGACCACTGAAGTGTTCACTTGTTCCAAAGTAATCAGTGCTTTCAAGCGATACAATTCGTGGACTTACCTGTTCCGGAAAAGCTTTAAATTTAATCTTTCCCAAGCTTTCTGTGCAAAACATGCATGGCTTTGGTCATGCAATGATTCTTATTCCTAGTTTCCACAGTCGCCGCTAGGAATTAACGCCTGGGACCACAACCGCCTTTTTGTGTACTAAATACACTTGCTTATGCAAGCGAGACTAATAATATTTATATTGCGTAGACTTGATTTTCAGGTGTTGTGAATGGACACCTTCTGTTGGTGGACTTGTAAATGGTCACCAAGCTGCAGTCCCAGCAATTTTTCACCTACTTTTTTAATGTCTTATAAGCTGTCATGGACATCCTCAGAAGCTGAAATAAACTACCTTAAGCAGACCATCTCGAGTAGCATTTGCTATAAAATGTCCAAATTCTATTCTACTTAATGGTGAAATTTGGAATTTAATTGAAACAAGAAATTATTTCCATTTTTCTTGATTTTCAAAAATAATGCCACTTTTTAAATTTTACATCTGTCATTGCAGTGTGATGGTTATGAAAGTTTACAGCGATAAAACGTGTCTGTTACAATTTATACGTTACATTGCGTTGGAATACAAAACGCTACATAAATATTTAAGTTATCAGAAAAATTGTAACAGGCACGTTTTACTGCTGTATTTAAACTTTCATAACCGTCACACTGACAATGATGGATGTACCGTGGAAACATGTTTGTTAAAATTTAAAAAGTCGCATTGTTTTTGAAAATTTCTACATTTTTGCAGCTGTCTTGACCATTTGCTTGATTTGCTTTATTTAGCTTATCGCATTTTATAACTAATGTTGACCTGAAACCTTTGAAACTATGCTTAGTTTAGTGGCCTCTGTCCCCTGCATTAAAAATACAAAAAAATATGCGAGAAAGTTGAAGTTTGAGAATTTATTCACTGATCATGAGGCTTGTGTTTACTTATATAGTAAAGATTTCACTGAATAAACTTAAGTGTAACCCTTTATTTCAAAAACATCTTGCTCCTAAGTTAATGTATTTACAGTGTGACTACTGAAACCAGGGGGCACTTGGAAGAAGATTATCCAATCACAACGTTTTTTGAAAACAAAAGATTTTCAAGTGTTTATTGGAAATGGACAAATAAAATTCAAGGTTCAACTAGGCAACTGTTAAAAACTTTAAAACCATTTGAACTTACTTGATCTCTCATGAAACAACCCTAAAATTATGAATGTTGTTGGTCTGTTTGCAAAGAACTTGAGAATCTTTTGTTTTTAAAAACATTTTGATTGGATAATCTTCTGCCTAGTGCTCGAGTTTGAGTAGTCTCACTGTAAGTAACACAGAAATGTAAAGAAAAATAAACATTTAAAATTATTTATATTAACCTTTAATATTTGCTTCTATTCTTACCGTTTAGGTTTCATCGTTTGAAAATCAAAGAGCAAGAATGGTAGGCAGTCCTTCCATGGCTTTGTTAACAGACTTGGGCCAAAGGTGCAAGACTGTCAAACAGTTGGTTGTCTGGCTAAAAAAAATTGGCCATGATACAGCACTAGACATCTTGGAATATCATGGTAATGGAAATCTACTTGTATAATCATTATCAGTAATAAATAAGGTGGAATATTTTTTGTGTATGTCTTACATCCATCCAGTACAAGTGATTATTTGTGTAAATTTCATTATTCATTTCAGGAAAATTTGCTTTAAGGTTTGCAAAGTTATCTCGTTTAGCCCTTTTATCTATCGTAATTTAATTTTTCTCTCTAACGTGTTCAAGGTCACCCAAATTTGTAAGTGTCTGCCTTGTTGTTTTCCTTTCCTGTGTTATTTTATCGTGGTCCATTGCTTTTATTAATTTTGTATTCCTTAGCAACTTTAATTTTGTTTTATTTCAGCAAAGTACGTTGCAATTGTAGTTGATGTACATGTACATGTTATAAAGGGCATATTAATGAGACTATACATGTACTTCCATAGTTTTTTTCTAGAGGGTAATTCTGAGAGTATTAAGATTACACTGTTCACATTCAGTACCTTGTTGTTTATCTATAATGCGTGACAAATGCCTGTGTCGATCTTTGGACAATTTACAGAGGAGGTGCAAATCACCGAGCAACCCCAGTCACAGCCAGTCCGTGTTGGTTCAACTGTGACCTTGAGATGCAAGGCCACAGGCTACCCAGCTCCACAATATCAGTGGGTGAAGGATGGAACAGAGCTTCCTGATGGGATTGATGAAGAACTTACCTTTGATCCGGTTACTTTGCAAGACAGTGGCAAATATGTGTGCATTGTGTCCAACAGAATGAATGCAGAAAAAACCAACAAAGTGGAGTTACAAGTTTTGCCATCACCAGGTTCGTTAATAGAAGTTTTGCAGGTCACCCTACAATATCAATGCCCATGTTATCTAAATTGCATATATCCCCTCTTTCACGACATATTGTTAGGCCAAGTTTCTAGAGGGGTCGGTTACAGTAACTCTAAACCCGGGTTTAATTTAACTGCAAATTGCCATGATCAAATACACCTGGGCTGGATTTGCACTAATTGTTGGTTGAACAAATCGACACAGACTGATGTTCATGGGTTGGGGAAAGCAATAAATCTTTGTCAATCCCTTTAGTTGCTTCTGTGATTTTACAATATTATATTTTTTTAAATCCCCACTCCACTCCTTCAAATTGTAAACAATGCTGTGAATGTTTCCCTTCCCGAGGGTCAGAGCATCCAATTTATTCCCTTGTATTAACCGAGTAAGATATTCCCCTGGTTGGTCCAGGATCGTATCCTGGGGCAAGCTGATCACGTGTGCATAAATAAGGTTAAGACATACTTTTAAAATTATTTTGATTTAGCTAAATTTTACGTGTAACCCCAAAAATGTCGTCGTTTACTTTTATCCTTGGTTTAAATTTTATCTTCATTTGTTTTTGGGTATGGTAATGTAGGATAATGAGTTTTAAACAAAGGAAAATAAAATTTAAACCAAGGATAACATTAAACCACAACATGTATTTGGAGATCTTGATGCTTTGAGATGAAATCAATGCCTAAAAGCTGCATACTCCAAAGATCTAAATATCCATCTAAATTATAAATAAGTATTTTAAGAAGAAGGATTCCTCTTAAGCTTTATGATCTATAGCTCCTTTCATGGGCCAATCATTTACCAGGGAACAAAAAATTTAATTAATTATTGATAGTCAAATTTATGTTCATTTAATGTATGTTTTTGCCTTTTTTAGTGCCAAATGGTGATTCCCCTCAAGTAAAACCTCCATATGGTATGTGACGACATAAAAAATTTAAGCAGTAGGAGTCTTTATTGATACAATCAAGTTAATATAAAACTATAATCAAGTGGAGTATTAGATTAAAAATAATTAGTTGTAAATTCCCTTGCCAAATGTTTAAGAGCATTGGTAGAACAGTAACAACAACAACAATAACAAATTTTATTGTACCCAAAAACAAGATATTAAAGATAATTTACAAGTTGTGATATCAGTTAATCAAATAAAAGAAGAGTGAATTCCTGAAATGACAAATAAGTTAAAAATTCCAGGAACCAGTTTCAGTAAGGTAAGTAAAAAAATATTCACAGATGGAAACTGTTTGAGTATCATAATGCAACATCAACATGATGAAGGCATTGAAAGTCACAAACTCTGAATTTTATTCTTGATTATAGTCAATTAAACCAGGTCATCTTTGCTTATTAGTTTTGATCCCCAGTGCTTATGAACTATTTGTTTGTTGATGAGAGGATGAGAATCTGGGGCCATTTGTGTGAAACTGTTGTAATGTAACAGCTAAATGGCCGCATCAGCTGTTGGGCCAGTCATTAAGATTTTTATACTCCTACATGAAAAATTACTGCAATTTGATTGGCGTAGAGCAGTGGTATTTCAGCTTAATTTGAAATACCGTATTTATTCGAATAAGCGCCCAACCTTGAATTAGCGCCCACCTCGAATAAGCGCCCATCCTAAAGGCAGAAAAAGTTAATAAGCGCCCAGTGAAAAATCCCTCCCACACAAACCCAATAAAAGATAATAAGAGACCCCCCGAAGACGGAGTTTTCTTCAAGTATTTTACTAGAACCTTGTTTTGTTAGTATACCATTTATTGTTTTGTTGCAAAATAAACATACTTCACTTGCTGAGAATGGTGAAAATTTAGCATGCCCACTATCAAGGTCCAAAAATTTAATAAGCGCCCAGGGCGGTTAATCGAATAAATACGGTACCTACATGTGAAAATTACAAACCTTTTGCAAGTAGTAGTATAAACAAATAATAGCATGATTTGTACGTGATATTTGGCATAAATACCACTTGTGATATTTCAAAATTGTCTCAAATTTCACTCACCTAATGGCTCGTGAAATTACGTATAACAATTTCGAAATATCACTTGTGGTATTTATGCCAAATATCACTACAAATCATGCTATTACCTATACAAATAGAGCATCCAGCACCTGAAGATCATTAGGGCCTAATGCATTGAATGAGAGCTAGAATTACAATAGCTGTTAAAAAATTATGCTTTTCAGGGTGTAAAGAAAATCATTTTTACAGCTTGCACGTACCCCAGACGACATTTCAACTAGCCCCAAAAACGTTTTGATGAGCAGAATTGATTTCAAACAATTCACTTGCCCGATAGCAAAATCCATTAGCCCCGGGCTATCGGACACTACTTTCTTTGCACGCTGCTTTTGATTCTGATCTTTATATACATATTGTTTTTTTGTTGCCATTCCTTCATCAGCGAAAAATCCACCTGTTATCATACGTCATCCTCAATCCTACATTGTTCCTGATGGATACCCCTCACTAAGCCTCAGAGTTGAAGTCCTGGAGCAACCTGTGACATATCAGTGGTATAAAGATGGATTTGTGCTTGTACAGCAGACCAGGGCAGAGTTAAATTTCCAACCATTTCATTACAGAGATGAAGGCAATTATTGTTGCCGAGTTGAAAACAGCGCTGGTGATGCACTCAGTAATGTTGCCACATTGCAAGGAGCTCGTGGTAGGTCTCAGGATATTGAAAGTTATTTGGGAATTGATCTTTGCGCAACTTTAAACCACTGGGTAATTTCCGTTTGAACAAAAATTCTGAAAACAATGTCTTGAATGGTTTACAAATTAATTTTGTTAGGAAAGTTCTCTAAATTCTCTGAAAACTTAAAGCTATGTTTTCTTAGCAAATAATTTATAAACGAAAACAATGCAGAAATTCCACATGAAATAAAGTGAAACAAATTCCTGTGAATATTTTTAATTCAGTGCTTTGAACAGGCATGTTGAAATACCAAGCCATATTTTACTAATTGTGTATGTTGTTACTCTGTCATAGTGACCACTTCTCATAAGCGACCACCACTTTGTAAATAACCATTTTGTTTCTCACTCAAATACCTTTTTATACGCTGTAATCTCTCTCGTATAGGCAGCAACTTCTCAGATTTCTTAAATGTCCTTGACCTCTTTTAAGGCCAGAAATATGCATCATTTTGTTTTTGGTTTCTGGTTAGCGACCACTGGGCATGATCACGTATGACTGTAAGAAAATTTGTCGAATGTCACAAATGTTCGGTTTTTAGTAGCGCTGACCCAGAGTGCTAACAAATACATTGTAATAACAGTGTACTTCCAAGAAAAAAGAGAAGTTCACTGACTATCACGGTTGCAAAGAGTTGTCCTTTGCAGTCATGTAAGTGTCTGATATTAATTTTGTTGACTTGAGGCTCAAAATACAAATTAAAGTAATCGAACATTCAAGACTTCGTGTATAAGCTTTTGAATGAGATTAATTGATAGTGAATTGTTAATTACATATATGCACCTCATGTTTCACATTTATCCTAGGTTTTGTTCGGTTAAAACTAAATTTAGGTGATTTATCATTAACAAGTGACAAATTTCTAACTGTATTAATATTCAACTTATTGTAATTGCTGGTAAAAAGAGCAAATTAGTTTCAGGCAGCCAAAACGTTGCCTATTAGCCTAATTTTAGCTTATAAGGTGTTATCTTTATTACTCATGCGCAACTAAGTGCATGAGGTATAAAATGTCCTCCGTTTCTTTTTTTGTTTTTGGTGTCACATTGATGCATGTAGATTTATGCTTGCATACATTTACACACATGACTGTGAATAGACGTTTGTGGTTAGTTGCTGGTGTTTAGCTCCCTCTTGCACCCTTACTTTGCCATATAATCCTGTCCTCAAAATAGTTTGGTGATGATGTTTCAAGACTTTGTCAGGTAAGTCTCCCTTTTCTGTCTGTCCACTGAAACATCGTCTGCAGTCAGGATCATCTCATAGTGAAGGTTGCCTTTTGCCTAATTCCTCATGGTTATCGCCAATGTAATGTAACCAAGGTTCATACAGAGTCTTGAATCCTTGAAAAGGTCTTGAAATTTGCCCAGAAATTTTCCAGACCTGGAAAAAGTCTGGAAAATGGAGACAGCCTGGAAAAATCATAAAAAGTGTTGAGTTTTAATTTTTTTTCAAAGCTACAATAAATGTTTATAAGTGATTTTTTTTTCATTTTGGTCAAATCTTATTCAATCTCACCCTGTACGTTTGCAGCACATCATAGAAAAAGTTTTGGTCCTGCTTTTTATAAGGTCTCTATTGACCTATCTATCTATCTCTTTTGGAAAAAAGTCTGGAAAAAGTCTTGAATTTTGGATCCAAAAATCTGTACGAACCCTTTGTAACCTTGAAGTGGAGTGATTGTTAATGTAGCTAACTTGGAGCATGGGAATTTAAGACCCCAGATCACAGTGGAGTGTAGAATTGTTGGTTCTTGTGGAGGGTGATCAACTGGAAACCCCAGAGAAAACCTCTCCAAATAAGGACAAGAACCAATTGCCACAAACTGAATTCACATGTCACTGTGTCATCTTCAACTCCAGAATTCAAATCCAGGCTACATTGAGGAGGGGTGAGTGCTTAAACACATTCAGGGAGCCCTTCAGGGATGGACTTTGTTTCTTGAAGTGTATCTCCTGGTTCATGCAAGGTAGTGGGTAATTAATTCAGGGGTGTTCCAGTGGGCTCAAAAAGTAAGATCCAAAGATCTCCAAAAGGCATTTTGATTGGCCATATTTGAAAAGAATTAGAAATTAATAGTTGACTCAGGTATTTATGGCACTGAAAATCATCATTCCGCTGAAAGAAAAAGTTCACTTGTGTGGAACGTTTCAGTGACTCAACTATCCCTAGGGAAGCGTTTTGGTGTGTTCCTCTTGTTAATTCCAGAATGTAACATACCCTAACACTATAATTCTTGTTAGATGCCATGTAAAAGGGCAGAATTTGTCCTTTTACAAAGCAGGCTCATTTCTTGTCACCTGCCTCCTCTCTTTCCTGCCCTTAATATTGCCTATAAACCTATCATTATCGAAAAAAACATTTTGACTAGCGAAGGTAAAAGGTGCTAGTAATAACCTCCTTCAAGGTAGCCGTGGTTATTGATTTTTTTCAGCTTGTAAGGTGGTTATTTACAGGTACCATAATATTGAAGTTAAACCAAGAGAGACTTTTCATTTGGTGCATTAATAACTGAAAATTTTTACCTTGTATCAAGCTAAGTGTAATATAATGTTGAGATTCAATTTTTTTCTGTGGTCTTAATTACGGTTTCCTGTGTGGTGGAGCATGGTAATACATATGGTCAGTTTGGAACAAAGGAAAACAGAAATTGAACCAAGGAAAGGATTGAACCTCATCATATTATTGACAAGGTTATTTAACAGAAATAGAAGGTAAAGGTACATATCAACAGCATTGTATTTATTTTTTGTGCTTGCTTGTTAATTCTTGTTCTTTCAATTTTTCAGCCCCAGCTCCTGATGATGAACAAAATTGTCCCCTTGGCCGATCAGGTAGGATTTGAAACTCCTTTACTTTGTTATTTTATATTTTGATCTTATAGATTTTGTCTGTTGTAATATCAGCAATTGTTCAGTTGGACTATGGTACAGTCAAACCTGTATATAACGGCCCATGCAGTGGTTACCCTGTATAATACGGTCACCATACAATTTCCCAAAAATTTTGCCTTATATTTTCTGTAACGTTATACCTGTATACGGCAGTCACCTGAGTAAAACAAAATGCAGGCACACTTTGGAACTCCTAAATGCACAATTTCATTATTTTTTACTTGTATATATCAATCACCAAAATTGATTGGATTTTGATCAAACAATTAATGAATCATAACAAACTTTATTGAAAAGGCCTCACTCTGTCACCAGCCTTTTCCCTAGGGTGACCGTTACATACATGTTTGACTGTTTTAAATTTTGTCACACTTATATCATTATTAAATAATCCTCTGTTAGCTTTCCTTTACCTGACAAGAAATGTCTTGCTGTATAAAAAACAGAATCACAACTGACATTATTTGACCCTCTCCTCCTTTTGTATATTATGTTTCTTTGTTGACTTAGGTAAGGGTGGTGACAGGAACTTACAATGTTAATTTATTTTGCATAGCCCAAATTCACTGAAAATTGTGTGGTACTATATTCCCAGGGGGGGGGGGCACTCCGGCTTTCAAGTGACAGGGATGATCAAATCATATTTGCGATTTTTGGATTTTTTTGGTTAGAAAAATTTTGGAAAGTATTTTTTTGGGGTACATTGATTTGAGAAGGGATTTTTTGGGATGTTCAAAACTAATATTTCTATGTTTCATGTAATATCATTTAATGCTTTCTGGAAATTTTCATGGCTCGGAAATTTGACATGGGATTTTTTGGGTGTTAAATTTTGGTACAGGGATTTTTGGGGGTTTGTTGGAAGCCCTAGGGAATTGTTCGGTTTTGATTTTTGTCCGCACTCAATCTTCCCTGTCGCTTGAAATCCAGAGTATCCCCCCACCTTCTTCACCTGGGACTACTGTATATTTAATTTCTCAGAATGTTACTTTTTTAGAGAAAGAATTAGCTATTTTTTTAAGTTGACAAAATAGTACCTGAAAAGTCCCCTATTATCATACAGGTTCTGCAATAATTACTGATCATTATCATGTTGATTAAGTAGGTTATGAAATATAAAGCAGCTCTGAAGGCTGATGTGATCTTTTATAGCAACACACACACAATGATGCACATATTTTTAAGGTTGTGTCTGTCACTGCGTTTCATTTTGAACAATATTATATTATTTAAACATTTAAACAATTTTTTTTTATTTGGAAATACAATTTACATACATTTCCTTCCCTGGACAGTGCCAGGTGGAAGATCGCCTCAACTAACTCAAAAAGGTAACCATGAATTACACTACTATTAATATTACTATTATTATTAATTTTTTATCATTTATAATGACCTAGCAGTCTTATTGTCAGTCCAAATTTGTAAAGGTATGAATGGGTAACTATGTAACTATGTGTGATGTTGACTGGAAGAATAATAAATTGATTAAATTCTTATCAAAGCATTCTACAACAAACTAGACTGATCCTAATTCAGTTTCCGCTTCTATCTACTAGACAAAGTCTGGAAAAGAAATAAGTTTTTCCTGTGCTTTTTATACTTCTAATAGTTGGTTAAGTAAGGATATTCATGTGTCTGGGAAGAGAACACTTTTAGGTGCACTTTCCAATAATGTATTTTTTCAATGAATTATTTATCTGTCATTGTTTCACGTACATCTCTGCATAGTTGTCCTCACATACAATAATTGACTGCTCTGACTAATCAACTATTAAATGATTGTGCTTTTGTGTCTTTTGCATTTTTTTAGCCACAGATAAAGTTGCTCTGGTCATTGGCAACCGAGACTATGTCAGCTTACCAGTCGATGAAAGTCCTCTGGTACACACATGCAGTGATGCAAAGATGATTGCGTCAATTTTACGGAAGCCTGAGATGGGTTTTAAAGTCATCTCACTCATGAACCTGACAAGAAATGAAATGTATCAAGCCCTGGATATCTTTTATAAACTCCTTGGTGAAGGCGTGTATGGCCTAGTGTACTTTGCCGGCCATGGATTTGAAGAGGGAGGGCAGAATTATTTGGTTCCTGTTGACACCATGGGGGCTTGGGTACCAGAGCAAGCCGTTTGTGCTCAGAAGATGCTTGATGAGATGAACAGATGTCGCACAGAGTTGATTGTATTTCTTTTGGACATTTGCCGTAAAAGGTAGGAAGATAATGTTAATGTCACAAGGGTTACGCTCTTTAACCTAACTGGTCACACCCAAAGCATCAGTGTAAATGACACTATCTCTGAACCTATGCCGATTCAGTTTGGGGTGCCGCAAGGAAGTATCTTAGGCCCACTCTTATTTATAATGTATATCAATGATCTTACGCTTGCTGTACGAGCATGCTGTGTGGAGCTCTATGCCGATGACGTGCTTATTTTTTTGCTGGTAAATCTGTTAGCGAAAATGAGTCTAGGCTTTCATCGGATCCAGATAGATTAATAAGTTAGTTTCAGTCTAACTTCTTGATGCTTAATGTTTCCAAGACTAAAATAATGCTAATAGGTACCCACCAGAGGCTTAATGCAGTTGACAGTTTTTCGGTTGCAGCGGACACCACTAGTTTAGAGAGGGTGTATAGTTTTAAATATCTTGTTGTAAGTATGGATGACACCCTGTCCTGGAAAGAACAAGTTAGCTTGTTAGGCAAGAAGATTTCCTCTAGGCTAGCTAAGTCTATGTGTTACATTATAAAATGCTATGGTAGTGCCTTTATTTGACTAATGTACTGTTGTTTGGAAGAGCTGTGATCAGGGTAGTAAATCCTACTTAGACAAGCTTAATCGCCATGCTGCGTGTATAATTGTGGGCTGTGCAGTTAAGGCTGAAAAACTGTCTACTGTATTTGGCTGGCCCTATCTGTAAGCACGCCATAATTTCCTTAAATCTGTCCTTGTCTGCAAGTGTATCAACAGATTAGCACCTTCTTATCTGCTGAGTGAATTTAGGCTCGCTTACCAAATCTGCTGTCAATTCATCAGACAACATGATCAGTTGCAGCTGCCTTTGGCTAAAACCACGAAATACCAGGGTAGTTTTAGGATCAATGGTGCGCATGCCTATAATTCCCTCCCGTCTAATATATACATGTATATGATCTGCAACAGACTTAAATACCCAATTTCAAGTCCTTGCCAAAACGGCATTTCAAGCTCCAGGCTATCTCTTGAATCCCTTAGTGTGCAACTAGAACTCTTCGTAACTATACTGTTTCTCTTTGTATTATTTTTTTGCAGGACCCCTGTTTAAATTAGCTTCGTGCTAATCCGGTTGTTCCTGTATAAATAAATAACTATATCAATAAATAAGTGCTCAAACCAGGACCCAGCTTTTAATAATAATTGGTTCATGCATCAGCTTGCATGTGTCCAGATCAGCACACGGCAAGTTTGGAGAGCACGAAAGGTATAAGAGTTGCTCAAGGCACAGGTGACAGCTGCGACTCTAGCCTCTTAAATGCTCTCTAAACTATCCCGTATGCTTCATATCTCGACATACACACAGCGGAAACATGAACCACTTGTTTTACATCATTATAGATGCAATCAATGCACCAGTTGACTTAAACTTTTACTATTTTAGCACGTTCAAAGTAGTATGCGTCAATGTCTTCGTGACCATATTTTTTTACCTCACCATTAATATTTTTTGATCCTGAACCTAGAGAAAGTTTACCCGGGTCGCTTAAGATAACATTAAAAAAAGTTTTTAAAAGCGATATTTAGGTGGGAAGCTGTTAATTTATGAAAAAAGTTTGCAAAGAATGATTTGCACACACCATAGCCTGCAGAGCTTGGGCAGATGAAAACAAAAACAACAACTTTCACCTGCTATCGGTTTACAAATTCAAAACTAGTTACTCAGTAGGATTGCTAAGCTCACAAGAACTCAAAGTATTAGTTTATTGATGTCATCAGCTTTCTCAGTGGGAATATGAAGCACACTCATGCTATTGATTACGCGAATATTCTAGCCATGTTATAATGTCCCCTTGGACCAATAATATTGTTAACCACACATACAACTAACAGGTTTAAAACCAAATTCGTGTTTGCAGGTCAAATGTAGAGACAAGTTTTGCTTTCAAAAGCTACGAGTTCCCATACAATGCCCAAGCAGTTTTTGGATTTGCCACGTAAGTTAAGATTATAAGCATAACATTTTCAAAGACATAAGGTCTCATGTTAAGACCCTGGTGCTTTGAAAACTTCATGTACTCTCTATTAGAATTGTTTTAAGTGTTTGCATGAGACTTTGAGATAGAACTGTACGCATGTTACCTTATTCTTATGCGTGTAGTTACTAGACTAGATTTAGTGCATTAGGATTTCACAAGCTGAAGCATGCATGTATGTCTATAACATTCTGGGAAAATAATGTGTCATTTAGGTACAGTTATTTATAAGGGCTTCCTTTGTAAGCTGAATGAAAACATAGTTATAACACCTGACGTTTTTCCGTTATGCCATTCATTAACTTTATTCCGACTGTTTAGAAATGAGTTTCAATGTTCTTAAGTACAATATGTTAAATATGTGACACAAGATCTTTTGTGTGAGACAGTATTCTATGCTTTATTGAGATGGTGGAGGGTATGGGGAGACCATGGATTGTGCCCTGGTCAAGGTGGACTAGAGCAGCATCTTTTGTGACTGAGTAGCGATGTTCTCCTTAGAGCCTGCAGATATGCTGCAGATGACCGTGTCTCTTTGATTTTCTCTCTTCCCTGTGTTCATGTCTCTTCTGTTCCTCCTATCGTGGCCAGTATGTCACATCAAACTTCTTGAGCTCTTGATCCGCAGTCTGTTGCCATTGTTAGCAGTCAGATAATATAATTATGATAATTATACCCCTGGGGAGGATATACAATGTATCATAGATTTAGAGCTAAAAGTTTTTTTGTCAGCACTGACATGGGGTGGAAGAATGAAAATAGCACTAATTCACCTCAGACAATGCCACTTATTGCCTGGGTATCGGTACTTTGTAACAATAGTGTTGACTTCGCACATTTTTCTTGCCACATTACCAAAATGATTGGCCGTGCCCAGACAAACCACCTGTGATGTTCCTTAAATCTAGGATGACATCCCAACAATCAGTAATGTTGTGACACTGAGTCATACAATGAAAGGGATGAAGGGTCTGTGTACAGTCTTTTGTAGTAAAGATGTGGATGTTCCCTACAAACTATATTGTGTCTTTTTTCACGTACTAAAATAATATTTATTCGTGGTAAATATAGTATAACTCTTTAACTTTTGTCTGTAGAAGTCCTCAGTCTGAAGCTTATGAAAGAAGACAGGACCCCAATGGGATTTACATGAAACACCTGCTTAAGCATGCCATGAATGATGCTAAGGTCGAGGATGTTTTACACGAGGTGGCAGCAGGTATAACAAGGAAGGCGATTGAAATAAATTTGTAAATATAAATTTGTCTCCATGTATAATATAAAAGAACTCCAAACGTTAAAAGCGCCCTTCAGATAAACAGCTTGTACTTGAAATTGCCCTCAAATTTTAGTAAGTGTTTGCATTTTACGGTACAAAATGGTTGCAGAAAAGTGTAAGTAAATTGCTGCTTCCATGTTACTCTTACTCTTGGCGTGGATTTCCCCATCTATATGGACAAAGTACTTGCCTTGTTGAGTTTTGGAAAGATGTACGTCCTCAAGGCGAGTTTCAGTAAAAACTTTCTGCAAATTACTGACATAAATATCCTTCTAACTTTTAACTGGCCCAATTGATTTTGAGACGCAAATTTCCCTCCCAGTATAAGCCGAGCCGATTTTGAAACGCAAATTTCCCTCCGTATATAAGCCCCTCCGAATTAAAGCCCCTCAAAAAGGGCCTTTGAAAAATATAAGCTCCGGGGCTTATTTTCGGAATTTTACAGTATCCTACTGTACAGTATGCGTGTCCTTTCATATTAGATTCCAGCCCATCAGAGGTGTATTATTATAGTACTATTATACTATTATCATTACAGTTAAAACCCACCTTATATACACCCACTTATAGTTAATACGGTCATCTCATTATCATGGTCAGTTTGCTTTACCCCTGGGGAAAGAAAGCCATTACATGTTCTCTAATTTCAACCCACTTAATATGGGCGCCCTGTTAATACGGACACTTTCTTTGGCCACCTTGTTGTCCGTATTAACCGGGTTATCTCGGACACAATCCGTTTCATGTTGAAAAAATGTCAACTTTTTGCACCAGTAATGTCCAGCCTTAATTAAAATCTGTTCTTGATTTAGTTTTCCATCGGAGGCAATAGAAACAATTCACTTAAAAACATTATCGATTTTGAGCCTGCTCCTTCCCCCTCCACTTTCCATCTGGGTGCTTTTGTCAATTAATTCATGATCCTTAATATAAGGGTGTCGTTTGCTGAAATATGGAGAGATAAGATTCACTGAAAGACTTTTACTCATGTGAAAATGATGTATAATTTTCTAAGACCCCAGCGGAATTTAAACTAATGGCATTCTGGAAATAATTGGTGGCCCCTGGATGCACTGTTTCTGTTTACATGGTGAATCAACTTGTAAGTGGGCAAATTGATCTTATTTATAGTACATGTATTTCCAACTTGTTTCCTAGACGTTGAAGCAGAGGTAAAAAGAAACAAGTGGTTAGAGCGGCAGCGTCCAGAGTATCGAACCACAACAACCAAGTGTTACAGTTTTCGTGATCCCATTGTCCCTGACGAACATTCTGCTGCACGGCAGAAGCTGTGGCTTGACATACACAGTAAGCTGGCACACCTTATGTCCTTTAGCCTGTTCCAGGTGTTCGGATCATAGACACACTGTTCAGATGGTGGGGACCAATTTAAATCGTTGGGAGGAAAAACGAGAGGAGACTGGGTATCTGAACGCCTGGAACAGTCTTTATTTCCTTGAATGAAACAGCCTTTGCTGCCTTGGCCTCTATGGCCAAAGCAATATTTCATAAAGAGTAATCACTTATTGTGTACTCCATAACTACCGTGTATAGTACAGCATCTTGTGAATGTGAGATTACTAAGGCATCTTGGACAGTTGCTGTGGCTTTTAATCATTTTCGATCTTTCTCTTTGCAAAACAACAAAGTATTTTTCTTCCATAAGTATTAAAAAAGGTACTGAGGAGTTTTTTTGTTTTGTGTTTCCCCCCCCCCCATCACCATTTTCCACTTGAATGGCATGCTGCTTGCATTTTATAAAATTGGACAAGTGATTTAAAAATCGAAACGTATTTATTGACACCTAGTGGTGATCTCCTTAAGTACCACGAGACATGTCTTATCCATTAGAACTGTCTGCGCAAATAGATTGGTGGCTTTTTAGCAACATTAAAGAGTACTGGTGCACAGTTACTTAAACCCTTGTACTAACAGTCAACTGTAAATGTGTTTGCCCATTTCAGAGTTGCCACAGAAGCGAGATATCAAAATTGATTCAGGCATAAGATTAGAGATCAGCTTCGAACACCTAAACTGGCTGTCAAATGCAATTGTTCTGTGTTTAAGGGTCACTGATCTGGGGGATGCAACATTCTGTGACCCCAGCTTAATGCTGGATAAATTGCCAATGGTATGTGTTTATTATTACAGTATTTTTGGTTTGAGATGTATGGTAACCTATAGTCAGTCGCTGTAAAAGTGTGCGTTTTGGCTGAAGTTGGAGTTCACTCCCAAGTCAGACAATCAGCCGAGTTTTGTAAAACCTGATAGGATCATTCTAGCATCCCATGAACGTGTTGTTTTAACTTGTCACACAATCCTCAAGGAAGGCGTGATAAAACCTTAAGAACCTCTGCTTTGGAGACTAGAGCCATTCTGACAATGATAATTATTTAATAACTTGTTTAACTCCATAAACCACCAAGTTTGTCCTAAAAGGATCTTATAAGGAGCAAACTAAGCACATGGTGGAGGTCCACAGTGACCAAGAGTTTGGTATGTGGTTTGTCTAGGATCCTGCTAAAAGAATTGATTGGGTCATTGGGTAATGACATTAATTAGGTGCCAAAGAACTAAGACTGGTATAAAAAATAACACTCTTAAAAGATCCTCGTGTGATCTTTCGGGGTCTAGCTGGAGAAAAGAAGCATTGATGTTATTTGGGGTTGATGTTGTTTCATGTCTTGTCACCGTGGTGAATAAGTTGTGAACATGTATGTTGATGCATCTATCATTATGTATCTATCATTTTCATACAGACAATTTAATGGGTGGATTGGTTTAAATTTGCAGGATGTTCAAACTGTTCACTTTCACCCAGCTACAACCAACATACTGAGACAAGTTGTACAGGTGAGCCCAGTTTATCAGCTAGCTTGACAAAATGTAGATCAACAGCAAGTGTAGACTACACAATGTTGTAGCTTTTCAGTTAGGACCTTTCTGAAAACCACAGTGATGTGATGAAAGTTTCCTAATAAATTATTATTATTATTATTATTATTGTTAAAAAACTTATGGTGTAACCATTTGGATGAAACCTTAGTCTTAAATAGTACTTTTTGTATGTTGCTATTTGTTTGTTGATCGTGCAAAATGCAATTTTCCTGGAGCTGGAGAGTAAAGGGGTAAACCCCGTTCATTTCCAGAGTCATGACATAATAATAGTAGTAATAATAATAAAAATAACAATGATAATAATAATAATAATAATAATAATAATAATAGTAATAATAATAATAATTTTATTCAACTTTAAAAAAATATGTACATAATTTACAGAAATATTTGGAGTAAGAATTAAGCACTATATAACATTAAGAATAGTTTCAATAATAAAAATAGCAATCACTGTGTCAAAAACGATTTCACAAATACATTCCTTGCGGCTCAGATGCAGTCACTAACTCTTGCAGGCAGTCCAGAGTTTTAAGTTAAGTCATTACCAATCCGTCTCTGATATTAAGAAGAAAACAAGTTAAAAAAGAATAAAAATCTCGTATAAATTCCTAATTTCTATTCTTTTAAAAAAAATTAATTCGGGCAGGCTCTAATATTATCAATCTGTAGGTCTGAGTCAACAAAGTCTAGCTGTCGTCTTCTGGATCTTGAGCCTCTCAAGCATAGTATCGCAGAACGTACGATGGCGAAATATACTTTAGCTCTTATCCAGGAAATTGCGCTTGAGTATCTTTCTCCCTTCTTAATAATAATAATAATAATATATAATCATTATTACTTTTATACTTTTATAGCGCAAAATATATGATCTAATAAAGCTAAAGTAAATGGAATAAAAAACTGAACGAACAGTGAAATACTGCAAAGAATTTACAATGTGACTGGTGATACTTAATTGAAGTAATCAACAGTAAAATATGAAAATTATATGAACGATTAAAATAATATATCTAACAATAAATATAGTCAGGTGAAATGACTGAGTTAGTCTTAACATAAAAGTGTCTGTCTAAAGCGATGTGTTTTAAGAAGATGTTTAAAGGGCTTACATGTTCCCAAGTTAGCCTAAACAGGTACTTACATAAATGGTGATTAGCACAAATTTGGGCTATTTAGGTTCTTAACTAGGTTGTTATTTCCTGAAGGGAAAAGTACATCATAGCTAAGACTATTTCAGTAGTGGTATCCAGCTTATTCCTTATCATAATATTGTCTGCGTACTATAGGGAAGGGGGGGGGGAGGGTCTAACTGGCAAATTTTAGCTTAACAGGTTCTTAAAAACCACGTTCTTAGTCGTGGGTTTTTACTGTATCGCCATACCCAAATGAGTGACAGTGCTTTGTATATTGATTATTTGACATGTCACCTACCTTTGATTTACCAGGAGCGTCCAGGGGTGCAAAATGGAGTAGTTGCACGGTGCATGAAGATGGATCAGGACAGTCCGTCACAAACCCCTGTGGAGAGAATCAGTGATATTTACAATATTCAGAGACTGAAGGTAATTCCTCGCAAAGCAAGGTTTATAAATTTGTCAGAATTCACTTGTTACATCTAAATTCTAAACAGATTCTGAGAGTAATTCTCTCAAGTTTCTTTCCTCTTTTTATGCAAGAAATATCCAGACAGAAGAAACAAATTGGTAGAATGTTAGGAACATTAATGAAGTCAGTCACTTGATCCCTGTTTCAGTTATCGAAGGGAAGGGTGGGTAAAGAAATTCTTTTTAGCCTCTGCAGAAATATAATTATGCTACTGCATGTACCAGTGCTCTCTCTTAATTTCAGTTACTTTTAACGCGAACAAGACCCAACCAAGACATAATTGTGATGGACATTTTTATTATTATCGTTTCTCGTGATAATGTTTTAGTTTGGATAAACCCGTGATATTGCAGTTAGCTCTCTCAGAGTAGACACTAAAGGGGTTAACCCCTCGCTTCCATCTTATGAGAGCGTCTACTATACAAAGGGTGAAAGAAAACTACAGAAGAAAAACAGGAAGCATCTCTGGGTGTCCGTTCTTTAGAAGTGTCCGTTAAGAGAGAGTTGTTTGTATTAGGTGAAATTAAATGGTGTTATTATTTATTCAAAATATTTCTCGGTTTGTGACTTTTTTTAATCCCCCATGTAAATTGTTATAACCAGTTGACATTGACCAAACTTGGACGATGTTAAGGTTATGTCTTAGCAGTCAGTCCCTCAGACGTCATTGATTATGTTTTATCCAAACATTTGACAATGGTGCGGTTTTATTTTCGAATTTCCATCCTATAATACATTAGCTGAGCTCAATAAAATAGCAAAATAGTTGTAACAATATCAATTGGAATAACCTCTTTGCTTATGTTACGTGTCCCAATACATAATGATAATAAAAGAAGAAAATTAGAATGGAGAAGGGCACATTATTCACGTGCATAATCATGGAAATTTAAAAAGATTGACTTTATTCTTTTGTAGTTTTGTTATTCTTTAAAACACAAACAGGTCCACGCACAAAAGTCAATAAGAATAAGATAAATTTTTAAAGAATTTTGAACAGCATTTTCGATGATTTATTGCGAATAAAAAGGGGGAGATCGTTCCAATAGTATTTTCCAATGACGGTAGGGCAAAACTTTCGAATGTTATGATCTTGGAAATATTTTGAATGAATCAAACAAACCACTATTGAGTTTGGCTCTCGTATGATGTGATTTATTTTCCGGTCTCGGTGGGTGGTATTCACCTTGGCCAGTAACATCCCCCCCGAACTTCATAATTTTTATATCATACTCAGCGTCATTCAGTACTTGTTAAATGTTTATATATATGTTTGTATTGTTATTTCCGTAAACCTTAATTGGGAATATTGCTTTATTCCAGACTCCACTTGCACTGACCATAACTAACAAGTATGTCTTAAAAGGATCTCGGGAAGAGAGAACCAAACATTTCGTGGAGGTGTTCAACGTCAAAGAATTTGGAATTAACACAGCATTCTTTAATGACTGAAAACGTCAGGATCACCACGTGTAAAAAAAAGACTTGTTAATGAGAGACCTGTATAGTCAAGCAATACATTATAATCAGGTTCGCCACGAATTAAGACGGAATCCACCAGAAAATTGAGTAATTTTAATTTTCAGTGGCAAAAACCTTGTACCAGAATAATTTAAACAATATTGCATTCTTTTTTACACTTTTCAAGGGTTATATATGTAATTAGTTATCTGACAATTTCTGAAAATGTAATGTGTAAGATGTCATTTTGTGAAATTTGACATTTATTTTCTCAGGCTCCCATAAGAAATTATCCTTTGAAAAATGTAAAAACGAGTGCAGTGTGCTTTAAATTATTCTGGTACAAGGTTTTTGTCCACTGAAAATTAAAATTACTCAAGGTCTATACATGAAATGTTTGTGAAAATATTTGGGTGTTCCTTGGTGTTGCGGAAACCATTGCTGGTTCGTCTTTGTGTGGTAGTGTGGGTATTTTGCAGTGTCTTTTTAATCTTTTTATTACGTCATTTGGTGATGGCGCCCGTCTGCAACACCAAGAAACTACCAAAATATTTCAAGGTCCAGAAATATTTTTCTTAGTTAAGTCGTGTACGCCCTTCCAAAGACGCTAAAGGTGAGGTGAAATGCGTGGTGAGTGACAGTTGTTTAAAGTGAGGACAAAGGTAGTTTTGTTCTCGCAAGTGGCAAGCCTTAAATATTGTGCCGTATAAGTATAGCAAAGTGGATAATAATACGCAATATAAAGCAGTTAGATATGAGAGACATTTGTTGGATATTTGAGCATATCTGTTGCTTTGAGAATCTAACCTGAGGGCAGGCTCTTTCTTCGCTATTTTCTTTGGTAAGCAAGTAAAAAAACAAGTAACTTACCACCTAGTAGTGTAAGCGGTAAAAAAACCCAATCGTCTCAGTCCAATTATCATTATCTCAATTTTATCGAAATTGATAACCCTTGTCTTAGATAGTACCAGAATATCAATTTGGTTGCAGGTTAATCAAAATTAAATGTTAAGAGAGGTTAGGGAGGCAGCCAGAGAAAAACATTAAGAATGCACTCTTTTAAAAAGGTACTTCAGCTAATTTTTTAACGCACTGTAATTACTTTTGTTAACTTTTTAGTGTTGCACCAATCAAATGTCTACTTGCAGGGGGTGACTTCCTCTTGCAAGTGACCATTTACTATGACAATTACCAAATTTTAGTTAATTCTTTAAGCCCAATATCTACAGAAAAACTCTCCATACTAATCTCCATACATTTCCTTGAAACTGTTGAGAGAATTGGTTTCAAGATCATAGCATTTTCCCTCAGATGATCATTTTATTAATTCTCACCTTTTGTCTTGATTATCTATTTATATTGTAAAGAGAAAATTGATGTTGGTCACTCTTGAGACTTGAGGGATAAACAATGCTCTTAAGCCTTTCACTGCCAAATTTAGCCAAAAGCAAATTTCGAGCAAAGTTTCCAAATTTCATTTTGTGAAGTTTTGAAAAACAGATAGCACAATGTGAAAGCACTACTGAAGAGGTTTCATTTGAATGGTCACATCATAAGATTTCACCTGCAGACTTAAGAGTTGAAGTCACCTTGCAAAACGCCATCGAGCACTCTGGCAGTGAAAGAGTTAAGCATTACGTTGGATTTATTTATAGTTTATGTAATCATAGGGTTAGTTTTGCGCTTAATTGTAATATTTGGCTGTAATACTATTTAACCTGATATAATAAGAAGGCACAAAACACAGGGCGTTATTACCAGTAGAAAGTCGTATTATTCCCGATTGAACTGATTTTCAGCTTTAATAAAAGAAACTTAGGTTTAACAATAGTAAATAACAAACCTGTTGTTCAAGCTTGGTAGATGATAAGTATGAACCTTATACTCATCGTTTACCATTTCCCTTACATCTGAGAGACTAAGATGACTGAACAGCTCTTAATAATATGTGCGCATGTTGTCTACCAAATATGGTTTACAACAACGGAATTTATAATGTAGCTTTAGCGTAGTTTTATATTTTAAATAATCATATGGTAAATAAACATTGTTGTTTCCAGCTACTCTATAACTTTCTTGTAACATTTATTCCTATAGGAAAAGTGTTTTGTAATGTTCTATATAGAAAACCAGCCTTCCTAGGCTATAAAAGTATCGATTTGTTAACAGTGGGAAAATAGGACGTTGTTTTAGTAAAAAAAAAAAGGTCAAGGAAATTTTTTTGTTAATATTCTATATAAAAAGAAGCCTTTTTAGACTATATAAAAAAAGTCGATTTCTCAATGGTAGCAAAATTGGAATTTTCCCATGATTTTGGTCAAAAATTGTTTCGGTTTGGGCTAAATGGGTCGAGGAAATGCGTTTGGTAATCTTTTATATAGAAAACAAGCCTTTCCAGACTATAATTATAAAGTATTGATTTTTTTATAGTCGAAAAATTGGAATTTTGCGAAAGGGTTAACCCACGGTTTTGGTTGAAAATTGGAAATTTCAAAATTCTTTCTTTTTGTGAAAAATTCTGTGAGAAAATGTGTTTGGGAATGTTCTATGAAGAAAAAAAGCCTTTCTAAACTACAAAAGTAGTGATTTCTAAATATTTAAAAAAAAGGAATTTTCCAAAGGCTTTGGTTCAAAATTGTAAAATTTTAACTTCTTTCTTTTTGGCCAAAACAGATCAACAAAATGTTTTGGTAATCTTTTATATGGAAAACAAGCTTTTCTAGACTATAAAAAAGTCGATTTTTGAAAGATCGCAAAATTGGAATTTGTCAAAGGGGTTAACTCAAGATTTTGGTCAAAAATTGGACATTTTGCAAATCCTTTCTTTGCAGACAAAATGGGTCAAAGCAATGTGTTTGGTAATATTCTATCTGGAAAAAAACCTTTTACAGACTACATAAAGCGAATTTTTGAATGGTGGCAAAATTAGAATTTTTCAAAGGGGTTAACTCATGATTTTGGTCAAAAATTGGAAAACTGTAAACTGTTTCCTTTTGGACAAAATAGTGAAAAGAAATGTATTTGGTAATGTTTCAAACGATAAACCACCAACTTTAAACTATAAAAGTTGATATTTGAAAGGTCGCAAACATCGAAAATTTTCGAAGGGGTTAACCGAGGAGTTTGGTCCAAAATTGAAAAAACTGTAAACTGTTTCTTTTTGAACAAAATAGTTAAAAGAAATGTATTTGGTAATGTTTTCATGGTATAAACAACCTATTTAGACCAAGAAATAGGTGATTTTTGAAAAATCCCAAAATTCAAATTTTTTTAAGGGGTTTACCAATGGTTTTAGGTATGGAAAAAGTAGGTCAAGGAAATGTGTTTGGTAATAATCTACACGGAAAACAAGCTTTTTTAGACTATAAAAAGTCGATTTTTAAATGGTCGCAAAATTACAATCTTTTAAAGAGGCTAACCCATGATTTGGCTCACAAATTGGAAGTTTTTTAAATTATATCTTTTTGGGCAAAATAGTTCAACGGAATGTGTCTGGCATTATTCTATGTAGGGAAGAAGCAATTGCAAGCTAAAAAATTACTGATTTTTTTAGTCGAAAATAGGAATTTTTCAAAGGCGTTAAACCATGGTTTTAGCCAAAAATTGGAACACTTAAAAGTTTTTCTTTTTCGACATAACAGGTCAAAGAAATGTGTTTGGCAATATTCTATATAAAAAACGAGCTTTTTAGATTACAAAAAGTCGATTTTTGAATGGTTGCAAAATTGGAATTTTTCAAAGGAGATAGCCCAATTTTGGTCAAAAATTGGACTGACTGAACCTTTTTCTTTTCGGACAAAGTATTTAATGGAAATGTATTCGGTAATGTTTCATATGATAAACAAGCTATTTTAGACTATAACATTGGTAATTTTTGATAGGTCGCGAAATTGAAAATTTTCATGGTTTTTGCCTAAAAATGGAAGATTTTAAATTCTCCTTTTTTGGACAAAATAGGCCAAGGAAAAAGTCCAAAAATCGAAATTTTTGCAAAAGGTTAGTCCATGGTTTTCGGCCAAAAATAGTCATTTTTCTCATTTGAGGTTTTTGGGCAAACCTAGTCAGGAAAGATCGTTTCTTGATATTCTGGATAGAAAAGAATGCTTTTTAGACAACAAAAATCAACTTTTAAAAAAGTCCAAGAAATAGAAAATTTTCCAAAGGGGTTAGTCCATGGTTTTTGGTCAAAAATAGCCATTTTTCTCAATGGTGGTTTTTGGCCAAATCCAGCGAGGAAAGAACGTTTTTTGATATTCGGAATAGAAAAAAATCGTTTCTACACGAGAAAAGTCAAGTTTTAAAAAGGTCCAAAAAAATAAAAATTTTCCAAAGGGGGTAGTCCATGCATTTTGGCAAAAAATGGTCATTTTTCTCACTTAGTTTTTTAGGCAAATCCAGTCGGAAAAGAACGTTTTTTGATATTCGGGATAGAAAAAACTTTTCAAAACGCCCACAAAATCGAAATTTTCCAAAGGGGGTTAGGCCATGAGATTTGGCCAAAAATGGCTATTTTTCTCATTTGTACATTTTGGGCAAGGCCAGTAACGAAAGATCGTTTTCTGATATTCTTTAAAGAAAAGAATGATTTTTAGACAAGAAAAGACAAGCTTTAAAAAAGTCCAAAAAATCGAAATTTTCCAAAGGGGTTAGTCCATGGTTTTTGGCCAAAAACAGTTATTTTTCGTATTTGAGGTTTTTGGGCAAATCCAATCAGGAAACATCGTTTTCTGATGTCCTAGATAGAAAAGAATTCTGTTTAGACAAGAAAAGCCAAGTTTCAAAAAAAAAAATTCCAAGAAATCAAAATTTTCCAAAGGGGTTAGTCTATAGTTTTTGGCCAAAAATGGCCACTTTTTTGAGTGGCGGGTTTTGGGCATATCCAGCAAGAAAACATCTTTTATTTGATATTCTGGATACAAAAGAATGCTTTTTAGACAACAATAGTGAACTTTGAAAAAGTACAAAAAAAAGAATATTTTTCAAAAGGTGTATTCCATGGTTTTTGGCCAAGAAATGGCCACCTTTCTCAATGATGGTTTTTCGGCAAATCCAGCCAGAAAACATCGTTTTCTGATGTCCTAGATAGAAACGAATTCTGTTTAGACAAGAAAAGTCAAGTTTCAAAAAAAACATTCCAAAAAATCAAAATTTTCCAAAGGGGTTAGTCCATAGTTTTTGACCAAAAATGGCCACTTTTTTGAATGGCGGCTTTTGGGCATATCCAACAAGGAAACAAAAGGATACAAAAGAATACTTTTTAGACAATAGTGAACTTTGAAAAAGTACAAAAAAAGAGAATATTTTTCAAAAGGTGTATTCCATGGTTTTTGGCCAAGAAATGGCCACCTTTCTCAATGGTGGTTTTTCGGCAAATCCAGCCAGGAAACATCGTTTTTGATATTCTGGATAGAAAAGAATGCTTTTTAGACAAGAAAAGTTAATTTTTAAAAAAATCCAAAAAATCGAAATTTTTCAAGGGGGTTAGTCCATGGGTTTTGACCAAAACTGGCCATTTTTCTGATTGCAAATTTTTGGGCAAATTCAGCCAGTAAAGATCGATTTGTTATATTCTGGATAGAAAACAATGCTCTTTAGACAAGAAAAGTCAACTTTTAAAAAAGTTCAAAAAATCGAAACTTCCTAAGGGGGTTAGTCCATGGGATTTGGCCTAAAATGGCTATTTTTCTCATTTGTACATTTTGGGCAAAGCCAGTAACGAAAGATCGTTTTCTGATATTCTTTAAAGAAAAGAATGATTTTTAGACAAGAAAAGACAAGCTTTAAAAAAGTCCGAAAAATCGAAATTTTCCAAAGGGGTTAGTCCATGGGTTTTGGCCAAAAACAGTTATTTTTCGTATATTTTTCTCATTTGTACATTTTGGGCAAGGCCAGTAACGAAAGATCGTTTTCTGATATTCTTTAAAGAAAAGAATGATTTTTAGACAAGAAAAGACAAGCTTTAAAAAAGTCCAAAAAATCGAAATTTTCCAAAGGGGTTAGTCCATGGGTTTTGGCCAAAAACAGTTATTTTTCGAATTTGAGGTTTTTGGGCAATTCCAATCAGGAAACATCGTTTTCTGATGTCCTAGATAGAAAAGAATTCTGTTTAGACAAGAAAAGTCAAGTTTCAAAAAAAAAATTCCAAGAAATCAAAATTTTCCAAAGGGGTTAGTCTATAGTTTTTGGCCAAAAATGGCCACTTTTTTGAGTGGCGGGTTTTGGGCATATCCAGCAAGGAAAAATCGTTTATTTGATATTCTGAATACAAAAGAATGCTTTTTAGACAATAGTGAACTTTGAAAAAGTACAAAAAAAGAGAATATTTTTCAAAAGGTGTATTCCATGGTTTTTGGCCAAGAAATGGCCACCTTTCTCAATGGTGGTTTTTCGGCAAATCGAGCCAGGAAACATCGTTTTTGATATTCTAGAAAAAATTCAAAAAATCGAAATTTTCCAATAGGGGTTAGTCCATGGGTTTTGGCCAAAATTGGCCATTTTTCTGATTGCTAATTTTTGGGCAAATTCAGCCAGTAAAGATCGAGTTGTTATATTCTGGATAGAAAACAATGCTCTTTAGACAAGAAAAGTCAACTTTTAAAAAAGTTCAAAAAATCGAAATTTTCCAAAGGGATCAGTCCATGGGTACTGGGCAAATCTAGTCAGGAAAGATCGTTTTTCGATATTTTGGGCAGAAAAGAATGCTTTAAGGCAAGAAAAGTCAAAAAAAAAACTTTTCCTAAGGGGTTAATCCATGGTCTTTCGGCCAAATATGGCCATTTTTGTCATTGGTGGTTTTTGGGCAAATCCAGCCAGCAAACATCGTTCCTTGATATTCTTGATAGAAAAGAATGCTTTTAAGACAAGACAAGTCATCTTTTTGCAAAGGACATTTTTTGCATGACCTTTTCGACCATGGTTTTTGGCTAAAATTGGTCATTCTTCTCTTTTGAGGTTTTTGGGCAAATCCAGTCTGGAAAGTACGTTTTTTTTATATTCTGGATAGAAAAGAATGCTTTTCAGACAACAAAAGTCAACTTTTTAATAAGTCCAAAACATAGAAAATTTTCCAAATGGGTTAATCCATGGTTTTTGGCAAAAAATGACCATTTTTCTCATTTGCAGTTTTTCAGCAAATCCAGCCAGGAAAGGTCGTTTTTCGATATTCTGGATAGAGAGGAATGCTTTTTAGGCAAGAAAAGGCAACTTTTTAAAAACTCCAAGAAATCGAAATCCACAGTTTTTGCCAAAAATGGCCATTTTTCTTAATGGTGGTTTTTTGGCATATCCAGCCAGGAAACATGCTTTTTTGATATTCTGGATAGAAAAGAATGTTTTTTAGACAACAAAGACAACTTTTAAAAAAGTCCAAAAAATGGAAATGTTCACAAGGGATTAGCCCGTGGTTTTGGTCAATAATTGGAAAATTTAAAATTGGAATTTTCTAATTAAACTAACCCTTAATGTTTGTGAAAAACTGGAAATTTGCAAATTTTTTTAGGTGTAAAAAAAGTGTTCGGCAGTTGTCTAGTATTCAAAGCCCATAAAAAATATCGATATTTGAATGGTCATTAAATTGGATTTTTTTAAAAGAGGTTAGCCTATGATTTTGGGCGAAAATTGAAGAATTTTAAAAATTATTATTATTTTTGGTAGAACAGAGTAAAGAATGTTGTTTGGTCATGCTGTAGAGAGAAAGGAAGCTTTTAAAGAGTACAAAATCTTCTAGTTTACATAGCCGCCAATTTTTATTTTGTCTTAAGGGGTTTTTCTATGGTTTTAGTAAAAGTTTTAACCTCCCCCCTTTTTTTCTTTGTGTGTGTGTGTTTGCAAAAGAGTTTGCAATGTTGTTTGGTGATGTTCTAGAGAGAAAACAAGTTTTCCTAAGGTGCGTTCCTTTGATATGATCCGGATCAGGATCAGTGATCCGAGATCATTTGGATCATGGTAGATCAAATGAACCGATGAATCCTTGTCCAGAGTGGATTCATCGGTTCATTTGATCTACCATGATCCGAGTGATCTCGGATCACTGATCCTGATTCGGATCATCACGAAGGAACGCACCCCTAGACTATAAAAATTTCAAATTTTCATAATCGCGAACCTGGATATTTTCTAAAGGGTTTTGTCACAGTTTGGAAATTTGTTTTTAATTTGCCAAAATAGAAGTTAAGATGATCTTTGGTGATGATTTAGATATAAAACAAGTTTTTCTCAAGTATAAAAACTTCGACATTACACAGTTAACAAATTCGTCTTTTTCTAAAGAGGATATTCCATAATTGTGGTCAAAAATTTGATTTTTGTTATTGTTTGTGTTTTGACAAAAGAGAGTTATGAATGTTATTCAAGTTGGTGATGTTCTAGAAAGAAAACATGCGTTTACAGACTATAAAAGCCTCGGCTTTGTATATTTGCCAAATTTTATGTATTCTGAAGGGGTTAGTCCAAAATTTTGGTTAAAAATTTGAAAATTATCTGCAGCCCATGACCATAGTCATGGTCATAGGCTCCTGAAATTATTGACTGTTTTCGTTTGGTAAAACAGAGTTAAAAACGTTAATTGGTAATGTTCTAGATAGACAACAAGCTTTTATAGACTATAATAATATGGATATTACATATTTGGTAACTTTGAGTTTTTCTAAAGGGTTAGTGCATGGGTTTAGTCGCCTTTTTAGCTTGTGTTTTATCTAGAACATCACCAAACAATATATTTAACTATCTTTTATCAAAAAACAAACAATAAATTTTAGAATACCGTCCTTGTACTGGTGACTGTGAGCACTCTAAAACATTGCTTAACGCCCTCTCTTGGTCCATTTTGACAAAAGACAATTGTAGCCGAAAATGTCCGATGTTTACTCAAAAGCAAAGATAAATCAAGATGGGATTCACTCATCATTCACCATTATTCCCCATCACTCGATTTGTATCACTCATCATTCACACGTCATTCTGCTTGTGTCCGCCACAAAACTGAAATGTCGCAACGCCTTTGCTTGCACATGACACTTTTTAAAAGGCTTTGTCACGCTATATGCTATCTTTTTAAAAGCTAAAACCTATCTTCACATCAATTGAATTCTAAAAATAATGGTCCAGTTTTGCTATTTAAGGCTATTCAAGCACTGAATTTGTTTCCTATTTTCTGTTGCAACGTGATGGCGTGGATGGACGTGGATTGAAAAGGGAAATGGTTGGGTCAACCCTTTTCTAGTTTTGATAATATGCCAGCAAAATCACCAAACATTACGGTTAAGTGCTGCCTGATAATTTTTTGTGATGGATTCTTTATAACTCAACAGGATAACTTGGTGAATGTGTCAAGGCACTAAGTAATGGCTACTCGGTTAGTTGTACGAACTATTTAGGTATCCCAAACTCTGAACAATGAACCTAAAATTGAAAAATTTCTTTTCCTTCTTCACAATCTTTTTTGTTATATTCAAAACGCTCAATTGTATTAATACTCTGTGTGAGCTTAAATAAAAGTTGACTTGACCTGAACAGAATTGACCTAGAACAGCAATACCCTCGTGTCATGTCATAGCCCCTTTAACCCTTTCACTGCCAGAGTGTTTGATGGAGTTTTGTAAGATGACTCTAACGTTTGAGTCTGTGGACGAAATCCTATGATGTAACCATTCAAATGAAAGCTCTCTGCCTGTACCGTCACATTCTGCTATTCTGCTATTCGTTTTTAGAAAATGAAATTTGGAAACTTTGCTCGAAATTTGCCTTTGGCCACATTTGGCAGTGAAAGGGTTAATCACGTCACATACTTCTCAGCGGCCTAAATGATTGACAAATGTTTTCTTTTGACTACAGAGTTTATGCCGCAAGGTACACTGACAGGAACAACTTATGACTGCTACCAAATATACGCAATTAATTTATTTACAACAACCTAACTTACAATAATTAAGTGGCTTTCAAATTGAATTTTATATCACTATTTAAAATAATTTATAAAAACATTGAATCTAATTGCAAAAATATAGAAGAAGATTGTGCTGCAGGAGGTTACCCAATGTACCTCACTCGTTTGCAAACATATACATTTTATGCTAACCCTTTAGGTCCCAAGAGTGACCAACATCAATTTTCTCCCAACATCATCAGCAGATCATCAAGAGTAAAGGTTATGAGAATTACAAAATTGAGTATCAAAGGGAGAATACTTTGATCTTAAACCAAATTCTCTCAGCTATTCTTCAAAGAAATGTATGGAGATTAGTCTGGAGAATTTGTATGTGGATCTTGGAGCTTAAAGGGTTAATGATCTACTTTTAAATCTTTCTAATAAACCTCCGAAAAGAGCCATCATTTTGCGAACCCACCACTAGTTTCCCGGCGAAATGTCTTCTGAGAAATGAGCGCTGAAATTCCATACTGATGACATGTCACTACTTAGATCTGGGTAGCGGCGATTCTGACTGGTCATGCAGTGAGGGACATTTGATTCAGTCAATCACAAGCTCTATCCAGATCTGCGGGGAAAACAACGGTGGAGTGGCGAAATGACGGCTGTTTTCTCAGGCTATTTAATGACCGACTTTAAAATCATTCTAATTTACAATGAGGTAGTCATATCTGACCCCATTCTAGTCACTGTTGAAAAAGTAATATCCATAACAGTAAATTTACTCTTGACAATACTTTGCCGTCCAGATGACAACCCACAGGAAGTAGTATCATCATTCACGGTTTACAGTCATCTCACCACCAACAATTTCGCCGCAAAGAGGTTGACTCGCCACCAAGAAATAACTCCGAAATAATTGAAACAATAGGCCACCTCCGCGTTCCAAAAACCCTCACTTTCAAAATGAGGCTAAGTGCACAACTTTTCTTGTGAAAATGAGTTTTATTTGCATGAGAATGAAAACTCATTTCCATATCAAAGGCCAAGCACTTAACTTCGTTTTTATACAGAGGCTCGGGGAAACTCGGAAATGGCCTATTTAATTTACCCAGATTGTTTACCTAGGATTTTACTTTCTTGCCAAGCTTCTTCGAATTTGAAGTTGACGTTTAGAAATCTATCGATCAAAGTTGACGATCCTTGCGCCGTTTGACAACCACCCGTCATTTGTTTGAAAACAAATGATAAAGTGACGGTTAAGAGAAAATTCATGTTCATGAAAGTTTTTTCCAGTTGTTTTGTATATACTAAGTACTTCCTTTGTGGCGATTTTGTCGGTGGCGAGATGGACTGGTGATGAGGTGAATGGATACCTTACCCGCTGACATTGAAAGAGAGTCCACTCTTCCATCTGCTCAGCTGATGCCACAGGCATAACATTGTTCGTCCTTTACACTTAGTTTCCTACTATAACCAGCAAAAACAACAATTTTTACTAATTAATTACTGTGAATAGCAAAAAAAGCATCAAAAATATCTTTTTCTGGAACGCCATTCTCTTGACAAGGTAAAAACCAATCAAGCATGAGAAAACTAAAATGCAAACAGCAAGAGCAATTAGTTAGTGGTTCTGAAGCGGGTTCTGAAGTTTGAACGTAATTGTGACTGGTCACTACACAATCAAAATTCCTGAAATATTTCAGGTGTTCACGTTTTTGTTAGATAGACTGTAAAGTTATATAGCACAGACCCATGTTAGACAGTTCTTTCTGAGCAGACACAAGTTCCACTATTGAGGTCCTACACCGTTCTACCCATATTTTCAGTAAAAGCAACGTATTAAGCACACACCCGCAGGGATCCTGTTAGTGTCATCCATTCTTGTGCTCTCTAACCACAACAATGGTGACTGTGGGGGTGACTGTGGGAATTAACCAAGGAAAATACAATGTTTACCGGTATGTCAACAATTAAAAAGCAAGCAAATACCTTGCATGCAATTGTAATGTAGAGAAAACTGGTAAAATGACATGTTTTTTTTTCCTGGGAAATACAAAACTAAGCTCTAAGAAAAATTTAGGGGGAGCCTAAACCCATGAAAACTGGGTACCCAGCATATAACTTCGACTGCAAAAACTAAGGAAATTTTCACGAAAAGAATTCATTATAAAATAATGATTAGTCTGTTTCGCGGGTTGTAATCTGCTGCATGGCCTGCTAAATTTACAAGTCTTCAAACTCGCCGGCCTGATTAAGCTATTTTCTCAGCCTGTACTGTAAGATAGGAATCCTCGTTGCTTGATTTATGGCCCGTGCAAACTCATTCCACTCCCCGTGGTACAGACTACAGAATTGGATAGTAAGAGGTATTTATAAACTGAATCCAGTAAATTAGCCTGAGAAAACAGATGACATTTTGCAACGCCACTGGTGGTTTCCCCGCAAAATAACATCTGAGAAATGAGCGCAGAAATTCCATACTAATGACGCATCACTACCCAGATCTGGGTAGTGCTTCTGATTGGTCGTGCCTTGTGGGAAATCTGCTTCAACCAGTCAGAAACACTACCAAGATCTGTTTTCTCAAGCTGCCAGTAAATATGATTGCATATAATGCCAGTTTTGACTTTAACTGTGCACGAAATAAATTCCCAGCTGACTTCTGATTAACAAGTTATTAACTAGTCGATTCTCCTTTCAATTTGCTTTGTTTGTCCTTGTAAATAGGAGGAGGAATTTGGTATTACATCAAGAGTCACTTGAGGCCTTATTTCACACACCCCCTATGTGTAAATAAGAAAAATATAAATTCCAGCTGACCACATTTCAGACAGTACTGTGTATTGATACCCTGATTCCAAATTTAGCCTTCAAGGCTCGCAAAATTTCATTGATAATTTCTTCAACAGTCTGATCCACTGCTACCTTTATGACAGAGTACATTTCACAGTTATCTGGTTCCTCGAGACTTTCAAACTGCGAGTCCAATAAATCAGAGGGCATAAAATGTTCTTGTCTCTTCTCCATTCTCTCCTTTATCAAGTCCTTTGAGCCATGAAGAAGGACAACAAGACAACAGAAAGGCAATGGTCTGGACAGCTTTTGTCTCTTGTCACCATTTGAGCAGTAGTGTTTATTTTCAGAGGCTGCTTCTGCTCCAAGAAGAATTGTTTGTCTATACTGTTCCTTGAGGGCTGAACAAGCAAGTACTCCTGATTCAGATCGCTTGTTCCACCTAAGAGTTGATGGCACCCAAAAGTTAACAATTTACAATAAATCTAACACCAAAATCCATATTCTGTGCACTGTTCTCAGCATATTTCCCTTGGTAATGTGGAGGAGAATTATTTTGCTCTCTGGGAAGGCGGTATTGCCATATATGGGCTATAATTATAGGATGTGTCATTGTTCAAGCAACTATTCTACAGGGTACAGAAATTGGAGGAAAGCTGATCAATTTACCGGCATCGGTTGAAGATTTTATTCTACCCTGGAGAAACCAGGAATTGACAATCAAAAAATTTAAATTGGCAAATTTAAATTTACTTACGTCTCAGTTCAACAGCAAAGAAAGTTTTGACCTTGGTAGTTTGTTTCTGGAAAGTAGAGACTTAAAAACACAGAGGGCTTTTGGGAGTTTTGTCTCATATAAGTTAGCAAAAGTTAGCTGAACTAAGTCTGCTTTAGCTGGCAAGGGTTCTGGTAGCCTGAGTGTCAGGCGTTTCTTAGGAAGGCCTGATACTCAGGCTAGGGTTCTGGGGTCCAGGTGGATATCCCATCAAATATTCCCCAAGTATCCCTTCCAGGAATTTGTTTAACAATCCAGATCTTTATCACTTGTTGTTGCATCTATTTCACTCCAATTAAAATCAATTTCAAAACAAGGTATACCTATGTAAATGCTCAAATACATGTAAGTTAAATATCTGCATGTAAGAGTGGACATTAAATTGTGCTGTGGTTGAACTTAGGTTCAAACTCGTTTTCCTTTCTTCTTGGATATGGTTAGATAGGGTATTCACTGAACCAAGGGAAAGTAAATTTGAACCAAGGATAAAATAATTAGAACCACCACAGAAAACAAAAACATAATAAATTCTGATTCATTTCATCAAGGTGATTTAATATGAAAGTGCTACCAAACAAGTTTCATCTGAATTTTATTACAGGCTGATAGAGGTACAAGACTCTAGAAGTGTCATTTTGTCTCCTTCTCTATATGTTCAGGCACAATTTTTCATCTTATTTCTTTGTTTTTGTGTGTAAAGGCAATAATAAAAATGTATAAAATCCTAGCGATGGTATGACTGGAAAAGCTTTTCATGATCGTCAATGTAAGGCACGCTTTAATATTAGAAAACAAAAGTGATCCTTACAAATTTATGTCCACAATACAACTGTAGATAAATGTAACTCAAAAATTAAGATTTACTTCATAAATTGCTTGCAAATGAAAGTTTGGGCTTTCATGTCGCTCTTTGCAAACAACATGAGACTCAAGAGCTTAAAATCAAAACTCATCTTAGTGTGCAAAGAAAGTAGTGTCCGATAGTCCAGACAGCTAGTGGATTTTGCAATCAGGCCAGTGAATTCTGTTTTTAACTTGCCCGATAGGCAAGTGATGTTTTTTTGAGGAATTAGAATAACAGAAGAACTGTGCAATCAATTCTGCTAGTCAGAAAGCTTTTGGGGTTAGTTGAAATGACGTCTGGGCTAGTAAATGCTAACTTCAGCTTTCCCGAATGGCAAGCTGTAAAAATGATTTTTATTGCACCCTGTCATCTACACAACTGAAATGATATAATGATATAACAATATGAAGGTATATGTTACCTTTCAATCACTTTGTTTAAGGCAAGTAGCCAAGGTTGCCTGTCCTGTCAAATATACAAATGGATAATGAAATTTAATGAAGCTTATATAAATGGTGGTTCACTCAAACGTGCTGGTGAGAGAAAAAATGAGTCCCCAACAAAGACGGAAGCCTTTCTAAGGCAAAACAAGACCTATGACAAGCAGTTAGACAGTGTAAAAAGAGTGCACAAACAACACCAATTGTAAATGGGATGAGGTTAAGTTTATTGACCCAGACCCTCACTGGTACTCTCATGCAGTTACAGGCTTAAATCACATAAGACTTTACCGTAACACCACCAACAGAGACAATGGAATTGAGATTCCTGAATCGTGGATGCCTACAATCAGACAACATAGCAGCTGATCGCTACCACAACAGACCACTGAGGAAACAGTTTCCTCCTCTCATAATGCCAACAATGCTTAGGATCGAAACCCACCAAAAAAGAGCAAAATTCGTTAGACACCAATCACTAACAACTATGGTGGTACAAAAAAGTCCTACTTAGTACACTTCAACCTCATGAAGACCCTCAGTCAAGGTTGAAACATTTCAATCAATATCTAAGTGGCAATCATGAGACAAACAATAAATGAAACCCTTTATAAATATTCTCCATAATGAATAATATCATTCCTGACAATGAAAACTGCCTAATGGTGCACGCAAGTAGTTTTAAAGTTCCTTACTTCAGCAAGTCAGGGAGATCTGATAACATGTTTTCTCTTAATGGCTCAGGCTTTTCCGTGTATAAAGGAAACTTTTTTGTATCACAATTAAATTATTATGCACAATTTGTAGTTCACATAAATAGATCAATGATATCTTCCAAATATGCATGTTGTACATTGTATGTGTGGAGTTTGTATTTCATCTGATTTCAAAATTTTAATCATGGCTAAAAAAATAATTCACAGTATAATATTATTTATATGCTGTTTATGCTTTTCACTTCCCTTTCCCCCTCTGCCTGCCCTTGTTGATTACCAGTACGTTGAGTTCCGTTACTTCTAGGGGACTGTCGCTTTATAGAGGAAAAAAAATGACGAGTTTATGCGACAACGTGATGAATGTATACGGCAAATGTAGAATGTACAACAAAAGAAAAAAACATGAATCTCTTTTAGTTATTTGCTCTATTATTCTGCCTTCAATCTACAGTAAATTGGCTAAAATCCCCCCCCCCCAAAAAAAATTAAGAAACGAGTATACATGTCCCGAATAGGATTTTTGTGGCTGAAAGATATAGATGGGTCCAGAAATGACCAGCATTTGCTCTTTTTCCATTCTTAGTTGTTGAACATACGACATTATTTTTTTTCCTCGGATAAACTTGTCACTTTGCCCACGCACTTAAAGTAATGAAAGCCTAAAAGTAATGAAAGCTACTATGTTTACCTCATCAGTCAGGGGAGTTCCCTGTTTCATCTTTGTGATATTCCCTGCTGAATGGAAATGATCAGCATCCACATAGGGGCATGATAACTGTCAAAAGTGAGTGAATGCAGATTAACAAGACTCAAACATCAGCAATTTCAAAAGGTTTGTTTCTTTGAGAAAATCCCAATCTGGCTTCTTGAAACTTGCACTTCTTTACTTAAGTCTGAAAAAATATTTTGAATCTGAAGAATCCACACACCAGGAAGATTCATTAGTCAGCTCAAATCTAAATCCAGATTTTTAAGATTAAGGATCCTGCATGCATTTCATTTGAAGGCTACCTGGCACGCTGATTTCCAGTGAAACTACATTATGAGGTCCACTGCTCGCACTACTGTTAGCACACATACAGTCAAACCTGCTTAACATGGACACTGAGGGGGCCATAGAAAGTGTCCGTATTAAGTTGGCTGAAATTAGAGAAAATGTAATGGCTCTCTTTGCTCAGGGACAAAGCAAACTGTCCGTAATACAGTGGAACCCCGCCTTACAGCCACCTCGGTAATACAATCACCTTGTTATTATGGCCACTTTTTTTCAGCCCAGCAAAAAGGCCATACATTTTCTTGTAAAAAACCCTCATTAATGTGGTCACCTGTAAATGCGGCCAATGGCCAGGTTTTTTAAATCCGAAACAGTAGAATCTTTTATAATTTGACCCCATTAATACGGCCACTCATTCGAAATTTAGAAAATCAAAAGCCTGTGGCATGTCAGTTTCATTGACCTAGTAAGCTGAGCCTGATCTTGTTTTGTTTTTAGACAAAAATGCATTTGGTGGAGGTTTAATAGCCGATTTGTAAAAGTGTTCTATCTTCTGAAGAAAAGTTCCAAGTAGTTTTGTCATTACGGCCTCAAGTCATGAAAGTTACATGTAATCCTGCCGTGGTAATATGGCCACCCTGTTAATACAGCCAAATCTTTTTACCCATTGATGACCTTATTAACGGGGTTCCACTGCAATGAGGTGTTGGTAATAAGCGTGCGACTGTAAAGCAGTAGATATATTGCCTTGCTCCATGACCAGAAAAATTCCATTTTCCCTCATGCAGAGTTTACTGGATTGACCCTCCACCCTCATCCCCTCTGAAAATTGTTCTTTGCATAAATGTTGGTTTAACATATACCAGCCATCTCCCCCTCCAGTTTCCCAGTAACTTTCTATGGGGTGGGGTGGATAATATCTTTGCTTTTGGAGTTCACAGCAAATCTAAAGCATCCGAGGATAAATTTAAATCTATTGTAGGGCTTGGACTCTCCCAATTAACAAATAAGATTCTTGGCAATTCACTTCCAAATTTGTCAGGAGTGCAGCGAGGAATTACTAAATATTTCATTCAGTAACAAATGTATTGGCAACAGGAAAAAGACCTTTGTTTGAGTAACTTGCAGTCATCAAACGTGCCTCTTGTAAAATATATATGTCATCTGACAAGGCAATGTTATTTGCATATGGTTAATTTCAATAGTGTAAAGCAGGAAAATTAATGAGCATGGTTACAAACAATGACTGTCATCAAGAGTACTTTTAACTAATAAACTGGCAAGAATTTAACAAAACCCAGCTGCATCCACCATCCATATGAGTGATAGTTTTTAATATAAAAGTACTATGCCCAAAGAAAAAAATAACCAACGAACAGCAGTAGACACCCACCTTTTTTGCCAAGGCGCGAGCTACTGTTGTTCTGTAGAATACAAGAAAGTAGATTATTCATGCAGATCAAGCTTTTTTGGAAGAAACAGGGGCAGAATATTCCACCCCTTGCATTACCCCTAAGACTGTTAAAATAAAAAAAAGAATAGTGCTGTGTTTTGTTTTACATCCCTTGTAAATGGATAGCTGGAGATGAAGGAGACAATGCCAAAAGCTCGACATCACTGCACAATTAACTGCGAACTATGAACTAACACAGGGTGTTATATCACAACCAGCATGCCCTGATCAGGTTTTCGAGACCTTTGTTCATTGTCTAGCAAGGGTTTGAGCCTAGTAGACCTGAACTAACTGAGTGGTCAGAGTTGTAATCCGAGTTGAGTATGTTTGGTAGGGTTTTCAAACAGTGAAATTTGAGATACGGTATAAAAATCAAAGCATTTTGGTCTACGATAGCATATCATTCATTTTTAATTGACCAGTGGTATAAAAAGTCAAGTTTTTGGTTCTTAGTGAGCCTAGAGTATGATAAACCCTAGGATTTCAATTTCCATGGAAAACAATTTTTGTTTCTGTGCCCAGGGATCATGTGAAAGCATTAGTAACAATTTTTTGGTTCCACTCGAAAATTCATGGGAATTAATCCACCTCTTTTAAAAATGTTTTCAATTATTTCACATATTGTTTTCTTGGCCCTGGAGGCCATAAACCAGCAATGTTCAATGTTCTTTGGTAACAATTCAAGATGGTGAACAATAGAAAGATGACAGATGGCAATCAACGTTTTAGTTTCGTACATAACCCGAATCATAACTAAGAATGGCTCTTCTAGTTAAGAATCTGAGTGGGAAAAGAGTGAATTTCTGTAAATTGAACCCTACTGCTGTAAATGTCACTGGGAAACGTTTTTCTCGGTTCTGTTATTTTAAGACCACGGTAACAACACGGTACCAGAAATGATCGTTACTGTGAAATCCTAGGGCTTGCTATGACAAGAACTTTAATTTGGAAATTTTGGTCTAGAATATGGTATGTAAATTGCAGTTTGAAATGGTTTGGTATAGGGTCTCAGCAGCTAAACCCACCTAAAAATTCCTAGAGTACCCGAACCTGCCCCACCCCCACTTCTTGCACCCCCGGTGGTAGTAAGGTATAAGGGTTGAAAATGAAATTAAATTCAAGTCATCACTCACTTTCCACTTCCACAAACACCAGTTACCAACACAACAACCATGATCGGGCAGGGTGAAAAAATGGTGTCTTGGATTGAGTACACCTCATTCAACCTGCAAAAGAAGACATGCACACGTTGTGAGTCAATTTTATCACAAATTTTTTGGGCAAATTTTCTTTCATTTGTTTTCTAACTGATTACTGGTATTTCATAACACCACACCCAAAGATAAATGGATGTGAGTTTTGATTGAGGACAAAAAAAGAACCTTTTCATTAACTGTTTTCCATAACACTAAATAACTACTTGCATACTTTTAATAGTGGGTTGTACAACTACTGTCAGTTGTATCTAAGCCTAGACATGAGATAAAAAACCTGTTCTGACAGAGTGCCAAACATGACAGGTTTTGCCCACAAACACTAGAAGTTTGACAGCTGTTAAAGCAAACTGTCGTGCCAAAGGTTTAAGCTGTTGATGAAGTTTGACAGCCTTTAAAGCTTAAAGCAAACTGTCATGCCACAGGCTTAAATTGTTGACATGTTTTTGATCGATGAGTTTGGCTAACATTTAGGAATGACTTTTGTTTATCTGAAACTGATTATATTATTATTGGAGTCAAAATTCTTCTTTCTAATCAAAAGATTGTATTTTCTAATAGCAGCCTGTAATAAATGCTGATTGACAGCCTTAAGAAAATAAAGTGTCTGATTTGATTTTCTGTGGCATGTTAATTGCTGCGGCAAAATTCAGTTGCAGAGACAAATATTTTCACAAAAATTCTCCAGTACACACAAACCGATTTGTCACTGTGACATGTTGCCATGATATGTTGCTGCAACTTGTCACCTAGTGTGTACGGACCTTAAATGCTGCTGTCTTGATTTTATAATTTTGTTGGCCGTTGTCTACATGATTGCTTCTCATTGAATAACAATATTATAGTGCCTCTTTCATTATGCCTTGTTCTGGTCTGAATTTTGTACGTTCCAAAAAAAGGAGTCAAAGCATTTTTGGTCTTAAGTGTCAGCCATCTCTTCACTTCAACCTCCCAACCGGCCATCAGGTTGGGGGTTGAAAATACTGACTAGACAGCTGTCACTTCAGACAATACATGGAGCATTAGGTCAAGTAAAAAAATTAAAAAAGGAAAAAATAATGCAATTTCCTCTTTTTTTAGTCTTAAAGGGAATCTAATCCATGGTCACAAACATCAACAATTTTTTTGTCATGTTGGGGTTAGAGGGGAAAGCAGAAGCTCCTATGGCATCTTCATTATGTTCAAATATAAAATTTAATGTGTATCATTTTAATGTACAGGTGGAGACATGTCTTTAAAATGTGGGTTTCACACCTGCTTTTTATAATGTTTTGATATTGTAGTTCCCTAGGCAACAAAAAATATAAAAAATGAAAAATAAGATTATCGTCTGTCTTAAAAATGACTTTTAAGCAGCGAAGAGGAAATTTGGCTTGATTTATGGTGGTCAAAACCAAAACTTTAACCAAAACATTTCAAACTACGATATAGAGTATTTTTACCGACAGAAATATATTTGCCAAACCACATGATTTACATAATCCATAATTCATAACTTCTTGTTGTTGGTTTTTTTTATATATTGGGCACTGAAAAGTCACACATGACATTTTTTTAATGATTAAGAGTCATGCCTTTGGCCTTCCTACTTTGAACTCCAGTTAGATATTTTTACATGTAAAACGTTTATTAAACAGACTTTGTATAGATTGCTTACATTTTCGAGTTAATATGAAGGTAAACTTAAATTATTGATCTGTACGAATACCGCGCCAAGTGGAATAAATGTGTTTTTCCATTCATTTGTAGTAAATCATTATTTCATAAAAAATTAAACACCAAATTTAAAACGACCTTCTAATTTAGACGTTCCAAAATAAACTTCCTCGTTAACTGAAATATAGGCTTACTATAAAATCATTGATGGGAGAAGATCTGTACGGAGTCCACGATTTTGGGTACTTTTTTCACATCCAGTGTGCAGTGTGACAATTTCGAGTAAAAATTGTTTACCCAAATAAGGCTTAACTCTAGCACAAGGCATCTGTGTTGCTGATAAAATTAATATGTTGTTTGGTTATCAAGATCACTGCCACATACATAACCTCAGACGAAACCCTATCAAAGTAGTTTGAGTTTACCTACAGGACAATCTATAAAACTGGCAATTCACGGTCTCTCAAAGGTGAAACTACGTTAATCTCGCAGCCTGTCAGCTCCCATCGACGTATGACTCAAGATAAAGCTAGTCTAACTAGGTAAAACACATCCGCTTTTAGGGAAATAAAGTGAGAAAGCTTACCTGGTAAGGAAATGCTGAACACAGCAAAGGATCAAAGAGGAGAAGTCAGGGAACAAATTGTATTGAGTGGTTCTTGTTCAATCACTACAGCTGATGAACTAGGAAACGATTGGCTGATAAAACTAGGAATTTGCTGACGAGTCAACTCTTATGCAGTTCAGTTACCAGCTAGGTTTCTCCCGTGTTTCTTCTGATGAAGTCTAAGCGGGGTAAAAAGGAAGTAAAAACGACGAAAAGTTGAAATGACCATCAACACTGAGTAATAGACTTCAAAACCCAAGGATTAAGTAACTATTCCGCCCCAGGGCCCCAATTATTCCCACCGCATTCTTGTTGAAAACCGCTGATTGGCTAAAATTACCCTGTGTTTTACGATAGTTGAACAACATCAATTTTCAAGAAGTCCTTTATATCCGAGAGCGACGTGCAATTTTGGAAAATCACATCTTTTCCTGACCACCTGCTTGCGAAATAAAACAATAACGCGATACAAATGGAAATTAAACGGTGGAAACAGTTCGAAAGTCACAAACAATTCAGACTGCTTCCTTTTATAACCCCCAAACATGACAAAATGACAAAAATGTATGGCGTTTTTTGCAACTTTGAGGTCATGGTTTTGATTAGATTCCCGTAAAGATTAAAGGGACTAGCATTTTTCTGTTTAAACTACGCGGAGTATTAAGTTTTGCTGTTCCTGGCCCTGGAAGACTTGTCAACCTACATATTGATTCTTTGGGCTCTTGTTTTTTCCCATTGCCTGGGTAGAGTTCAGTTTTGATAAGAACTTGAGGTAATATGAATAATCCGTTCGACTTGAACAACCACAGACAACCGCAATATTCCTTGTGGCGCATGTATGTTGTAGTTTACTTTTCATCTCAGATAATTGTTATTTTTCTTTCGTTACGAAAATTACCCGAGATGAAAATTAAACTACAACATGTACATTAAACTAGCAATTCTTGTAATTGCTTGAAGGATAGCCCTGCGTGATCTAAACTTACTTCGGCGACTACTTCAAGAACTTTGCCTCAAAATCAATACTAGGGTTGATATTTTTAGAGCTGTTAACGTAGAGTTAAAAGGTAACCCATATCACCAATAACGTAATGATTTATGGTTGGTTTCAAATGGGAATATAAAGATTAAAAAACAGCGCCGTCAGAGGGGCAGTCTGGTCAATAAAAGCCTTGTTTTTCATTTATATTCGCCCTTTTTCTTAAATATCTGGCAAGCTGGCCAAGATTTTTTTCAATCTAAGGTCATAGTCGGGTTCAATAATTGGCCATTTGCACGATGGCGTCATCTTACTACTACGACTTTTCGTTTTTCCTTTCATATTTAATTTTGGTAGTCCCGGTGAGGTTTAAATAACAAAAGCCCTAATTTGCACAAGAAAGCAAAACCCTGAAGGATCCTGTCAAAGTACGTAGTAAAATGACGCCATCATGCAAATGGCCTGTTGCTTGGGTATTTTTTTATTTTTGGCATTTTTCATGAACAAAGATGGGAGTGTTCCAAAATTTAAAAAAAAAAATTAAAAAGATTGGATTTGGGGGTTGTTGAACACTTAAGTATGAAGTGAGTGGTTAGAAGACAAAGACCAGATAGTCCACAACCAAAACAAGATGCCCCTGAACTCTTTAGTGGACTAACTGCTTTCAACACCCCATTTCCCCCGCAAAAGGAACCAGACTGCCCCCTTAATTTGATACGGCTTCTTCTGCTAGTACTACAAGTGCCAAATCAACTTCTTGCGAACTATATACTTAAGGGCCTTAAAGCCTCTTTCAGCAACATCAGGCCCCAGTTGTTCAAAAGGATGGATAATATTATTCATCGGATAAATCTCTATCCACTGGATATAGCGCAATTGGTTTTCGTAACATTTATCCAGTTCTTTTGTAAGCACGCACGCGATACTGGCACTTCGCCCCCTGGCGATTTGACCTGTTTGTCAGATTCATATCCCCAGTCCTTTTCAAAGCACCCACAACTCGAGTAATTTCGCGCAAGACTAGAGAATGTTTCTTTGCCACCTTGCCTTTGGGCTCCTTTGAACTTAAGTGCTTTCAATTCAAATGTTCAAGCTTGTTATTTCTGATTCGTCTTAATCTGTAGCCTAAGTTGTTAACCTCGCCTCCAGGATTCGCAGCTCCTCCTCTACCAAAACTTTGCTTGCGCTAACTATCCCGCCGGCTATTTTTCTTTTAATGAAAACGGATACAGGTGGACGGGTGCTTGCCACCCAACAGGATGTCCTGGTTTTGGGGATCTCAAGTCTTAACCAGGCTGTACAACGTCACCATTAGGTGCTTTAAACAGCTTGTCTTTCTGCCGGAAAGGAAGCCTTGATTGAACAGGATCAGGGATATGATCTCCTGACAGGGTCGGTGAACGTCAGCGGTGCGAGGTCCATGTAAGTGGTGCCTACATTTTCTAAAGGTACATCATAAGACTTTTTCAGGGTGTTATATTTGGGGTGCCCTCGAAGTTAGGTCTTTTCCGCGTGGGTATAGAAGGAAGCTAAGTGAACTGATCTTGTGTTAAACAGGGCGAGGCCAGGGTTTGAAGGCCTTGCCGAATCACCCCCTTTAAAGTTTCCCCTCAGAGCTACATGCCGGGAGACAGCTAACCTTCCGAGACACTGGAATGATCAAGCATTCATCAAGAAGGAAAGTTATTAAAAACGCGAAGGCACTGAGAACAAACCAAAAATATTCATTTTTTTTTATTTTTGCTTAAATAACACGTAAGAAACATACAAACTCAGATCACTGAGTACCGCTAGGTTGTAACGTTTTTATTTCATGAAAACAAAGCTGGCATAACTATGATATTTAAAGACATTATTGAATTTCATTTTCTGTAGTTGAACATCCTCATCGTCCTCTGCCTTTTGAGGGAGGATCCGTTTTAACATTAAGCATTTAATACATCCGGCCAAACGCAAACAGAGGTCAATGTGTACACATATCTAACAGCCAACATGAATTGTTATTACAAGATACAATCTTACGAAAGTGACAAGAGGTTACACTTGGGTTGTCAAAACTCTTCGTTAGGCAGAATGAGGCTCACGTATCGTCTTGCACAGTGCCTTGCACCGTGCTGTACGAAGGCAACCGTCTTATGCAAATACACTTTGCCTTAAAACAAATTGGAAACGTTTTACAAAGGTTTTAAAGCTATGATCATCACACGTTTTATTGTGCAGTATGCGCCAAGACGAGGTAGGGATGGGAGCACATTCAAACCCGCCTCCTCCCCTCCTACGTAAGACGTCTAGGCAAGAAAACCAGAAAAACATTAAAGCCAAATAAAAATCTGTAAAAGGTACATTGGAACCTCCGAAAATATTACAGCATTACAAAGTTAGCGGCAGGTTATGTTAAATGTTAGGCTGATCAGTGCGTAAAGTACAGTATTAGTGTACTTATTTCAGAAATTCCAATGTTGTCTGTGAACATCTAGTAAAAAGTACATGCGGGTGAGTCTATAACTTTAGTTGAACTGAGATTCCTTTCAACTTGCAAGTGTTAATGCGAGGGTTCAAATATTAGATAATTTATTATGAAAGTTTTAATTTGGGGGTGAAAAGCTTTTAACCTTAATCTATGGCTTCCAAATTTACATTCATTTGATTCAAACAAGTAATTGTTACATTGAAGGAACAACATTTCTAAATTAGTTTACAACTTGATTAAAGTAAGATCAGATCGATCTGGAATCGCGGCTGCTGCTGATTTGAACGAAGTGTCCGATTGTCTTTTAGATCAACAGCCAGGAAAACTGTTTCCTGTAAAAGTGTAAACTCACTGAGAAAAAAAATCGCGGTCCAGGGGATGAAACTTTTCTCTGCACGCTTTTTTAGTACCTTTATCTGAGTGGACTCAATAATTGCAATCAAAAACCGCTAACTACCGCTCAAGGCCTAAACAGAAGCAAATGCAAGAATTTGTACGTCCGTCAAAGTTCAGGGGTTAATGTTTCGAACAACCATGAATATGCCTCGAAGACAAACGTGCATAATTCACACAGGCTCGAGTTTTGCTTAAAGCCAGCAAATTTATAATCACTCCGCAGTTTCACATCGAATGAGAAGTATTGTAGTAATCATAATTTGGCATTTAATTTCTAACACGCGTAATATCAACGAGTTGTAAACTAGGGTTTCTACTTTGCTTTCTTTTAACAAGGCCGTCAAGGAACAATCTGAGATTGTTCTGCTATATATACAAAATAAATATAGCAATCTATTTTTCCAGTGAAACCGGTGTATGCAGTCAGACGTTCGGAGGAATTGCATCATTCTCCCTGTAGCTGTTGGAAAAATATTTAAACCATTTAAAAATCATTATCACTCTCCCCTCGTCTGTTTTTTCCTTACAGTTTCCTCGCGATTTTTAGTTCCCTTGCTCCCAAACGTGCAGCCTGTTCACAGACTATTTTCCATACTATCCTGGGGCCAGTCAGTGTAGGGCTGGGTCCGACGAGCCCCCCAAGCTAAAACTTCTAAAATCAAACAGTTGCAGTTACGGCAAAAACCTCTTTAAAAATAAAAAATGTAGGAAAATTGGGACCACTTTTAGCAGTAAAAAAACACTTTGATTCCCCCACGTGATGTAGGCTTGATTTTAACCTTTCAACAAGGAGGTCAACAAGGATTAAATCGCCCTTTCTCTGGAGAATTTTCCGCATTTTCCTGTCAGATCCTCACCCTCCCTGGGTTTACCATCAATAAAAATTGAGCACCATCACACAACTTACTATTTCTTTTCAAATATTTTTCTTTCAAGTTCAAAGAAAAAGGCTTTAAGGTTTAAGAAAAGAGAACAGCTTTGAACTATAACCTGGTATACTTACCTCGATTTGGTTTGTCGGTTTAATCTACTTGAGGAAGGCATTTTTCCGGGCATCAGGAAGCTGTTGAACTAAGGATTGTACTTCTAGAAAATAAGGAAGTTAGAATGCAAGAGAGAGTATTCTCAATACGATTAAGAGTAAACTAGAGAAATGAACAGCAGGCTTTGGGATTTAATACAGACTTTGATCTGCTCCTCTCAAAGTGTAGATTTTTCAAGAGTTGGTTCCCTGTTGATGAATTAAATTAACAAGTTAAAGAATCACATCTCAACTGGACCTGTGCTTCTGCCCATTTTACAGTGTTAAGAGAATTATTCTAGTGATCCAGCAATTACAGAGTGATCTGCTTAGAGCTTAGTTCTACGCAACTACGTTTTGTCAAAAGTATCCTGTCTTCAAAATTTCATGTCACGCGTCAAACTGGGTGCCTAGAATTCCATGACCAGAATACCTTAATTTTAGCTTTTCAAAGTTTGTTTTCTCAGTTTTAACAATAGTTTTATCGCGATGATTAATTACCTTAACCTCTCCTTGTCCCACGGATGCAGCAACGTGCAATAAAGTAACTGACTGGCGACTTCCAGCGAGGCAAACAACTTCCGTCCGATGAGCAGCTTGTTCGATCACCATGCGACGTGGCAAAAGCCTTCATGACCTCGGCTGTGCCATCTAGGGTGATCTGGAACTTCCTAAACTAAATACCATGCTTAAAGACCAGTTATCATTTGTATTAAGGAAGAACTAGTATGATTAAAATGAATCAAAGACAAATCTGTATAAGTTCATCTTTAAAGCAATAGTAATGTTTAAACTGCTTCTCTGTACCACACCCATAAGCTACGAGAAGGCTATTGATTGAAATTCTATTAAGTTCTCATAGTTGTCATTTTCCTTTTTTAGTTGAGATTGACAAATTCATAAATAGTATCTTCATATGGAATGGTCCAGGTCGTGGCTTTGCTTATGATGTAATCAAAGTAACATTTAAAGATCATGTGCATGATTTTATTTAAATAAAAACTTGTGTTTTCTCTATTTTTTCTTTTGCAGCTTAGGTCATTCCATTCCAGGCCGTTCTCACGGTTTGGAACTCATGATTTCTTTTGAGTCCTTTCTTGAGCTTCCTGAGTGTCTGAAGTAGAAAATAGCTAACAAGACAATTAGCACTGTTTCACTGGAAATCATGACTGTTGAATATGCCAGTTCATATTGGTGTTGTTACATGTGGTACAGTAAACACCCGCATGTAAGAACACACAATGTCGGAGGTCAGGCTGATTGAGTTATTATTTATCGGGTGGTTAATGACAAATCAGCCTCAAAATGTTCTTAAAATGTTCTTAAATTTTTATTTAGTAATACTATCCAAGGCATGTTGCGAGAGGTATATTTAGCATATTTTAGGAAAATAAAATAAATAATTATTCTGTAATTTGATTATATTAACAAATGAAGTTATCTGACAGCAAACATAAACTTACATGTTTTAAATTTATGACTCTTTTTCCATTTTATAAGAACTTGTTACAATTTTCAGGCTGATCTTGTTCTTATAAAAATGGGGCTTAATTGGCCAAATTTCAGCCTGGTGTTCTTAATCCATTTGTTCTTATATGCGGGTGTTTACTGTACGTTCCTAAATAAGTATCAGTCATTGGCAAATTTATGCACCGATTCATTCCTCTTAGTAACTGCGGTTGGATCTAGTTTGAGGCCTCATTGATTTGAAAATCCTTGAATATTTGTCAGAGTGATTGAAATATTTGTACTTACAGTTCATAAGCATGTTCAGTTTCTTTAGATCCAAAGGGCGGCAGCGTTTGATCTGAAAACTAAATGATACTATACATGTTAAGTGATCAAATAACTTTAATTCCAAATCATCTCTCTTACTTGAGCACTTGAACTCGTCTTTGTAGTCTTTTCAGATTTAGAGGCGTCATGCGTTTCTTGAAGGAACTCGTGTACACAGGAGAAGAAAAAGAAACTCTTGATAACCACACGCGAAAAATGGTCTTACGCCATCTTCAGGTCGCGCTATAAAGACGTTTTTCTTTTTACTCCGCTGAAAAGGCGAACGGCGAGAGATAATGAGAGAAAAATCTCCCAGTAATATTTTAATCGCTGTTTCTGAAATAGGTATCTTGTTAGTAAAAGAAAAGATAATGACTACCTTGAGTTTATGAATCTTTATTGTTCATCATATTATAAGTACAACTCAATTATACAACAATTTTTGGGCGAAAAATTGTAACAACAAGAGCTAATAAATACACAAGTGTAATCTCGGCTATTACCTTGAAGGTATAAAAATTAGATACCACTCTGACAACTTTGTGTTTTTTAATGGCTTTTATTATCGAGAGTAGTTAATAGTTATGATTACAAGCAAGTAATGTTATAGTGAATATTCAGTACTGCGGCTGTTTCTTGCTGGGAAAAAAGTCATCACTGTGTCAGGATTGGCGTCTTGTCACCAGTCGTCTCTTGAAGGGGCGCACACAAAAAGAAATACGAAAAGTAGTCTCAAACTTGGAAAAAAGAGCCAAAAAATGGCGTTCGCCGGTGGTGCATGAGTGTAGGGATGCATTAGCTATTCATTCTCCGAAAAAAAAAACTAAACTGAAGATAAAAGAGTTCTGTCAGAATATACGACGTTCAAGTTCGAAATTCGCCTGAAATCAAACCTTTTCAGATATTTATGTAAGTAAAAGAATCACATTGGACACGTTGTGTTTGTTAATTTTATTGTTCATTAATACGCAAGTTTATTACACAATTTGCGCCCGTTGAACTGAGACATATATTAGTCCTTGCAGAGTAAGTCACAGGAAAAACATTGCACAAGTAATTTGTGTAGCCACTAGACAGAATATCAAGGAACAATATGTAAAAGACACCACAATCACAGCGAGTTTTCGTTTTTTACGACTTTATTAACTTGAGTATTGTTGTTACATATAGATGTACTTCCACGAGAGTTCGTGTGTTCGAGAAAACAGCATCGAGTTTCTGGTACCAGTCGTTGCTTGAAAGAAGGCATCCAAAAAAGGGAAAAAAGTAGCTTGCATCTTCGGAGGGCATATCCAAAAACAGATGTGGAGCGCGATCTTTAGGTTACATCCAAAATGAAGACTTTTCTGGTCTCCAAAGAGTAGTGGTCAAAAAGGAAAAAACAATCTTGAGCATTCGACTGGCTCTGTTCGATAGAAAAAAACACACGCACACACTGACTGCATTGTGATTGTAAAATTTTATTTTATTAAGGAGCGAAACCGTTACAACACTTTGAAAGCGTAGCATTGCAAGAATATTAGCCCTTAAAACGTTCCTGCAAAAAAAATGCATTAGTAAATGGATAACGTAAAATCATACCTTAATTAAAAATTAAACACACCACGGTGACAGCTCTGTTTTTTCATTATATTTGTATATTTTTATTTTCAAAGTGCGACTTAGTTACAACAATTTACGTGCGAAGAATTCCGAACAGTTAGTCCTTAAAGTTTTCCTGAAATGTAATTGTATTAGTAATAGACAGCACAGTGACAACTTTGTTTTTTGTTTCTTTATTTTTGTATGACTTTATTTTTTAACGTTTGACTTAGTTACAACAATTTGAGTGCGTAGAATTGAGAAAATGATAGTCTTTAAAGTGTTCCTGAAATAAAACTGCATTAGTATATAGTGAACGTACCTCCTTATTAATTAAAGACACAACTTAAATTTTTGTTTCAATGACAACTTTTATTTTTTAACGTTTTGATACAACAACAATTTTAGTACGTAGAATTTTGTCTTGAAACTTTAAAACTGCATTTTTAACGTTTGAATTAGTTACAAACAATTTGGTTTTTGATTCTTTATTTTTTAGACTTTTTTAGAACGTTAGTCTTTACAACAAAAGTGTTCCTGAAATAAAACAGTATTAGTATTTGGGTGAACGTGTGATCTTAATTAAAGGCACCACACTAACAACTTTGGGTATTTTTTTCTTTATTTTCATATGACATTATTTTTAAAGCTTGACTTAGTTACATCAATTTGCGTGCGTGCAATTGAGAAAATGATAGTCTTTAATTCCTGAAATAAAACAGTATTAGTATTTGAGTGAACGTGTGATCTTAATTAAAGGCACTACAGTGACAACTTTGTTTTTTTTTTCTTTATTTTTGTATGACATTATTTTTTAAGTTTGACTTAGTTACATCAATTTGCATGCGTGTAATTGAGAAAATGATAGTCTTTAAATTGGTCCTGAAATAAAACTGTATTAGTATATAGTGAACGTACCACTTTAATTAAAGACACCACAGAGAAAGCTTCATGTTTTTTTGTTTCTTTATTTAAAGTTGTATTAGCAAACTGAAATGCTTCCTCAACAGTTAATATATTAGAAAAAAACACACACACAAAAGCAGCACAGAATGTTCCAAGTCTTTATTGAATTTCATTTACCAGTTACAAAAGTTAATTAATCTATAATTGGGGAGCGCTCCTACAAGAAAAATTTGGCGTCCAGTGAAACCAAGGCATGTCCATGTATCCATAAAACTTGATGCTTCGAATGGACACTCCAGGGCTACCAGACGGCAAGCAGCGGTTATTGGTGGCTTGTTATCGAGAAAATGTCGATGCCAAGCCTTCATGCCGATCGAAGCCGAGTTTGAAAAACTAATAACCGAAAGCCGAAAAATAAACCGGAAGACGAAGCCGAATATAAAACCGCAACATATAATAAAAGTCTCACTCACCTCGTTCCACATTTTATACTTGGGCTGATTGATATGGTACAACGTTTGCAAAAGCTGTGCATTTACCGTAACATGCTTCTCGAAACAAAAGTCGCAACAGATATTTGATCTGCTTGTACAATCACGACCTAACGATAGCGGCCCCGAATAATCTATTTTAGTTGAAGTTGTATTTGCAAGTCATAAAATCCTCGAAAGCTTTGAACAGACGCTGTACCATATGAATCGGCCCTACCTCACATGGGATACTGTCGTCTGTCATATTTCCACACCATTATCCTGCATCAGATGAAGTCCAGCCGGCCAGTTAGATTAATTTAATCATTAGAAGCTGATTCAACAAACGTTGAATTTTAGCATGTGGTTATATTTATGTAAAACAGCTAATAATCAAGACTTCGGTTCACCGTTGTAAAGCTCATCTTAACTAATTTTCCGCCAAAGTTGTTACAAATTTTACCTACTGAGCCCTCTTGATGAGTTTTAAACTCTAAGGGCAAATCAACATTTGTCGGAACAGCTCTCACAGTTATTACTATATGCTGTCTACTCTAGCTATCATTTTCCCTAATCAGCAGATCATTTGCACTCTGATGTCCCTGGCTTTTGCAGGCTTGCAGGAGGGACTTTTGTTGCGTTTTGTGGTGTCAATCGCTTCAAATCTCGGCATTTTGTAAACTAGATTTAACTACAAATGGAAAAACGACTTGAGGGTGCAAAGGATCAACATCATCATCATCATCACCATCACCATCTAGTTTAGTCTTGATCTCCCTTGTTTCCATGGCCGCAATGGCAGCTGCCTTGCCTACTTAACTCAGTATACTAGCTGTCTATGGCGTTCGATCATCTTTGTTCTTCTTTCTTCGGCCGGCGTCTTCCTTTAATAGTAGCACGGGAGATCGGTTTGTTGCTCGGTACCAAGTTGGCTGACTACATCTTATGCGGTGTCGACATGAAGACTACCTACGCCTACCATTTGTAGACGATCAGTGCCTGCGTAGTGCAATGCAGGGCTTCCTCACAAGAGAATTCTCCCCCTAGACAAGATTAGCAAAAAGCCAAAGCCACCTGTCTTGGTGCCAACAATGTCATCGCGAGAAAATCCTCACATCTGTCTGCTGGACTTGGTAAAACTGGCAAAACTATCTATAAACTGCGAAGTGTGCACAAGAGTAACAACAGACGCAAATTCAGAGACCCTCGTGCAGAAGATAAGACATCTTCCACGCGTGTGTCTCCGAAATACAGAATTGTCCCTTATGGTATTCTTGTGCCTACGACACAGTTACTAACTCAATTAAATGCCTGTCAGTTCAATGTTCTTCTGGTATTGAATCTGCATCGTAGATTGGTCTCGAAGGCTACCTACGCTTACAATTTGTAAACGATCTAACCTAAGGTGTGTGCATTGTCCCATGTTGCCCTAAGATAACCTGCAACAAGGCGTGGCTCTTTTCGAGAAAAAATGCCTGCGCCGGCTGCAGATTACCTTGTTTGTAAGACTAAATCTATGCAATGCTCTACACTCAAAAATTTCGATCTTCTCATAAACCTTTGAAATACTGTGTTCAAATTTCTTCCGAGCCGCTGGTATCACTGGCTGATTAATATCTTTCTCATCATATTCCTATCAATATTCAAATGTCATGTTGTTTTGGATCACTGAAGCGATGAAGACCCAACTTTGCGAGGCTAAACTAACTAGCTACCGTCAGCCAGAGAAACCACTTAACTTGTAAGGGGTGGCCAAATAAGGTCCCCTTCCAACAGTTGAATGGTCTGTGATCTCTAGCATTCTAAATTTTGCCTTAAAGTAATTAGTATCTGGTTGAACCTTGCACATAAAAGCTTCACTTACCCAGCGTGACAACTGCCAAGTGAAGTGTAATAAAACAAATTGAATTTCGCGCAACTAAGCGGGAGAACCCAGTCGACGACTCGATGACGTGGCGACGAAACAAATCCGAATTCAAAGACGAAAAGATGCCGAGAAAAAGCCGAACTTATTTATCGAAAAGAGCCGAACTCTTGTCGTTGACCGAATACCTGCAAAGGAACCCAAACTAAAGAAAAAGGGCAGGGGAGGCCCTTACCAGCCGAGGGAAGCCCACTAGCTAAACTAACTTCAATTAAATAAGCCGGAATTTGAAGTCCGTGAATTCGAGCCGAACGTGTGTGGAGAGTGTGCTTTGCAAGATTCATCCAGAGCTCTATAAACTATACCACCCTTGACCCAACCCACAGTGAAATGAGCTGACCTGGATTACAAACAGCTAATGATTCGGTAGTATTTCGTCTGATGGCTGGTAGTTCTGTGGCTAAGAGAGGCTGAATGTTGGAGGATGGTAGTCTGGTCTGGACTAGCGTGGTGAGTAATGAATGATCTGTTGGTTACCTGAGAATTACAAAGAAAAAATGTTAGACCGGCTGCCTCACATCAAATGATTCAATAAACAGTGTTGAAGGAGAAATTAAGAATAGATTTTAAAAGATATGGAGATGCCAAAATTTCCGCTTTGAAGCCGTCAGAAGGACCTGGGTCTAAACTGAGGGAGAACGTCTATAAAAAACGCAAGTACAGAAACGAGGGGACTGTTTTTCATTTTTTTCTTTGTTTGATATATTCCAGAATTTTTTTTGACTCGTCTCTAAACTTTTGTTTTTTGGCAGAATACCATATTAGGTCATCTCGGGAAGGGGGGTGCACCCCTTTATCCGCCCCTGATATATCACTTTATCTAATCTTTCCATCCTTCAATATAGGCACATAATTTCAACCAAATAATGATGTTTCAGTTTGGGGCTGTGCAAAATGATGAGTGGGAAATAAATAGCTAGTTATATAATTTTCTCACAAAAGTCGACATTAAAATTCTAGCCGTAAAGCATCATATTTAATGCTTCGAAACTTCATAGCCCCCTCGTCAAATACATCCACAATTGCTGCAAGTTATAATCGAATATTAAATACAAATTTCTGTCATTGCTAAATTTGTTTGGAAGAAGCACAGGACTTACCTTTTTTGAGTGTCTTCGTTTCATGGCGAACACGTGTTTCGAACTGGATCAAGTGGTACATTATACAGGCTTTAACGGTGGTAATTTTGATTTTGTACTTTTTATTCTGCTGCCACTGGCATTTTCTGCGAGGCAAAAAATAGATTTAGGTATAAAACTCTTCTTTTCCTTTCCACAACATAAGAGCCATGTTTATCTTGTATGCTAATTTACCAGAATACCGAACGATTACTGAACAGAATAACACATTCAAAAGTAAGCTTATACTGTCATCTACTTACCTTTCGTTGTTAAGTCTTCTTAAGTCATCCTCATATGTTGACGTTTTTAATTAATATTGAAAGACGGGCGATAAACTCGTTAAAGAAACGGCAATATTTTTAAGTCCGCAAAGACTGTTCGTAAAATATGCTGCTTTCACCAAGACGCCGTTCTTCGACTGAATTCATTATTTTTTGAACTTCGCGCAATCGTGGAGCCCCCTGATTAAGAGTTTCCTGATTGGCTCTCCATGTTGCACGTGTCCCTAGCAATCCCTAGCAAGAATTTCGACGGACAAATAGTCATTTGGGAATGGCACGATGGCACAACCGATCCCAAAACCTCGGCCCCAGCTTCTTTCAACGTTCAAAATTGCTTGTGTTCATGGAACTCGCAAATTTATCTCAAAGAGTTGTGGTTTAGGGGGTAGATCTCGCGAGAATACACTCACAATACCTATTTTCAACAAGCATTTTTTTCTCATAGAAAGGTCATGTGATATTACTCTAGGGAACTTCTCTCAAGTTTTAAATTCAGGGTATGTTCTCACCGAAGTGCCGGATAAATCTTGCGCCAACACTAAAACCATAAGTAATATGTGTCACATAATCAACCTAAGTGGTCTCATGGGGAATTTTCTGTTTTATGTCATCCCAACCATCTCTTAGACCCTGTTTACATGGAGTGGGGGACCCCGGTCTAGTTGGGGTTGGTTTCTTTTGTTTTCACGTTCTGGAGGACACAAAACAAAAGAAACTTACCCCACTAGACCGGGGTCCCCCACTCCATGTAAACAGGGTCTTACTTGTTGGCGTGAACGATGGAAACGTCATCATCACCCAAAGATTCCATGCGGTCGCTGATCAAGAAAATCGAGATTTTTTGTGGCGTCATAGTCCCCTGGTTTACTGACTGTATATTTCAACTGTAAGTACTTTTCTATCTATACGCCCGAGCTACTAGGATGCCTTCTTGGGATTTCTCGCGGGGGACAAAAATAACAATGTATGAAAGGTCGGGCGTACACGTTTAAGTTAAACTCCCCCAAAGGGCTTAATTTAATCCTTTAAGTCCAAATCGTACTAATCCAGATACAAATTCTCCACAGACTGCTCTCCATACATTTCCCTAAAGAATTAGTTTAGAGGATCCGAAAAAACAACAGTACTGTATTTCTCCCCCTGTGATCATTTTCTCAATTCTCATAACCCTTTCTCTTGATGAAGTAGTGGTGTTGTTAGGAGAAAATTGATGTTGGTTACTCTTGGGGCTGAAAGGGTTAAAACTTCATTTACATGGATCATTTCAAGTTCCAATAGGACGGCCCATGCTTAGTCGCCTTCGCAGCCGTTGTTAGGGTCGTCACGCAACGCTTAGTGGGGAGGAGCGTTGTGTGACGACCCTAATAATGGCTGCAACGGAGATTAGCCCATGCTGGGAGTACATTGGGCTGCTGTCCCGTCGAACGGAAATATATTCACTTGGATGGTTAGAAGAGTTTTTAATGAAACATCAGGCGAAACAAAACTAAAACATAATTGCTTTCCCAGTTTTAGGAAACAGAAAATTACCGTTATATAACAGAGTTATAGAACATCAGAAGGTCACCCTATCACGTTTTATAAGAGTAGAACGACAATAATTTTCGGAAATGTGGTTAGATCAAATTGGTCTCTTTACATTGTCGTATTATATTTTTAAGAGCAGAGGATATGAGGAGAGGGGGTGCTTTTTGGAAATGTCCCATTTAAAAACTTCATCTCGTTTCAAAAGGGTAATTTGCTTATTTATATTATATTAGTCCTCATTTTTTTTTTGTTTACTTCTGAAATGACCATCCTCCTCTTTTCAATACTTTGATCGGGGAACCTCGTATGACGGCACGTTCTCCCATTTTTACGGCGTCCGCCATTTTGTCTGGTTTCGTCCCCATCACGCGGTAGAGGGTTGGAAAAGGGGGGTGGGGGGGGAAATATGCAACACGTTCTGGGCTATGGTTTAAGACGACTTACCACCGAAAACGTGATTCGCGAAATAACAACAGAGCATAGGCGGATTTAGGGGTGGGACCAAGGGGGGTCTCAGTAAAACAAAAAGTTTCTATATAATTTTCTGGATCCGCAAGACATATATCTTGAAATACCGATGGCAGGCAAGTTCAAATATAACCCTTTATTGTTTTTTCAATGTCAGCCACATGCATTTACAGAATATGAGTACGTCAATCTAATAAGCTAAATGTCCTACCAGGCATTGGTTACTTAACCACACGCGACTTGGAACAGTTTCAGAAAATAAAAGTGAAATATTTCAAGGACACATTTCCCGAAGAAAAAGACATCATTCTAATTACACCGTGATGACATTTGTCTTTTTTACAAGGTAAGCGATGGAAAACAAGAGTAGCATACTTGAAAAGTGGTGTCATGTTTAAGGGAAAGGCATCCTTCAAGGCATGTTTATTTGGCAGAATCCAAATTTCGATTCTTGATTTCGGATGTTTTGCACTTGTTACGACGGAATAAATGAATTATTTGCAAATGAATTCTTCAGCAATATTGGCGCGAACTGAGGAGAACACGCGGGCCTCATATTTTTACAGGAAAACCGCTGCCCAAGAAGAATTTTGGGATAAAAAACCCGCATGCCCAGTCTCTTCGCCCATTATTAAGTGGAGAAGAATCTGGGAACCGAGAAGCCCAAATAAACAAGCTGTTCCCTCGACTGCTTAAAAATCAACTGGTAGACAAAAACTTAATTCAGACGTAACTTACTGCGATAACGATACAAAATTGGCAATGCGTGTCCTCTACGAACATTTAAATACTTGGAGTTTTACTTTTAAAATTTACAATTGACGTTTTGCCCTATTTAGATTTACTAGAAAGTTATCTAACCACAAAATTTCTACAACAAATTAAATGCTAATTTCACTGAAATATACTCCCATCCGCACCAAGTTTACTCAGATGGTCAAAACGTTTAAGTTTTGACGTGTCGTCTTGAGAATCAAGTATAAACAATCATTGGATGCGTTTTTGGTGATATTCGGAATAGTCAAGCTCGACGTAAGAATTATCGGCCGAAATTGATTACTCTTATCAACACTTTGGTTATTCCGACATCACAGAAAACCCTCATCCAATGATTGTTAATACAAAAGAAAGGAATCTAATACTTGTTCTATTAGACATTGTTTTGAAGATTAAAATATCCGTCGCACGGAACACAGTTTGATAATGCTAATGAAAATCATGCATTGCGCACACAACCTAGAGATAAGTAATTATCTGTTAACAAATAACTAACTAATCTGTAGCTGCCCTGATTTACAAAATTGACGGCAGGCTCTTAGGCAATGAGAAGACAGGCAGTGCGTACAATGTATAATAATAAAAGTGAAATACTTCTGTCTACCATACGAAGTGAAGGATACGTCTGTGATCTATGATCTAACTCAACCCAACGTCACTGAAACTTGATTTACATGATACGATCAGTGCCGTAAATACTTAGTAAGGAGCTCAATGGCTGGCTCTCACTACTGATTTCCAGACTTTCAGATAGGCGAGTGCGGAGCGAAGTCAAGCGTTCCCTCACTCTCACCCCCTACCTACCCCACACTCTCGCAGTTTTTCCTGCTCACATCTCTTTGCTCCGTCCCCACAATCTGAAAGCCTGGAAAAAGCTTAGTCGGCGTCGGAGTTGTGATCAAAAGCGCAGAGCGTTATCATCTAGTGAAACGCATCGTAATTAGAATTTAGTTCTTCCACTTTCGTCTGCGACTCCCAAAATCTAAGGGCGCTTTCCAAAAGTCAGAAATGGGCCGACAGGACCGGTCAATTTGAAAATGAAATTTTAATCCAATAATAAGCGCCTTACGTTTAATGAGAACGTGAGCGAGGATGTTATAAGGGAAGTCGGAAGAAAATGTTAAGTTTAATTCTTTTGCGACTCCGATTCCGCCGCGTCGAGCTGATCGCTGCATACAACTCCGATGCTTAAAACTCATACGGTCATAAGCACTCGAACGATAATACACGAATTTCCACCCCAGCACCTTCACTAACAAAAAACAGCCCGTCGACCGAGCTAAGAGTGCGAGAATGATTAAGTTCCTGTTCCCCATGTAAGCAATTTTTTACACCAATCTCATCGCTGATGTCTCTTGATCTGCTGGTCAACAACAGGGGAGAGCGAAAATACTTCGGGGAGATAACAGGCCCACACACTCAATTTTGTACTCTTAGTCAAATCTCACGGCAGCAGGCGCTTGAAAGTAATGAGCGTAAAAAAGAATGGGACGCGCGAGGGAGACACACCCCGTTCTTTCTTACGCCAACACTTTGTAAACAATACAGTTGAACGATCATTCGGTTTAGCGAAAAGTTGACTGACGGAGAAAAGACTTGAAAGCTTCAGAGGCGTGCTGGAACGTGGACGAATTTTGAAATAAAAAGGCATTCATGCAGTGCTTTCTCTGCTGATTATGCGTGCGCGACTGCGTGCGCGAGAGAGTAAAACTTGCTCCCACGCCCTCTCCACTACAAGGGTCCTGAAGGCGAGTCTGAGGAACTCTTCTACATATTTTTTTATGTGCAGTTTTCACTAATAAGGTCGTGCTGTTACAAGCTTATTACGAGTTTTGGTGAGGCTGCTGTAACTACGTGAGAAATATTATCTATAAATAAATGAAAACTTAACGTTCGGCATCGGAAATTTAAAAACGTACGAAAAAGAAATACCCCTCAAACTTTTCAAAGCTTAATTATGTACGTATCCTTGACAGACCTGTTAGTCAAGTGTATTCGTTATTGACTATTTTCACCTGAAAATTAACACACACAGTTCTTTTAGGTCACCACTAAAAGGATATTTTCCTCGCACGCACCAGCTTTCAAGCTTTGTATTCTAGGTAGACGAAAAAAAAATAAATCTATTATATTGACAATGACAAAAAAGAACAAAGCACATGAATCGAGTCCACTAATTGCTACAATGAATTATTTTCCAATGTCAATTTTGACAGTGAATTCCTAAAGGTACTACCACGATTGATTAAAAATTACCCGGTATTGCGTGACTCCTCAAATTTTGTATCCGAAAGATTTTAACACGAATTTAGCGAAGCCCTTGTAAGCATCCGTCGATTTAATATAGGTCTTTCTAGTTTCCCAAACAATGGCAATGGGGATCATTATCAGCGCCAGGATGAACATGATGAAAATAAACATCTTGAAGCCATAGTTTTCTACTTCTACGTGGCTAGGCGTCGGCTTCGTAACGACCTGCAAGGAAAAGTGTCACGCGATAAGCAATACAGCCTACAAAACAATTTTACAAATCCCCCATTTGAATCTTTCATACTACTTTTAAAAAGCTGACCCCAACTCTAAAACAAAAAAAAAAAGAAGAAAGAAAGAAAGAAAGACGAGGCCTGTCTTTTTTCTTTTGCAACGGTCTATCTTATTGCTAGTAACCAAACCTTTAGTCCTCGTAGATGTAAAATATGCTACCGGACATGGTAGAGTAAAGTAAAAAGACATTTTGAAAAGCCTTAAGTTCAGGCCCACGTTGTGTTTACATTCAAAATAAGAGAAGACGTAAGGAAGAGACCCAGGTTCGATTCGCAGTTGTAACTTCTTTTACTTTACTGTAGGGGAGACTATCGATAACATTTTGGTATCGACCGATCATGAAAGAGGTCACGTGTAAGGAAACCTTTGTATGTCCTAAGGACATTTCGGTCGTTTTTCGACGGTTTTACATAGCGCAAATCTACTCTCTTATTTGTTCCAACAAATAACATATTTCTCCCAAATCTGAGGATTGCACTTAGAAAAGTCAGGTGTTATTGCAAAGTGTAAACAACTCTAGTAGAAAGAACGCATGTAGCAAAACCGAGGTAAGGGTGAATGTTACGAAGCCGGAAAATTTTCGTCAACAGTGCGCGCTCTCATTGGCTACTTTAAAGGGAACCTCCACTGTTACTACAGAATAAGTTTAAATCGAATAAAATTATGTTGATAAACAAATTTGTTCGAAATTTGTCTTTAAAAAAGTGTTTATATCTGAATTTTAAAAGTAGAAAGAACGCATATTGTTCTGAAAAAGAGGTAACAAAGGGCAACCATTACACGAATTATTCAAGATGGCCGCGAATCTAAAAAAATTTTCGGATACAAACGCTTTCTTTAAAAATATTTTAGATTGACTTGACTGTAACAGTTATTTCCTGTGATTTAAAGTTATCTTTTTGTTGAAGTGGAGGTTCCCTTTAAGGTCATATGACGTCTAACAATAAACTATTCCCCGCCAAAAGTCTTTGAGCTGGCAACATTGAACCAAATATTAATCACAGTAACGTACATACTGGAGTTCCAAGAGTCCTGGTTGAACGATACAACACATACCCTGAATCTCGCTGAGACTTAAAAGGAAAAAAACAACTGATTCACTTGGGACAAGCCATAACGCATTAAGAAATGTTTACCTTTGTGGCAGGTTTTTCCTCGTGACCCACGTGATTTGCAACTGAGGGAGAACTGGCGTCAGTACTATCACCGACAAAGCTGTCGTCGGGGGGAGGACTGGGTGGAAATTTAGAAGTTTCAAACTTCTCTAATACGGTGGCGTCCGATATGGGTGTGTTCCCGCCAGATTGTCCAGGCGAGGACAAGTTCAGCACTCCAGTGCTTTCAGAGATGCTGTCCGAAGAAACTTTTATCCGGCGAGAAATCCTGACACTAGGTGCCCTAATCAATCAAAAGCATCAGTCAGTCAAGAAAAGCCTTTATTACAAGGCTGAGTTCGCGAGCTGGCAAGGTGAAGCGAATCCCGCATTCTGATTGGCTACCCGAGCGGGCAAGATGGGCCCACCTTGCCAACTCGGGATTACCCGCGTTGGTCCCGCAAGCAAAACTCTCTTTCTGGCCATATAATAATTTCTTTATTCTCCTTCCTTCTAAATGATTGTCATACATAACCATACCAAAAATATTGCGGATGACGACAGATTACGGACATACCTTTTAATCTCTGGTGCTGGGCGACTGATCTTCTCGCTTTCAGCGATAAGCTGGTCTTGAGTTGGACCACTGGAAACAAAAGAGAGAAGCCATAACGATTACTTGCAATAAACTTCAGCCAACTTGTACTGTAAATACCACGAAGCAAATCAAGCTACAACGCGACAGAACGATCACGTAAAATTTACTTGATCGCAAACAATCAATTATTTTCAGTGACTAAATGGAAGCTAAATTCAAGTTTTGCGAAAAAAAAAGAAGGAAAATTGTGATTTGCAAATTAAGAACAAAGCACGTCCAACCACAGATAACTCAACCGAAGTACACAGGTGTAGGTGTACTTACATATGGTATCCGGTTCTTTGGGCTAAATGTAGTCTTCTCGTTCCACAAGTGAGTTCGGCAAGTTATCGTTGTTTTTTTCTTTGTGTTAATGCTTAAGTGAAGAGCAAACTGACCATAAATGGTAGCGTTGCTAAACGAATGGTTTAAACGACTTAGAAAGTCCACTTCATCCCATGGTGGGATACGTTGCTTCGAGTTTAAAACTGTAAGCACATGTAGGCGGAAAACTCACGGAATTCCCTTGTACAGTATTCCTCTATATTTTTTACAGAGTTTCATTAATACAAATCCTACCGGTATGAGGTGACCATTCAAATGAAACCTCTCTGCCTGTTCTTACAGGTCCTTACACATGCTATTTGCTTTTCAAAATTTCACAAAATAAAATTTCGAAAATTGGTCGAAGTTTTCTTTTGGCTAAATTTGGCAGTGAAAGGGTCCATAGAAAGGACATGAACTCACAGGTATTTATGCTTTGACCTCCTGAAAAACCTCTGTGGTGAAATGGCCTTCCTTTTTGGCTTGGCTACATTGTCCTTATGACTGCAAAGGAAGAAATGAGCTTGATAAGAATAGAGAAGAATTTAACCTGTGAAACAGTACATGTTTGAAGTCATAAAGCCTAATTGTGTATGAACACTAGAGAGTGAAAAAATAGTTTTTTTTATATCTTATCTCAAAAAATTTAATTCTTATATTAATTTCACACTCTTTTCACGTTTGAGTGACACATATTCTCTAATGTATTTAAAATTCACCAGTATTATAATAGTCAAACCTCCCATAAGCAATACCAAACGTGTGTCAAGTTAGGGGTCGATTACGGGAATGGAACTAAAGGGGTCCCTTTTTAGAAGAGGTCTGAACCATCTACCTTTTGGAAGAGAATTCATTGCATGCAATCACTAATTTACAATATGTGAAGTTCAATGTTGTCACTAAAAGAACATCTTATTCTCTTCAGAGTGTACCAAATACAATGAACACAGAAATCAAACCACGCCTTAAGTGCTCATTCACAGAAGGATAAAAACAATGGAACATCCAAAAGAGTGGTTGCAGTTGCTTACGAGAGGTGATTATTTACAAAAGATTCCAAATGTAGTGATTTCATTGTGGAAATTTTGAAGTTTCGGATGGGTGGTTGCTCACAAGAAGGTGATCCAACATGGAGGTTCAACTGTAATTCAAAGGCAATACTGTCTTGTTGCATTTATCAAAAATCGTAATAAGGCCAACTACATTGCCAATCATTCTAAGTTATAGCTTACCTGTAAAATGCTAGGTGCTCCACTGCACACTTCCATAAATGCTTACAAGCCAGGGGATCAGGGAGTCGGAAACCATAGTTAGCCTTTCGCTGAAATCACAAAAATAAACAGCCTCACGAACAAGATAACCAAATGAACATTGCTATTCAGAGTTGTCACTAAGGTTTCAAGTTGCTGGGTACATGTACGGAGCTTGTATATGCAATAAGTAGGTGGGGAACTCTACAACTAGAAAGTTCTATGGTTCCATTTTCCTTTTGTTTTCTAGGGAAGTAGCCAGGGGGCTCACCTTCATAGTAGCTGGAGGGATAAGACAGTTGCATGATGATGTCACTTTACTACAACTACCAGAATCCTTAAGTTGTTTGTTGTTTTCTTGTGCAAATTAGGGCTATTGTTGTTCACATCTCAGTGAGATTGAGATATAGAAAAAGGAAAGCAAAGATGAAAGGAACTCTGGTAGTTCTAGTCAAATATTGTCATTCTGAAAATGGCATATTCCCTGTTATGGCTGGTTCCATGAGTGGGCAAGATAAATTGGATACTGCATTTTGATTGGCAACCTAAGCAGGTAATATGGGTCTATACTGCCCGATTAGGATCTGCTGCAGTTGATTCTTGTTTTTCCTTAGTTAAAAATCTATTAGCATACATTACCATACCCAAAAACAATAGGAAACAAATTAACTGCAACACATCCATCAAGGAAAACTTTTCTTGACCATATAAGAATCTTTTATTGACCAAGTTTGTTCGTTCAGGACCACTGGACATCGGCATTGTTTCTATTCTTTTTTCTTTTGCATTATTGTTGACTTCAACTTTGTCTCAGTCCATCAAAATGCAAAAAAAGGAACTTGGCCAATATCAACCATGAGTGACATAAAACCGAAATGATATTCTAGACGTTGTACTTACATCTTCCTTCTGCACCTGAACATAAAACACTTTTCCCTCATAGCTGCACTTCAAAACTTCAGGCCTTAAGGAAAGAAATCCAGAAATCATAAGTCCTGTAAGAATATTACCTTGACACGTGCAAATCTTTACTTGGGATTTTCTGCATGTTGTAGACAGAATACAACGTACATTTGTACTTACCAGTTAAACCCTGACACCTTCTTTCCTTCCCTGATAATGGCAATACCAACCGGAGTCAATCCCAAATAAAGTTGAACATTATCTTGATCCTGTGGAGAAATGAAAAATAACAACAATTAAAAACTTTGTAATTGAGGAGAACAATAACAAAAAAAAAAAACAGTGAAAACTGCAACATGTATAATAATTTATTCCTAGAATGTTATTCCTAGAGTTTAAGTATGGCACTACTAGAAACAAAATATACTTACACAAAGTACATGAAAGAATGATCGTTTCACTGATTTATTTAAAAAACAAAAATCAAATAATTTATTAATTGTGGGATGAATTATTGTGGAATACAGTGTGACCCTGTTAATATGGTCACTTCTGGGCCCAAAAAAGCTGGCTGTAAGAACAGGGTAGCCATATTACCAAGGCAGGCCTAAATTTCATGACTTGAGGGCCATAATGACAAATACACCATACATCGCATTCACCGTACTGCTCTCATTAACAAGCAACCAGAATGTAGATATCGCGTACAGTATTGAAAAAACTTCTTAAAATGTTACTTCAGTGCATGAAACTCTTTAAAAATTCGGCTACAAAATGCCACAAGTGCATTTTAAGTGTACTGTAGTCTAAAAACAGTACAAGAATAAGCTCAGAATACTAGGTCAATAGGAGGTTTTGCCAGGCCAAAAAAACTGGCTGTAATAATGAGGGGACCATATTATCGATGTGGCTGTAAGGCGGGGTTACACTGTATGCAATATTAAAAACTGTAAACTGTTAAAAGAAAATCTCCCACAATAATGCAAAGCTTATGCACTGTTTACAATTTGACTAACCTTGCATGGATGAGGATCCACTCCATACATGTCTAGTCCCTTAACGGCACCCAGAAAGTTCTTTTCAGCAACAGCAGGAACTTGGCCACTTTAACAAAAGAGTTTGGTTATCTGGATGCATGACATCCAGTGACAATATACATTACATGTACATGAATCTTGTTTTCACATGAAAAAGTTTGTTAAGAATAAATTTTTTGGGTATTGTAAACTTGAGGGCAAACATTTTATCATGAAAGAAAAAAAAAAAGTAACAAGGCCTGTAGCCTACATACAACTTCTTGCTTTTTTCTGGAATCGGTGTATCAAAAAATCATGAATCAAGAGGTACTAAAATATTGGACCTGAAACTGCTTTCACAATAAAATATACAGTACACACTTTCTGTAAAAACACTTAGGTATTTCCAAAAAGACGACACCACCATCAAATTATATAAATAACAGCAGTCAACAAAATATTGCACAAAACCAGTTAGAAATGGTTGATACAGGCTGTATTGATAAAATGGATGAGTAGAATAACATACGTTAGCATCTTGTGAGTTTCTGCTATTTTCTTCTCTAGCTTGTCTGACTGTTTTGGAACAATGCGGAATTCAGAGACATAGTTTTCACCATGGTCCTCCTCTTCATAATCCCCAATGTCAGCTAAAGAAGACAAACAAGCCAGAAAATAATAATGAAGGTCTCTGTGCAAAAAAACGTCCTATTCATATTTTACTATTATTTTTGAATGTGTGCAAAACTTACAAAATTTTTGCCTGTGACCTTTTTCGCGGGTTGGTGAACGCAATTAATTATTTTTGCCTGGGCTCACTGCAACTAAGCTGTTAGAGATCTTATACAACATGGCCCGGCATGCGGCGACTCTTCTCTACTGTAAGGTTCTCCAGTTGAGCTAATTGCTGGTATCTAGCTACAATCCCGGACAAAACTACTTGAGAAAGTTTTCCCCATCATGTCCACTTTCCTACGCAACAAAACTATTTCTAAAACGACGCCTTTTGCGGAAAGAAAACCCCTTCCCCCAATTCAATGTTGCTTCCCACAAACGCCCAGGGATCAGGCTTTCTTTTGAATACACAACAACATTGCTTTCAGGGGAAGGGGGAGAGGGAAGAACCGGTACAGCTACGATGTTTAGAAAAATGCTGTCCAAGTATACAATTTTCTCAACAGTTTTGTCCAAGATTGTAGATACCAGCATTTCTCCAGTGGGTATTACAGCTGTCCCAGGAGAAACTGAAAACAATGCTTATGCCAAATTTTGGGGGGCAAATAAGTTGCACTATGGGAGACGTGCAAGTGGCGTATGGAAATGATGATGAAATCTACATGGCAGAGCTTCTCTAATAAACTAAAATGTACGTCTACCCAAGCATTTGCTAGCATTCTTCAAATACCTTGGACAATGTAAGCTCCCAACTCCACCAAGTCGTTAAACGTGCAGAGGAGTCTAGTGACAAGAAAGTAAAAGGACCACATTAATTTTAAGTGATAATAACCTTAAAAGCACGACAAGAACACAAAGCACTCAACTCTTCCTACAAGTCATTGGTCAGTGGAGTGACAAGAAGAGGAAACAGTTCTGAGAGTACATGCTTCAATACAGATTTATACAAAATCACTGGTTTTATAGCTACATGTAAGTAGTGCAAGAAAGCTATTCAATTGATTTGACAATAACAATGAAAAATGGGAAGTGTCAAGCATGCAGTTATCTATTACAGACTGAATTAGACGACAAGAAGTTCTGTTATTAATTATTTATAATAACCACAACAAAATTTGTGATATTTTCAGCTTTTCTAAAATTAAAACACAGCATATTCCAACAGTTTTTTTGCTAGAATTAAAAATAAAAAAACCTTTCAAGTGCATGCAAACAATGTCCAATTACTTCGGCATAACACATACTGCCCAATTATACTTTCCTATTAGTGCTGAAATCAGGGCAATAATTGAAAGCCAATCAGATTTGAGAATTTTTTTATAGTTACTGTTATGATAAAAACCAAGTTGCTGCAAGCTGGGTTCACTCAGCACCAGCACCACACATACAGCTGCCGAAATTAGCATATGGGCAAGCTATCTTGATTTGACAGCAAGGAAGGGGTGGGGAGACAGCTACATGTAGCATGCATGAGAGCTATTCAAGTTGATTTACTTACTGACTATTCACTAAAGATAAACTTATGTAAACATTGATACCAAGCAAAGCCAAGCTAAAAAGTTTTCATTACATCTCACCTGCCATGGAGAATATCTCTTTTGACTTGAAGGAAAAACTGATACCTAAAAATGTTCAAGTAATGATGAAATAATTGGTATTGTTGATAACTCTCAGAGCACAAAATAAATCACAGTCAAACTTTGATATAACAAAGGGCTTAAAGGACTGGTAAAATTTGTTTGTTAATATGACGAGGTTTCATTATATGGAGTTTCTTTTTCATATAATTATTATTCTATATTAATGGGGTAAAGAAAATCGTTTGTTATACTGAGGACTTCATTGTATAGAGGTTCTACTGTATTTAGACTGCTGCCAGATTGCCAGATGTGTTGACTGGCCAAAGCAATCTTAGCTTGGTCATATCTCTCTTTTTACCAATGAAGATGTTAAAAATAACATTATAATAACTTGAACGACTACTAGCCTAACAAGCAAAAACATAAAGTGAAAAAAAAAACATGCTTGTCCTAGTGACATGTAACCCAGAAACTGTTTTGTTTCGCACACATTTGTTTGAAAATAAGAAACGCCATTAATACAAAATAAAAACTGAGCCAGTCACAAGTCAAATTAGACATAACTAGTTATCAAACTAATCACTTTCATTTCACAGCAATACAAATGTAAATCTTGCAACAGCATGAAAAAAAAGCTGGTGTTGTCATGAACAGAGTTTATATCAACAAGCAACTATGACATATGAAGTCTCCTACACATACATGCATTTTCTCTTCATGAGTTGACAACCTTGATTTTTTTGTTAGCAAAGCTGCTCCCACTTGTGTGTTGTAAATTCTGTGTGTTGCACATTTTTGCTCACTACATGTAACTTGATTGCGGCAGGATTAGCTCAGTCAGTAAAGTGCTTGACTGCAGAACGGGAGGTCGTGGGTTCGATTCCCGGGGCCGGACCTATACTCAGGGTCTTAAAATAACTGAGAAATGAAGGCACTCCCTTTGCACTGCTAGCAGCTAGACCATGGCATGGCTTGGATGACCAAGTAAAATGGCGGACCTCTCTCCAGTTGGAGACGTAAAAATAGTGTCCCCAATTCGCACTTTCGTGCTCAATACCTTGACACTCAAAAAAAGTGCTTTTTAAAATTTATTTGAAGAAAGTCAAAAGACAACAGTGTACCTGAAGTTTACTATATTAGTTCCTGTTCATCAAACACTTTAAGCTCCATTATCCATTTCCCAGACTGATCCCCATATTGATATATTTTCCCTTAAGAATCAGTCAAGAGAATTTGATAAAAGATCAAAGCACTTTCCCTTTGATGATCAGTTAATTAATTCTCATGACCTTTTGCCTTGATGATATATTGATTTTTTTAGGAGAGATTGGATATTGGTCACTTGTGGGACTAGAAGCTCTATAGTGGTCACCTTGTGATTTCTTCATGAAGAGTACTTGGGTCTACAGAATAAAATTTCACTCTGAAGAACAACTTGTAAGGAGGCTTCAATGCTGCAAAGAAATCAATCAAAAAATGGTATTTAAAAAATCTTCCTGGACGACTACAGTGGAACCTCAATTGGGGACTGGCCAAATACGTTCACCAAAACAAGGTTTCATTATACCGAGGTTCTTTTCCATACATTTTACAATAACTGGGGCAGAAAATATAGTTTGTTACATTGAGGATTGAGGAAGGTTGAGAATCCCAACTGGCTTGCCTCCAGCCAGTTGGCTAGAAAGAAAAGGGCCACCGAGGCATTGAACTGGGGACTACTGAGAACAAACCCAGCTAAAAGTAGAGGTCATGGATTGAACTTGTGGCCTCTGGATTACAATTTCATTGCTCTAACTGCTCAGCCATTCTGCCTCACTGTAAGGAGCGAGCAAAATAGTGTGTTCTAAATACGACTAGTGGCAAAGAAAGAGAAAACATATTCATAAAACCTGATCTTACACAATCTACATCAGCAGCCTGAGGGAGTAAAAAAGATTGAAATGTCTGCTTCACCAGAACACCACAAACAAACTACAGCTTATGGAAGACTCACTTTTCATCTGCCGCACAACACTCTTGTTGAGATCCAGCCAGTGCTAAGAAAACAAAACACAGAGAAACATGATTAATTATGGTAATAGGATTGAGTGGAGTCCTTACTCAGTTTGTAATCAAACGGGTCATTAACAAAATAAGATGACCAAGTAGAGCGAGTCCAATTTGTTTAAATGAAGTTAAATAGAATATTTATTTAACTTAGTTAACAACAAGGAGTGAGGGCGTGGTCAGCGAAGAGTCAGTTGGCTCAAGCGTGGTCGGCCTTGCTTGCAGCTCCTCCATCTGCTCAGTACAACGTTTTCCTCGCGGCCACTCTCTTCATTTAGCCTTTGGATCATTCTTTTACCGTCTGCTTCTTGCTGTTTTTTGCTGTTCGGTTTTTGCTGTTTTTGCTGTTTCTTTCTTTGTCATCTGGCTACGCTTGGCTTTATGCAATTGTCATTTCTTCGTAACTTGGGCTGGCAGTCTTGGCGGGACGTTTGCCTCTGCGTTTGGGCATGGTTTTTGCTTGGGTGTTTCATCTGCTACTTCATGGTTTGAGAGTTCAACAACACCTTGGCGGTGGTGTTTTCGTGAGACAGAACGACTGTGGTTTTGCGTTCACTTGCTTAGCAGCCAAGCGGCTGATGAACTTAGCTGTCCATGAGCTTAGCAGTCTAGCTGCCCATGAGATAGCGGGTCAAGCGGTTCACGAGCTTAGCAGTTAAGTGGTCCTCTAGCTTAGTGGTTAAGCGGTTCACGAACTTAGTGGTCAAGCGGTCCTTGAGCTTAGCGGTGAAGTGGTCTACGCGCTTAAGTTTAGGGGGCATTTAGTGGTCAATTCCATAAGTGTGGGCTCACATGGTACATAGTAGCTTTGTACACAGCTAGGATCTTCGAGTTCTACGTTGAGCATTGGTGTAGTGGTCGTGGAGTGGTTGTCGAGGCAGTCGGTTAACTGTGTGATCGTTTTCATCTGGTTTAGTCGATTTACCTGGTTTACCTCAGTGCAAGCGTTGTTGGCTTCTAGCGGTGTGTGGGGGAAATTTTCAACTCACTCATTCTTTTATCATTTTCAAACATTTTTTATAGTTCTTCACATATTTTTACACCTTACACATAGATATGCCAATTTTTTAAACTTTTTACTCACTTGAAAATGACCGAAGATGGGTCAAAACTTTGTTTTTTATCCGTAATTTTCACTGAATAATAATAAGCCTTACATAAATTTGTTAAATGTAAAGCCTGGTTTCCATGTGATTGTCCAGATCATCCTGATTTGGCTTAAAATAATGTTCAGGTGATTGGGCTGACCAAGACCAAGCAGATATGTTTGACTGTCACGCATGTGCAAAATTTCTGTTGTCTGACCCAGAAACATCCGTGAGAACTGCGTGCCTCCAGTCTCTGAAGTCAACAAGATAATTATTATATGATGTCATCAAAAGTCCAGGGTTGTCACTAAGTAAAATTTTTCTTGTTGCCGGATTTTAAACATCAACAAATGGGCGGGGAATCAAAGCCTTTTCCTGGCTAGGGAAAATTTCTTTTGGTTCTATTTTTCCTCTATTTTCCAATAAAAGATGAAAAGTTTTAGGGGGGCCTATATCTACCGTTTAAATACAAAAATACTTTGAACAATGCTATGTTAAGTGGTTTTGAACTATATCCTCGTTGGGTGCCCCTGTTATATGATGTCATCAAAAGTCCCAAAAAGCTGTAACAATACATCGGACAATTGATTACCATAATCATGATATTAACGCTGTGATAGCAATGGATCGATAGTGAAAATGAAACATCGATAACAAAGTCGATATTGTAGCCAAGTAACGATAGTTTTGTTAGTTTCTATACTTCCAACATTTTAACTTCTTTGGAAAATAAAGATATGCTTTTTTACTGATCTTTGATTCTAAAGTTCTCAATAACGGTAAAAAAAAAAACTACAAACAATCTACCGTCCTACTGCACCTACATCTAGAATGTTTTAGCGTCTTGATTCTTGAACCGCTTTGGGTCTAATATTAGACAAGGGTCATATAAATTGACGCTGAGGTTCGTTCAAACTTCAAACATGACGGCCAATTTTATATCATTGCAAACTATCGCAATACGATTGCAATAGTAGCTCCACTATCGCAATACCGTAAATGATCAATTGAGTGGTGTGGAGCTTATTTAATTTTCCCTGTTATAGTAGCGGTGCTTATACGAGAGTGGTGCTTATTCAAAAGTGGCACTTATTTCAACTACCGGTAAAACACTGAGGGGAATATAGAGAGAATTACGGGAGGCGTGTTCTTGGTATGCACCATTTAATAAAAAATATGTACACCTTGTACTGTCATATGAACCTGGCTTTAAGAGTTTTACAACATTAAAACTTTAGAACTCACAAGTTGGTCAAGGTCCTATTTCTCAAGGAATATCAAGTGCCTTACAAAGGTGGGGCATTAATTTGTGAATATTCAAATTAGTGCTACAGCGCTTAATCAAGAGCCACGCTTATTAAGTTATTTTCGGTAAAGGTATCTGTGTGACCTATAGTGCAATAGTTAAAATTTTTCCAATAGTCACCCCTAAATGAGTAGGCCAATCAGGACATTCTGGACAATCATAGGAAACCAGTCTTAAGTGACTGACAATATTGATAATGGCTTTCTTGTATGCAACGGCGTTTAACTGTGTGAAAATCACTTAAGAACTAGTTACTTAATTAAACCTCAATGAAGCAAAACTGAAAGGTGTAAATTGAATTTTGAAAATCATGTGAGCAATGCAGTGACTTTCCAATACTTAAGACAGATGGGCAAAGAAGCAAGTTATAGTTCAAAAAAAGTTGCTAAAGTCGTGACAACAGCAATCATAACCTGTTTACAAAGTACACACTCCAGTAACTGAAAACAAACAATCACATATTTCTGAATTTAATTATGCGTCCCTATTAAGACAAATCCTACCCTTTGTTTGGCATCGTCCACGTAACGAAGACCAAAATAATCTTTCTCCAGTAAGTCAAGCGTCCTGCAAACCTCGTCGAAGACGGTCTGTCCTTTGACGTCTCTCTGAAAAAATGTTTCCAAGTTACACGCATTATAAATAAAAAGAAAAGAGTACGTTCAACCTCAGTGTGACACTCAAGAAACAATCCAAACCAAGACACGCAACATACATCATTTCTAATAAACACTTTTCAGGTATAGTTTTGTTTACCTCGATATACTGTTTCTAACATCAGTTTTTAATTGCAATGAACTGTTCTGTTAATTGGAAAGCTTGTTACGATGTCTTTCGAAAGGGTTTGCTGAGCACGATCGTCCGAGTAATTTTACGTTTAGAAGATACTTATCGTAAAAAAGGCATGAGTGATTTTGTGGATTTTTGTTTTCGATACAGAATTAAAAGAAAGAAAGAAAAACAAAATCAAAAGCTAGGCATTATTTAATTTACCTGAGTTTATTTACAAACTTGAAGACGTGGACCCCCCAAATCATTGTTATCATGACATATTCACGTGCTAATTAGACTAAGAATACAAAGATCACCGGCAAAAGTTGGGACACCGAGAACATCGGATAACAATAAAAAAATATTCGCAAACACTTTATTTGTTTCTTCTTGTATTTTTTTTCACTGGGTGTACAGTCGACGAGCATGAAAGAGCTCGAGACGAGAAATCGAGAAGATGAAATTGAACACCTTTGTCACGCTTCACGGGGTTTTTGGCTCGAATTCACGTGTAGCAAAAACTACACACCGCATTTACATGTACCTACCTCACCGTATTTTTAATTTAAAATTTTCAGTAAACTACTACAAATACAGAAAACGAAACAATAAGTTAACTTAACATGTATAATTAAGTCGGAAAAACAAGCGATCGAGGACGCAACAATCTCAGATTTGATATTACCCGATTAAGCCACATGGCACGGGCAGAAAAATGGGATTAAGAACGAGGAAGTTTTGTCAATCCTTCCTCGAAATCGGTCAGGGTCAGCGAGGAAAAAAAAGGAAAAAAGAAGTCCAGATTTAATAGGGTGTCTCCTCCACAAACAGTCGAACCGATGCAAATTTATTTTCTTTTACAGCCTGAATAAATTATCCCGAAATCAGCGGGTAATTCCATAATCGAAGCAAGCAAACGAGAGCATTTTGCAAAATGCTAAGTACGGGTTTAAGAAACTCCAAAATCACGGTCATGACAAAACTGAGATTGCGTTTAAATTGAAACACTGCAAAAAACTGTTGTTGCCCTGACTGATATTTAAGAAATAGTCTTCGAATGACGGCAACACACAGTTAGTGCATGCAGAGTACACGAGCTTTGAGCACTATGATTTCACTGAAAAAAAAACAATAACAATGTGGAAAAACTTATTATAGAAAAAAAGAAACATGTGAAAGCTGGAAAGCAAGCCGGTTACAATAAACAGGAAGAAAAGACTGGCTTAGACAGAGAACGAAAGATCACGTAACATTCGCTCATACTTTAGCAGCTCATGCATTTGTAAAGCTAGCATGAGGGCGATGCAATGCTAAACTTAAACTTACCTTGAAATCGCACGACAACTCTGTATCGTCCAAAAGACTGATCTTACACTGGAACTCGCCCTCTAGATTACTTTTGCTTGCAGATTTGAACATTGTGTTTGCTATGTAGTATACTTTTGCCTAGACACTCATGGGTTTCGAGTTTGATCGGACGCCGACTAAACTCAGCCTCGCTGTCGTGAATGTATGCTGCTGCACAATACCTTACCGCGCGTGCCCAGAACTCTAAAACGTTTGCGTTCCCGGATGAACTGGCTTTTTGCAGGTGCAGATTGTCATCAAAAAGAGACATGACGGCGGGGAGCCCTGATACGGCAGAAAAAGAAAACTATCATCTGATTTTACCATTCAGTCACATATTCCATTGAAATGAACTCGAAGGGGATTTTGTAGGGTTTTATGCTTGACAAAAGACACTCAGCTGGTCATCTGGCGAGCTTGGAAAATAGCGTGTACCGGGAGCCGATTACGGCTCCCGCGTGTACGAGACCTGCTTTGATGCTTTTCAAGATTCAGTTTTCCGAAACAAAAGGATGAAAGGGTTCGCTTGTTTTTTCCAGGCTCATTGTCATGTTAAAATAAGTAAGCAACAAAAATCTGAAAAATCACACGCCAAGCCCCATCCCCAGAAATTAACCCACGTCATGGAATTACTTCTCAATTTGTTCCATCGCCATATAAATGGCAAATTTTGTTGTTGACCATTTACAGTAATGGTGGAAAAACACTGAGCCCAGTCCATGGACTAAAATGGACTACGCCGCTGAAGTGTAGAGATTAAGGGTAACTTAGGGGTTATGAAACTGGGTGAATCAAGTTTCAGGGCAGTTTTCCCAGCATATTGACCCCAACTGGAACCTGATTCATTCAGTTTCCTAAGGCCATCCTCTTTTTTTCGCCGTTAGCGTCGTCCGACCAACCCAAATTCTGCGAGAATTCTTGTGATTTTTCCTTTAGTTTTTTTTTTTTCAATCCGACCGACCAACCCAATATCAGGAAACAGATTTGACGCTAAAGGAAAAAAAAAAGGGATGGCCTAACCGACCCTAATATCAGTAAACTAATCAGTGGCGTAGTTCATTTTAGGGTAGTCCATGAGGGTAGTCCATGGACTGGCGATCACCTGGCGTCTGTTCACAGTTGGCGAAAATGGTAAACAAAACTCAGGAATGGTAAATTTCAATCCAAAGTCACGTTTACCATTTGCACAATTCAGTTTCGAAAAACGGCCTCGAAAGCCTGAAACTGGTGTCAAAGATGAGTTTGAAGATCTGGAACATCATAATAGAATATTCGATACGTTTTTGAGTTTGGTACATTCCTTACAGGACCATGAAGAACCAGCTTTACAGAGGTTCTATTGCTTCAGGGAATCATTCCACAGGAACGACCCTAACAGAGACGTGTTCTTTTCACTTTCGAACCGTACATTTCACAACACTTTCGAAAATGGTAAACGATCTTTGTGTTCCCGTCTCTAATGCTTTTTGCCCAAACCTCTCCTTGAACCACCCCCCCTAGCCTCCCTAACTTGCACACATTGAGTTTAAGATTTTACTGATGACTTTTAAAGCTATTCACGGCATGGAGCCAGATTATCTTTGCAAATTGATCAGCCGAAGGAAATCACCCGGATATTCCCTCAGATCAAGCAAAAAAGTTATGCTTGAGGTTCCAAGCGGCAAGCAGATACTCCCAACACTTGGTGGCAGAGCATTCTGTTATGCGGCCCCAAAGCTCTGGAACAACCTACCTAGCGAAATATCCCGCCTTGACTCTCTGTCAAGTTTTAAATGCCTTTTGAAAACATATCTTTTGAAACAAGCTTTTAATTTGTAGTGGTGTATTTGTTTCGTTTATTGTATTATTTATCACTTCTTGTTACTTTATTTCATTTTTAAATCTTTCTAATTCTTGTAAATTTTATTCATTTTTAGTCTTTCTTTTTAACTTATTGTAAAACGCATTCGATCATATCCAATGGAAAGTTGCGCTATATAAGTTTTAATTATTATTATTATTATTATTAATTTTCGTAAGCCCCAAGGTGGGGGTGTACAGTAGGGTTTTTGTACGCATTTGCGGGCCCCACCGTGGGGAATTTGCAGCTTTCCCATCAGAAAAAGGACGAAGTTTAATCCTGTCAATGCCATGAGGGGAAGGGTACACTTGAGACTGTCCAAGCTGTTTATAAAATAGGCCTTTTACTTACAAATAGAAAATGAACAATATCGGCTTTAGGATAGAAGCAAATTCACTACTTTGTTCCGAAGACGAGCAGAAAAAGATCACGGGAATGAGAGGTACAATACATTCGCTTTACTTATAATTTCTACTCTTACGATGCTCTCCTTTCCTTAGAAGGGACAAAAGGGACCCAAGAGAACAGTTTACTGATAAACTAAGGCAAAAAGAGAGACTTAGTGTCACGCAAACATGAATTTGTACCCCGTGACCAAGTTTTCCCTTTACTTGCCTTTTATTAACCTGCGAAAACATCCGTTCCGCGCGAAACGTCCCCATCGACGAAGAGCGAGGAGAAACGGATGTTTTCGCAGGCTAGCCTTTTACTGATCCTTACTTCTCTGAAAAGATATATATATCTAGCCGAATTTTTGAAAACATACCTCAAAATGGGCCAGAATATTCGTACAGAAAGCTGGCGATAGCCAGGGCCTTTCTAGGTCACAAGTCCAGAGTGTCTTTTTGAGACTTGAAAAACACCAAGAAGAGGGGCTTGCTGTCCTGGTTGGTCTCATTGTCAAGTTCAGTCCCTGAGCTAACTCGCCATGGATTTTCATAAATCCGGCTAGGGCCTCCATGTCAATCCCTTCAGAGGGGGAGGGTGCTGAAAAGTGTTGTACCTTCCGTTAATCCTGGTCTGGGTAAACAAGTGCACTGGTCATGTCTGCCTTAAGTTTGCGATGTCAAATTCTTGAAACGTTTGAGGCCCATTGGCTATGTCAGAAAGATAATTCCCTCAAGCACGTGCTAGGCTGGGATTTGAGGGTTTTCAGGGGGGTGATTTAACCTTGAATTTTCTCTGCTTAGAACTTGCGTGAGAATTTTAAGTCTCAAAGCGTCCTCCGTCATTAAGGGCCTTTAAGCAGCTAGAGCACTTTTGTATAGACAAGTCCAGAGTGTCTTTTTGATGGACTTGAAAGTTTCTTTTGCTAATCAGGAACCAAGAAGAGAGTCACCTTAAGAGAACTATGGGTAAGAGCTGAGTTTCTTGGCGATATTTACTTTAGTTGAGTCAGTTTAAGGTGTGTGGGCCCCTGGTGTCCGATGGTATGATTTTCATAAATCCGGCTAGATAAATATATATAGTATTTTCACGATACTTTGTGTCTAAGAATCGTTGTGGACTGTTTTCATCAGCTTTTTTTATATTCTGAGAGATTCTCTACTTGAATCTGACGTTTGCAGTTTGCCGTAAGCGTGACTCTAAAACGAGACTACTAGCAGCAGAGGCTAGCAGTCTCTCTTTTTCTTCAGATTTAATGAGGGGAGTGAACGCGCGCGAGAAACGAGGGCGGCAGCCCGAGAAGGAAAAAGAGCCTCTCCCGTCTCGCGCCTTCAGTCACGCGCGTGTCGCTTAGTCTACTCTAAAACTCTCGACTATCTCTCCACGACAGACATCACCCTATGGTTAATTTGATTGACCGTTCACTTATTTAGCTGATGTACAATGGATATTTCTCGCACTTCTGTAAGGTTTCCAAGATCCACTTTCTTCGTAAAATACTTGAGTGCACTCCGCGTTGAGAGCAAACACTTCGGCACCTCGCACCTGAGGGGTGTTATCGAGTGAGGAGCGAACGGTTACCACCCCGCCATACGCGTAACGATCTGTGTTGATGTAGTAATGGACTCCTAAAACATAAAGAAAAAAATAAAAGGCGTGTTGCTCAGATAGTGGAGGATCACTGTGTAGATCCTTCAGCCGGGGCAGGGGTGCATGTGAGAAGGCCTGCGAACAAGCTCTCGTCTGAAAATTGCGGGAGTCGAGGGTCACGCGTAGCAAGCAACTCCTATTGGAACGGTTACACCATAGTTAATTGAGTGGAATGGTTATGAAACCCGTCAGACTCCTTTGTTATATGTTTTTGTGGGCCTGAAAGTGCACAACGTTCAAAAGAATTCCTATCATTTTGATTGTATCGACCAATAAAAACGTTGCATTAATTTATTCCGTAACAATTTGCCAACAGAAAACAAAGGATTGTGCACTTTCAGGGTGCTTTGAACAAACTGCAGCACTGTTGTTTTTATCATTGATGTTTGCCGCTCTTCATAACCAGTCTCCTCTAATAACTATGGTTACACTGACCATGAGGAGTCTGAGAACAAGAAAAGGCGAAAAACATGAGCAGGAAAGCAGGAGTCTTAAGCAGGAGTCACTCCCCTTCACTCCCCGTTCTCTCCCCATTCTCCCACTCGTTCTCTTAATTAGGACACTGAAGCCTGCAGAGAACTGCGGAGGAGGCTAGGTCACGTGCTACCCCGGGTCTCAGACTCTTTTCACGCGCGGTTTCCGGTTTCGGTCAAGTCTGTGACTTCGGTCTTCGTCCGAAGTGGTGTCGGTCACAATAGACCACGCCAGTGGAATTTACCTAACCTACCCTTTTCGAACAGCATAACAGCAGTCGGTTCTCTTATATTCCCTTCGTATTGAAAATAGCCCGCGAATACAGCCGTCTCTCCACGCTTTGCGCCACAAACGGCTGTATTCGCGGGCGAAATTGCTAAAAAAGAAAAAAGGAGGCAAGGCCAAAAGCTGAACGTTACCGCCCTAAGACTAGTCTGTGCACAGACCTCCCCCCCTCCCCTGGGTAAAGGGAAGGGGGGGTCTGTACAAAGGCTACCCTAAGACGACACCATCTGAACTTGGAAAAGTCTTAAATCACAGCCAGCATGACAACAGTTTTTACTAAGACTCCAGCTAGTCAGATATTTTTCCACCTGCATTGCAAATTTTACGAGACTTACGTAGGAGTAAAACTTTTGAGCCAGTGGGAAAAATCTGCAAAGGAACGATGCAGAGCAAAATACTTACCTGGTGCATAGAGGGGGTCGAAATTCAGGTTTAGTTTCTTCTTTAAACTCTCCCAACTGAATTCGAGTCCATTCACTATTGGTGTCTAAAACAAAAGAACAGAATGAATAGAAAGGCATATGACATGGGCAGCGTGCAATCTTATTGCGGTGTTAATTTTATTACTAAATAGCATCGGCAAAAAGCATGCCAGTCGATGATATTCCTAGCTGGGTGACCTCAAATAAGTGTCAAGGCTGGCCCACCGCACTCGTGGAGAACCAACTTGATTTTAGAGGGATTTAGAGTTGTCTGAAATGTTAGCCATCTCTTTGCCTCACTCAAAACGAGAGGCACGTCTGAATTCCCGTTTTAAGGGGGGGTGGAGTGGGGAGCGCCTGACATTTTATACTTGATAATTTTAGAGTCAAGTTTATAGGAAAACGGCCAAAGTAAAGGGGAAGCTTGGTGATGTGGTATAAATTCACGTTTGCCATTTGCCTACCCTGGGTACCAGAGGTTTTTCTCTCGTGCGGCGGGAATTTTCGGTGTTGGCCAAAGGCCGACACATCTTCGGCCGTAAAGAAACCGGAAACGGCGCTAGAAAAGTCTCTGGCACCCAGGGAACCATTTGCCATAAACATGACTCTAAATATCTCTTTTGTCACATGGATTGACTAATCATAAAAGATAAGGTCTCTGTACTCCATTCTGAGAAGTTAACGGTATATGACATGTTGGTTAATTCCTGTTTGATAAATTTGACTATAACTGAAGCGATAATTACTTTCTTTAGCCAGGGTCTTTGTTATAAAGAGGTTTGTTATATTAGAGTTTGACTGCTACAGAAGTAGTAGAATGTAGCTTGTGTAATCTTGACAACCAACAGTAACAGAGGGATGAGAATCTAACAACAAGAAAGCCTGTAATATGGAATAGTTAAACAACGCTGCACAATGCATCGTGCTTTTCTTTCTTTTCTTTGCCATCAGTGACCGCTAAAATAGAGATGTTGAACATTCTACTACAACTTTGTGTGAAGGACTTAAAACACAAGACAGCAAATTTTTCTTTTTCTTTCTGAACTGGGATGCTGTGCCCAAGAATTCAACTCCAGAAACGTTTGACTACAAATGGGAAATTTAAATACCAATAAATATTGAAAGAACTTCACATGCTTTATATGTGACATTTTAAGCTGCTGTTGTCCATGACTGCTCACTCTCCTTACAACTAGGATGAGACACATTGGTCAGTAGCAACCAGCAAAGTAGCCTACATGCACCTGCACCCTCCCCCCCTCCCGACAAAACAAAGGAATGCTCCCTCTCTCCGTTTTTCCTTTGGCGGGAGGGGGGGATGGGAGGGGAGGGTGCAGCTACAAGTAGGCTACCCGCAATGTTAAGTAAGTGTGTATGTAACAGGATTGAGAAGTGGCAAACACAACTAGTTTTAATTACAAGATGAACAAGACTCCGGCTACACACATGCTCACAAGAGTGTTGTTCTGGGGCCTGTTTCTTGAAAGTCCTGATACTTACCAAAGCCTGGTATTGCTGCCATTGTTTACGTTCAAGATTTCTGTATACAACATGATAAAATTATCAGTATTTACAAACCGAAATTGGCTGGTTTGTTGGGTGGGCCTCACACTTTCATTCTTTAGATTTTGATTGGAATATTTGATTTTTCACCCCGAAAAAATTCCTGGACTTTCGAGAAATGGGTCCCTGATGGTTACAAGCAGTTTCTACCTTATCTTACATATCATGAACTGCCCCACTACATGTATAATATTATGTCTCACAGTATACGTACCTGCCTGTCAAATGTTGTGTAAACAAACGACACAGTGCGACCTCCCTTAAGGCAACCTCTTTGACAATACCAGTAACGAAGCATAGATCCCCGTGTGTAATGCTCATACAAAAATGTCAGAAGAAACATGACTAAAAAGCCTAACAGGGTCATTTTAAAGTGTGATCCTGCAAAAAGAGAAACAAAGTATCAACAAACTGGTCACACAGTGAAACACCAAAGAGGTACATTAAAGTAAATGTGCAGTTCTAGGAAATCTCCAAACTCAGCCCACAGAAAAAATTGGAAAATAATAAGGAAGAAGAGATCCAAAATACAAAAATATTAGAAGAAAATAAGGCATGAAGATCAGAGTGGTGGCGGTTTTAAAAAAAAAATCCTTCTATGAGGAAGGTATTAAACAGTTATTGGATTCACAAAAACAGAATTGTTATATTACGCATTGTTTTGAAGAAAATAATGACAAACACACTGTCACAAGGAACCAGAATTGATATAATTGTTATTGGAAATCATGCATTGTCGCGCAACCTACAGATTAGTCAGTTATAGCAGATAGCTAACTAATCTGTAGCTTGCACTGATTTCCAAAATCAGCTGGAGGCAATTAGCCAATGAGAAGACAGATAATGAGTACAATGTATAATAAATAGAGCATACTTCATGGAAAGTGCTGGCGTACGGTATTTACGCACAAGTTGTTGACGTATCAGAAATTGAATGAGTGATCGCAGCGAACGAGTCAGATTTCTGATACAAAAACAACGAGAGTGTAAATACCGCACAAAGCACTTTCCATGTGGTATTGTGTTTATTATATACATACTGAGACATTCATCATTTTGGCGGCCCTTTTATTTTAAATCTTTCAAAAATGCTAAAATTTGCCGCTACACACTTACCGCAAATGACAACAAAAACGAAGTATCAGCTTTTTAGTAAAAATGTTTGTTAAAAACATAAATGATGGTGAGGATATGAGGTAATCCAAGAACTATAAGTAATCTTAACTGTTTGTTCTCAATGCACAATTGAAAATGAGTGAATTTAAGTAAAATAGCCGGTTTCAATATAAGCTTAAGCTTAAATGAAAGGCAAAGTAGCTCCAACAAAAAGCACAACAAAAGCTGACGTCTCATTCTGTTTATCCCTTTCCGCCATTTTCTTTATCGACAGTGAAACAAACAAAACTATTCCACTCCATTTCCGAAATGTTTTTCACTTTCTTAGCGAGAAAAACTCTTAGAGTAAGACTTTTCTTGTTGAATGTGTGTGAAGCGGCACTGCAAGCTGCAATAAAAGGCGGGAATTTTGGCGCGAAACTCACACACCTCTGTGGCCTCTGATTGGACGTATTATTTTTCCCACACATGAAATAACATCGTTCGCGATTCTGATTGGACGTATCATTTTTTTCATGTGTGAAAAACATCTTTCGCTCCTCTGATTGGCTAGAACTAATCTGCGTATGAAAATTTATGACATAACTTTTTGGTGAGTATTTCTCAGTATGTATATAATATATATGGATATTTTCCACCAGACAATAATTTGGCCAGTGTGTTGAAGAGGATCAAAACCTAACATCTCCAGCAAAAAATTAGTCCATCACTCTGATAAAGGGATAGCATTTTATTGGTCAATTCTCAAATCTTTTTATAGTGTTCAAGTCATTTCTTCTAATCTTACCTCTCTGAATATACCAGTCAGCAAGCCACAATAATTTAAAATAGTTTTCATAGAGCAAAACCTGGAGAAGCGTTATTAGGACTAAAACAAGAGGAATTTTCCACAGAAGATCTGTAAAATCAAACAAACAAACAAACAAAACCAATGAAGTTGAGGTACCAGTGATCTTCCACACAACAGGTAATCTATGTAATGAATAGAATAGACCCAATACAAAAATGGCTGCACACCAGTCTCAATCATCTTACTTTTGTTCAGCTATTTTTTACTGAATTGTGATCTTAAGAACCAGGTTAGCAAGGCTAATTTCAGTTATAAACACAATGATGTCCCACAGCTAATTTTTGTATTTGTCCAGTAATACTTTTGTATATAATTTAAAAAAACTCCATGTGAAAATGCCCCTCCCCCCGCCTCCGAAAAAGGAAATGAGTAGACCCAGGGAGAACAACAACAACAACAAAAACAACAACAACAATAACACACACACTATATACTACATGGAGAAAAGAAGGAATATGGTCAACTCTCAAATTGTCTAATCAGTTACAGATGTTGTTTTTAGTAAGCATGCAGGAAGGGAAAATTTGGGAGGTCTTTCAAATCATGGGGAAGATCTTTTCAACCCTTCCGAATGAAAGAAAATTATCAACAAATATATACTTTCATATAAAAGTAGAAGAGAAGACTTTTAATACTAAAACTTAGAGAATTTAAAAGGGAGGTAGGACCTTAAGAACAAAAGAATACATTTAATTTCTACTCATAGTCTGTGTCTACTGGATAATAAAGACAAAGTTATTGTAAAGCTGAAATTTCAAAAAGCAACCCCATCACCACCTCAAATAAGTGCCCTTAATAGAATTAGTATCCTCCCTCTTGAATCCACGGCACTAATTTGACTACGCATCTCAGTTTTTTTCACTCCAACATGTGTCCCTGTACTACCACATGAGATTCCAATGTTTCCTCAACCCAGCTAGCTTTGATGATAAACCCTTTAGGCCCCAAGAGTGTCAGGCCAACATCAATTTTCTCCTAACAACATCAGCAGATCATCAAGAGTAAAGGTTATGAGAATTATTAAACTGATAACCAAAGGGAGAATGCTTTGATCTTAAACCAAATTCTCTCAACTGTTCTTAAAAGAAATGTATGGAGATCAGTCTGGAGAATTTGTATGTCAATCTTGGGGCTTAAAGGGTTAATTACCTCTTGTCTGGGGGTCATTTCTCTTGTCTGTGCCTTGCTCTAAACCAATCACTTTTACTTCAAGATCATCTTGTCTGCTTTCAAGTCTCTGAAATCCACTTCTTAAGGCTGTGTGTTTAGCTTCAAGCCCTTTGATTTCAGTCCCAAATACTTGGGTCAAGTTTTGAAGGTTATCTTTCAGTACCACTTGGTCTTGCGTCCAGGATTCTTTGTTGTCCTCCACAGACTTCACTAAAGTGGCCATTTCAGTTTGAATGAGCTCCAGAATATCATGACTGATAGATTCCTCAAAGCACATTTCAATACCTACAAAGTTGACAGAAAACTAGGAGAATTGAGAAACATAATCTGAACCCATGGCCTATGGGATTGGTAGTAGGGCTGAAAACATTATTTTGGGATGAAGGCTGGACACAATGATCACCAGCTGAAGAAATATTTGCTTGGTTAAGTCTTGTCCCTGCCTGGTCAAAATATTGGAAAAAAGTTAACTCATGACAACGTGTAAACACAAAACTATCATGTGCTTGTTCAAGTCAGAGCTACAACCCCGGACAAAACCTGTTGAGACAAATCACGAAAATGCCTATTCCTCTGCCAAATGAATGCCTGATTTCCCCCCTCCCCTTATCCAAAGTTGTTTAGGATAGCATGGCAATTATACACGTTGGTTTTAGACCAAGACAACTTTGAATAGGGGGCGGGGAGGGGGTTTACTTTTTGTGTTTAGAGGAGACGGGAGGAGGGTGCAAAAGTTAGAAAATAGATGAAGTTGTCTCAACAGTTTTGTTCGGGGTTGTAGACTGTTTAAAAAATGGCTTAAAAATCTACCAAAGATAGCCTTTGATCTCTGTTGTGACCAATCAACATGACTGGCAACAGGATGCAAAGGAAAATCATTTTTACAGCTTTCCATTTGGGCAAGCTGAAGCTAGCATATACTAGCCCAGGCTTCATTTCAACTAGACCCAAAAGCTTTTTGAATAGCAGGATTGATTTCACAGTTCTTCTGTTAATTGAATTCCTCAAAAAAAAAACATCACTTGCCCATCGGGCAAGTTAAAAACAGAATTCACTAACCCAATAGCAAAATCCACTAGCCCCGCGCTATCGGACACTACTTTCTTTCCACGCTGGAAAGGTGAAGTTCTTGGCCAGTCAAGCTGCCATTCTGGTTTGACATTGTCCCATGATTGACTGTTATTTTGAGCCTTAGGTGGTCTTAACACTGAATGGAGGACCTGGAGGAAATACTGATCCCTGTAATAGCTCATTATAGAAAGGCTCTGCCAGAAAGGGGTTCCCTCTCTTTGACCAGGTAGGGATTTTGTGAGTTGAAGAATATGAAAGGGTAGGGGAATGTGTCATAAAGGTATTTAAAAGAGCCTTATTATTGGCTGAATCATTGTAATTTACTTAACGCTAAATAGCATAAAAGGACTTACTGTTAGTACATATAGGTATGTTAAAGGAGCATTATTTTTCAGTAGAAGGTGTATAAAGGTGGTACCTTTTCTCTCAAAAATGGTACATCGAAGGTAAGAGCTTGGACCTTGTGATAAAGCCTCCCAGTATGAAATGCTGTTGAGTTCTTGAAAAGTAATTTTATGATCTTACCTCTTTTTTTCCATTCCTTTAAATCTTCCAGAACATTTGCCTGAGAAAGTACAGGAAGTTTCAATGCTTTGATAAGGTCTTCCATCAGTTGAAAGCATTCGTCATAGTATGCTTCAGTCCACACAGTAAACAAACAATGACCCCACTCATTGCGCACTTTTGTACGCACATCACTTGCAATGAGATGAATGCCATAATATATAAAGTTTGGGGACCCACATAAAATAGAAAGCACAGCTGACAAGTCTAGACTTTCATCAAATGCTGTGAAGCTTGCCCCCTTTACAAACAGTTTGGCAAGGGAGACGTCATCTTTGACACTGTAATCATATAAGTGTTTAGATGATCCTTGGGTCTTATTGTTGTTTATGTTAATGTAATTCAGGCGCAGGGTGGAAGGTGAAAGGCATTCTTGGTGAGAAGCAAATGTTTGTGAATGAATGTTTGTAGGTGGTTGAATAAGCCCATCATACAGTTGTGGTATTTCCTCTTCAATAACCTTTCTTAATACTGGTGTGAGAACTTTGTTGAGGCAAATTCCAACCACCAGCCATCTCTTCTCCTCATCTCCAAGCATTCTTTTCAATATTCACCCCCTCCTGCAATAGAATAGACCTTGTTATGGTTTTGGAAACCATCTTGACAAGTAGGCAACTGCGTGAGAAATTACAGCGTTTGTACATGTATGAGAATCTAATACTGTATGATTTCCGTAAAATGGCTGTTCTGAAAAAATACAAATAGCTTCACTCCCAACGATAATATATTCGACTGAAAAAATACGAGGGCATTTATACATGCAGCTACATGCGCTAGAACCAGTTTTTAAAATTTTCTATACATTTGCCTGTAAAAATTTTCCTTCCTGCCCACTAAAATTTCCCAGGAAAAATTGCAGACAAATATACAGAAAACCTAAGGCAAGCGTCTGGAGAAATTTAAGCTCAGGTATGGCCCCTAAAATTTGTTAGTAGAATCCTTTGCTAAGTAGCTTTAGTTTACAATTCATATTTTTTTCAGAACTGCTGTTTTACGGATATTATTCAATCAATCAATACCTTTTTTTAAATGTCACACTAACATAGCAGTAAAGGAACCACTAAATGGGGACACTATAAATTGAAATAAGCAAATATTGTAGCAATTAAAATCGAATTAATAAAACTATTATTTCAGAGCAAAAAACTTTCACTTGTGCGCTCGTCTGAGACGAGCAGGTTTTGGCCATGAACGACTGAAACTCAGAAAGCATTCGTCAACCGGATGAGTAAAATTTATTGTGAGCAATATTTTTTTTCAGCTTTGTAAGATCTGAAGTTGATAGCTTGCATAGAATAAAGTACTGAAAAGTAACTTGAATTGTCACAGAAGTGCTCAATTCAAATCTTGGGGCCAGCTGGCCCCCAGGATTTTATTTTTGGTTGCCAGAACAAGTATTCTAGTCACCAAAAATTATATTAAAGAATTATTGGAATACGATAAACTAAATGCCTTTTACTTTGCCTTAACAGAAAAAGAATGCTCAAGTCCATAATTTAAATTTATTCTGTAAGATCTTAAAACCAACGTCTTCCTTTCCAGCGGTTTTCGCTTGTTTTATCATTAATGTCCATCCTTAAATTTGTAGCATCAGTTGAAGAACTCACACACTACGGCCGCGTCTCAAGTCTCTGGTAAATAATATAATTGTGAAGCATAAATCTCCTTAAACAGGTATTCAAGCTTCAGGAAATGAAATACACAGTCATGTAGTTAAACAAACTTTAGGGATCACAGAAAAACTTATTTGGGTTCAAAAAGAAAAAAAAAATCAATGCAAATGCAAACATTTGCTTTGCATCCCACATTTCCATTGATGTTCAGAAATGAACATCGGTGAAACTTGATCTATTTCATTTATTGCCAAATACAGTACTGTATTAGCAGTCAATAAAATACAGCAGTGCTCTAATTTGAGTCGTCACACCACGCTTTATGCGATGGGCTTAAAGTTGTTTACAAGAAGTTCAAGAAATATTAAATTGCTGAGATATAGGTGACGTTTGTTTTTGATTAACTTTCTGCAAATTTTTATCAGACTATTAAATTTGCAATCAGGTACGCAATCAAGACAGATAAACCGTTTGGGCAAACTTTTTGAAAGTTATAAAAACCATTAGGTATCTGTTAGTTTTCTAACAGATAATGGATCATCGTAAGTGTACATTTTCCCAAAGAAGGTCACATATCTTGGGGGCCAGGTTGGCAACCAGGCGTGAAAACTTGGTCACCACTGAGTAACAACTAGTCGCATCGGTAAACCCACGGGTCACAATGTCGTAATCTGTTTTGGCAGCGTTTTATCTTCTTTGGGTGAGTGGATTTTATGTTCGGACAACCAAAACCTGCAAAGTACTTGTCCAATGGACAAGTGAAATAAAAAAAGAGTTTTTTGCCCTGTATTTTACAAGTGTATCATTATTGACTGGAGACCGAGTGTAAAATTTATAAGATTACTGCTTGTGTGTAATGTTATTGCTAAAAAAAAGCATATGCTGGGGCAGATCCAGGGGTGGTTCAGGTGGTTCGGAGGGTTTGTTTGAACCCCCTAAACCGAAATGGAAATGTTTAAACAAGAGCAGTTTCTGATGAAAACCTTTGGTGGACATACATCCCTAACAAATACTATATGTTATTTTTTGAAAAATGACTGTGATGAAAAGAAAAACAAAACACTAATTGAGAGAGGAGAGTCCTTTCCTGGTTTTAAATGCCCCGTTGCTTCCATTTTTGAAGAAACTCAATAGTGATTTTTAGAGCACATGGCAAAATATTACAAATTTATAACCGTTTTCGTTATTGGTCTGGATTAATGTAAATTTTTAAGAGTAGTTCACGTTCAAAATAGCTAAAAAGGGGGTTGTTTCAAAGGCATGAGACAACCTACAATAATACAATGCAGGAGATCACCTTTCTGAGGACCTAAATCTCAAAATTTTTCCAAGGGAGCATGCCCCCGGACACCCCTACGATGGTATGCCTTCGGCGGACACTTAGCTGCACCCCGCTCAACTAATCCTGGATCCTCCCCAGCGTATGAGCTTAGTAAAAACAGTAGTGTGTTCATTAGGCACTACACAACATTCGTATCGACATTCGATTCTCACACAAACACTGTAATTTCTCACATGGTTACCTACTCGTCAAGATCGCTTCCAATACTGTGACAAGCTCTATTGAGAAACAAAATGTGTAGTATAAATATATACATTGGTTAAGATTCACATTAAAAAGATCCCATAATAATTACTTCAATTTCCAAGTGCTAGTCATAGCTCTTAAAAATCGAAATTAAAATAATCTTAAGTTAAGTCTCCAAAGGAGAATGAAAAATCAACAGTTTATCACTTTTATCAAGATAATTACAGAGAAAGTACGCTATTCGAAGAGCGAGTAACACCATATTAGGTTAAAGGTAGCTGATCGAACAAAGAAAAAAGGTACAAAAAAAGTCAGGAATAAAACGTGACAAGTAAGTATGTAAAGCAACTTACCCGAAAATGCGTCACCAGCTTCTTAGGAAAGCGCAATTATTACAGGATCATTTTCAATAGTTTTCACTTTCAGTTTTACATTCATCAATAAGCTAAAATGACGTTTTAAAACTATCCTAGCTGTGTCTAACAGTAACTTTTTTAGCTCCTTCGAAGGAATGTGGTGTAGAAACGTGATTAACTCAAAGTTTTCTTTAGGGGCCTCTCTCTTTGAAGAATAAAGTTTTCTCGAGTGATGTTGAAAGTAAAAGACAGCCACAACGCCCTAATCGCTTTCGTCTTGGCGTATAAACAATTAATTCTTGGAAAACGTTTAACCTCTGACCCGCCATATTGAATGATTTGTACGAGCGAAAGCTGGGGAGAACTTCCGAAAAGTGGGTCGTGTAATATATAACATACCATAATGCTCTTCGTTTGTCACCCCAAAATTTTTGCATAAGCTTTGTCTTCAGCTTCGCTTGGGAGTTAAAATGGCCCCAAGAGAAACTGAAAACAATGCTTATGCAAAATTTTGGGGTGACAAACAAAGAGCATTATGGTATGTTATGATATTTCTGGAGTGGTCAATTTTTCGCGGCTTCCAACTGTGCCTCAAGGAGTCCACGTTCTACTGTTTCACGGGTAAAGAGCACGTAAACGTTACTTTTAAATCTTATTCATATCCAGAAAGGGACATCGATCTGGTCGGATTATGACATGAAGGCCTGCTCGCCCTTGGGGACAAAGTTCTTCCTTATATCAGTGACAAAGGCAGAAAATAGCTACGTGAGATTTACACCCATTTAAGGTAAGAATGTAACCTTAAAAAGTTAGTTTGGTAAGATTTCCGCACAGCCCCATACAATTTTATGCATACATGTTTCGACTCATGTAAAGTATTTATAAGCAAACAGAGTCCTTATAGAAGATTGCTGCATGTGACTCAAGCATCATACAGTTGAACCTCTGTTAAGTTAAATGGCCACCAGTGGGGGATGGTGGTGGGGGGGGGGGGTTGGGTTGTGCATTTGGAAGATGGGAGGCTGGGAGAATAGGGGATGGGAGGGATACCAGAGGCGGGAAAGGAAACAGCGGTAGGTGAGAGTTCTAAAAATGCAGGAAGTGGGGAAAATGGAAGGAAATTACAATACAATGCCTAATATTTTACAACGAAAAAAAAAGGGTAAGGGGAGGAAGCCCAGAAGAAAGGGTAAGGAGCTGGAAACGTAAGGTTTGGGGGGCAGGATGTATGGATGCCAGATCAAAAAGGGTTGTGCTTGGAGCCTGGTGACTAGTCGCATAATACAGGGTAGCCACAACAAAGGAGACTTTTGTCTGATTGGCTGTTTGATTTTGTAGTGTTCAGTCTCCTCACCGTGCGTTAGTGAGTAAACAAAGATGGCTGCCAAAGCCAAAGTCCTCCTTCGATCGTTCGTTCAAGATGGCATGGAAAGGTTTACAAAGTGTGATGTCTTTCTCTTAGCCTATAGTACTTATAGGGGGCCTTGACAAGATTTTTTTATATGCGTATATTGCTGAGTGCATTCAAAAAGAACTCATCTAAAGCAAAGTACATCGGCTGGGATGGGAAATTTTTAATTTACAAAATGCTACAAAGAGTCTTTTTTGGAGGAGGAAACGTATTTTCAACTTCACTGAAACGTCCTGCCGACCCGGGGAAAACGGAGAAAGGTAAGCTTACTGTTTAATTGGTATGTTTTATCACTCAAACTGTGTCAGACAACGTCTGGATCTTCAATTATTTAGATGTTGTTGTGTTTTATATAATTATAAGCTTAGACTTAGTTTCTCTGTTTCTTGCCAGGTTGTGAATTTCTGACTCTACTGCCTCTTAATGACGGAGTGATGCATGTAGCGACTCAGAGACCTCCTTATTTTTAAAATTTTTTTTTTCAAATCATTCCTCATCACGGCACCTTCTATTAAAATAAATCACCTGTTTACTACAAAACTAGGGAAGAATTGTAGTCGGTAAATGTCTGGGTACTTTCCTAACGGATGCGGTTCACTGTAATAAATTTATAATAAATGCTCAAGGGAGCACCCACCATATACATGTACTTGACTTAATCACTTTTTTGTTGGTTATTTAATACATGTAAATGTACAGTGGCCCAGAAGGGTCACACATGCAAATTAAAAATGTTGCTGCAAATTAAAAATAGTGCATGCAATTTAAAAATTGTACATGCAAACTAAAAATATTACCTGCAAATTAAATATAGTACGTGCAAACTAAAAATATTACCTGCAAATTGAAAATAGAAAACATATCAATGCAAATTAAAAATGAAAAGTCCTGTGCGCAGTATGAGTGATAAGGACCTGGTCTGAGCCGTGCGACCTGGCCTTTCAGCCGTCAACCCATTTATGTTTCATGTTTGTAATATTTTTAGTTTGCATGTACAATTTTTAATTTGCATGTCCTATTTTTAATTTGCAGGTAAAATTTTTAGTTTGCAGCAACATTTTTAATTTGCATGTGTGACCCTTCTGGGCCACCGTATAAATGTAGTCCATAGTATAAGCAAACACTACATCTGCATCTACAACTAAAGGGAAAGCAATAATAGCCTATTTCACAGTTACAGTCGAGGCTGGAGTTGACCTTGTTTTGATACAACCCCTCCATCTTTATTATGTAGATCCTGTTGTTCTTATGCAAATAGTTTTTTTTTTCCAACAAAATTTACATCTATAAGAAAAGGAAGGAAGTTTAATCACATCAACCTCAGCCTCAAATTCGCTCAAAGGCTATGACACAGCATGCGAAGAAAGTCGTAAAACTGACTTTCTTTGCACCCTGATGACACCAAGCCCACAACCGTAAAATGGCCTATTGGTCTTGAATGTACATACTGTAAGTCAGTCTAGATGTCATTCTTTCAGCAATGTAATCATTGTGTTTTCCCTTCAGTGTTCTACCATCTGTGTATTTCCATTAATAATATTATTATTTCGTTTTACCTTCCCTTTCAACAATAATATTAGTGTGCACCAGTCATCACAATATACCTGTTTAATAACTTGTGTTACTTGATAGATTTAGTAACATCAAGATCTACATTGCTCAGGGTAGTGGGTTTTTAAGACTGGTAAATCAGATAATGATACAGAAAAAAACTTGTAATGGCTGAAGAAAGAGATAGTTTCTGTATGAATTTTTTATGAATGGTTACATTGTAGGTACAGTATTCTAATGAGATTCAACAGTTGTACAAAAATTCTGTTCTTCCTATTTTTTATCAGATGTTTACCAGACCCAAAGTTTTAGTTTGTATAATAAGACAATTTGTGAATTACGCTCTGAAAAATTTTTGCATAGTATGAATTAATGTGCTTAGTCACATTATCAAAAAGGACATGTGACAAATAAGCAGCCGAACATCATGCATTTTTGCTGAAGAAGCCTTGATGATAAGAGTCTCAGCTCTTTGTTAGAGCTGAGAAAAAGTGTATTTCCAATGCATGTCTACAAAATAATATTGCAAACACTATACGGCTTCAAGTGTATGGTTATGATCATGGCATGATCTGTTTTGACACAAGACTCTGATATTTTACTCAAGATGAAGAAAATATTTTTCAGCATTCAAAACATAAAGGATATGTTTAGAAAGTTTGACTGTATACTCTATATTGAAGGCAAGAGTCCAAAATAATTCCACACAGAATAGCTCTCAAGGCTGTGCTTGCAATTGTGCTTGCAGTTTTAAGACTTCATACTTACATTATTGTGCGTCCAAGTGGAAAACATGGCAGCTGGCACCTCATCATGAATATAATGTGCTGTTTCTCATATTCCTGGTAGCAACTACTCAACAACATTTTACAAGGGGTGGTTTCGCCCCAAGTTGCCTACATTTCTCTGCACCCTTTGAGGTTGTGCAAACACATAGACCAAACCCAAGGTCCAATGTCTTATCCTTTATTG